TTTTTTCCTCGGATCCTCCGTTTGGTTATCCTGGGGGGAGGCGTTGTCTGGGGGAGGTGCCTCAATTTGCACGCTTCGTTATTCAATTAGACACTTGGCACACAAACCAGCAGCGAGAGGGCAAAAGAGATGGAGCTTCGAGTGTGGGACGAGCAGACGGGCGGAGCTCTGACACCACGGGACGCATAATTTTGATTGATGGCCCAATAATGGCGGTGATTTATCATATTTGCATGCTAACATTTAAGCCAGCCAACGGCGGCGAGTCAGCTCTTGAGGCCAGACAGCGAATATGATGCTAAATTAGCTGTCCAGTATAATTAAATTTAAACCCTTCAATGTGAATTTGCACGCATTGAATTGGATTTTAGATTATTTTGTTCCAAGTTTTTTACTAGATTTAAAGTATTTGAAATAATAATAATTACAAAAATATATTTTTTTATTATAAAACTTAAAAAGTACAAATATATAACCCTTTTTATGTGTACTTTTTACTCTATAAAAAGTCAAAACTAAAACTTTTACGCTGACAATAGCTTCCGGAAAGTATGCTACAAAACAGATGACACCAATATATATACAGATCTTATTCACATGCATATGTATGTATATGTATAGATATATACGTAGCTATATGTATTCCGCTAATTGGTCCTTTGCAGTCTGCAAATGAAAGCGTTGCGCTGACAACAGCCACGTGCAGCACTGATCCCCCGGGCGTATACGCAATATTTGTAGTTTTTTTATTGCACCTCCTCGGGCTTGGATGTATGTGTGTGAGTGTGTCTGCTTTTGCTGCCACACACGCTGTATGTCTATAAAATCCGGCTAAAGCCGCATGCTACCTGGGAAATGTATGAAATTTTTGCTGCCACTCAACACCCAACCCAAACACAGACACACACACATTTACGCACAGCAAACGACAATGCAGAATAAACACACATTCAGGAAAAAGAACACTGGGGATAATATGAAACCTATAATGATTTTAAATATTAATTAATTTTATACTAAGTATAGATCGATTTTTAAAAGAATAATTAACGTTTTTCTCTGTTGAGAAGCTAAAATCGATTCATCCTATAATTATTGAAAACATATCTTTAAATGATTGGTTTTTTTAAATTTTAGAAGTCTAACTACATATATAGAATAGTATATTACTTTATTAACTTTAAAATATATATTATATGTAGATAACACAATAAAGGAAATTATACAATCTAAATAACAACTTGACATTTAAATATTAAAATGTATTTCAAATAAGCTATATATTCATAAAAACTTAAGCCCTTCCTTGTTCCTTGAACTTCTCATAAACGTATTCAACCAAAGAGTACTTATATTATTTATTAAATAAAATAATTATTCAAATAAACAGCATATGTTTCCTTTAATGTCATACATATTTCTCTTTTAATTAAATTATTTTATTTTTTCGCAAATACCATTATTTATTCTCTGTGTAGATATAAAAAACAACCAAATAAGTGGAACGCATTTTTGCCAGCAGCTTTGGCTGCTGTTTCTGCTGCCTGTGGCTTTGCCGGCGGCTTGGGACGCTGGTAAACACTGAAATCCAATTAAATTTAATACGACTTACTTGGCTTTGTTGCAGGTGCATGTGTGACAGAGACGGGACCATTGAATAAGAGGGAGATAGATATAAAAGAGAGAGGAAAGGGAAAGAACAAAACGACGTGTGCCGTTTGTTTGGCATTTGGTTGCTCTCATTCTGGTTTCTTCTTGTCGCCCTTTTTTCTTAATTTTTATTCACATTTTGTTTTTATTTTCACCTCTTTTATGCTTTCCCTTTTTTCTCTGGTTTCTTTTTCCCTATTTTACTCGGTACTTGTAGAGTATTTTGTACTCTTGGAGTCATATTCTTTATCGGGCTTAAGATCTAGGTTGGATTCTGCACCGCTTTTTTACAAGCTTAAACTCTTTAAAGGATTTTATTATTTAATAATGAATAGTAAGCATTAAATAACATAATTCAATAGTTTTAAATTTAAATGAAGTTGTATAAATATATTTGATGACTTCTATATAGCATCCCAAGTCCCCAGGTATCTTTATAGTCGCCAGACTCTTCCACCTGCTTTTGTAATGATTGCCTGGTTTCGCTCGGTTTACCTGAAATGCTTTGGCTTTGGCTTAATTAAAGCCACATTTGGCAAATAAAATATAACCCAGCAAATGAGCTTAAGAGAGCTAATTGAGTTTTGTCAACGAGTCGTCGAGTCGAGAACCTGGCTCCTCTCCGGCAGATTCGAGATCTCGATAAACTGAACTCGCCGTAAACCGGCTAAGAGAAGAAGGCAACACACAACAACAAAAAAAGAAAGAATCAATTAAAATCACTTGCCACTGTCAATGAACGATGCACTGCGATCCGGTCCGATTTGTTCGGTTTGAAAGGGGTTATTCGAACTGGGATTTCTTTCCGGTTGTCGTAGGACAGGGTGCAGCTGGCTCTTATAAATATGCATGAGTTGTGCGAACGCCGAGCAAGTGTGTCCCAACAATCTATGTCAAATGCAAAACAAAGTCCTCGAAATCCGATTCATTCGAGTTGGTTGTCAGCCTCGGTATATTTGCACAAAATCTACACGATACAACCTGATTTCAGTGCAGCTTAAACAATTTATTTAAAGTGGAATAACTTTAAGGGAAATTACTAAAATTATTAAAATATCATTGGAAGAGCTTAATGTTTCTGTATATAATTATTTATTTATCATGTTTTGCTTAATTTATTTCGGATTATCTGCAATATACTAAACTAATTCCCCTATTAAATTTAAGCTTATAATGTTTTTAAAATCCATTTGGGGTTTTCCAATAACAATTCTTTGGATTTCCTTGATTTTGCCTTTGAAATTGCCTATCCCAGTCCTCTTAAGCTGTCCAAGGTTCGAGAGCCAACTTTCGCCCCCAATGTTGGCTTGACTTCTCTCGTCTTCAGGCGGCTTTCTTTCACACGATCCAAATCAGGATATTCGTATATGGTAAATTGGGCTAGCAGAAGCGGCAGGATCAGGATCAAACAGAGAGCTGCGAAAAGCTGTTTCATCTTGCAACGGTTCGGATACTTAAGTAACTGGCAATCGAACTCCAATGCGGCCTTATATACACCCCGGAGATTACTCACGGACAAAGCCCAGCTGCCTGGCCAGCTTAACTTTGGAATTTAAATGGAAATTCTAAAGGCGGCGAGGTACTATATATTGCGGAGTAGATTTCCGGCGGGCAATTAAGAAAATTGGCCAAAACAACAGAGTGTGGCTGTGGTGGTAATAGCCCAGCAACGACTACATAATAGATTGTAAATATTTGACACCTGCTGCCACCCACTTAACCCCAACCCCGTCGAACTGTGGCCTTAATCCAAACGCAAAACAATGCCAAGCATTTACTCCGTTTAAACTTCTACCCTCCAAGTTCGTCCAATTACTTTTTGCACGATTTGATTTTACATTTAACGATTTTTCGCACTTAATTAGAAGCCAGTGTCGATGTCAGTCGCAGGCAGGCAAGGCAAGGCAAGGAGGCCAGGGGTTGCCATGATTTGATTAAATGTGAAGATGAATTTTAATTAAAATCCTCCCCAAGCCATTGGCTTCCTTTCGTTTTCCCGCTCTCCACCCCTTTTGGATTTTGCGGCCAAGTTTTTGACACTCAACACTTTTCCCTTGGCACACCACCGCCGCCAACCCCTTCTTCTTGTTCTAATAGAGCAATAAAAGCCGCAAGTTCATGCCGGCCTGAGTCATCGTAATTTATGCAAAATGAAAATTAAAGATCCACAGCGTAAAAGTTTTAAATGCAAATGACAGACTAATGAATTCCAAGAACTACTTACAAGTAATTTGTGCCAAAATCTGCGGTCTGTTTTGCCCATCAATTTCGATTAGTTGTGATCAAAAGCTCTCTCTGACTGTGATCAATCCCCTCGATAATAGTAAATAATTTGCCATAATTTTCCCTTTAAATGGTCTGCGTGACAAACAATGACGCTTTGTCCAGGCAAAAATAAAAGCCAGCTGGAAGACTTCAGCTAAAGTTGTTTGGAAAACCTAAAAAAGTAAAAACAAAGGAAGGGAAAACAAATACAACGCATTTACACTCAAACAGAGAATTGTTTTTGCTTTTGGCAGTCACATGCAGTCCATAAAAAAAATTAAAGTACGGCAAGTGAAGTTCGGGCAACAGGTCGAATACTTGATGCGCTTTGTCAGGTATTTTTTAAATTAATATGTAAACAGATTGAGTATGAGCAGAAATATAAATATTAAATCTAGTAAAATAAATACTAAATCCAAGTAAACAACCAGCACTAACTGATTGTACAAATGGAAATAAATGGCAAGCTATTAGAATTTCATAATTTTCACACTTGCAATAATTGCAATTATGCAGTTTAATGTAACTAAAAGTTAAGATAAACGGAGTAATATCTCTTAAAACTTTGTGTATTATAAATATAATTGAATATATATAAATTTAAATATAAATACAATAAATTAAGTAAAAATAAACAAACATATTATATTGATATTAGTTTATGTTATGTGAAGGTTCTTTAGCATTTTCATTAGGTATTTTATTGTAAGGCAGGTAGGAATTAAGTATAAGAAATGTAATGACTGGTTTGTCTAGCTTATGTAGTTATTTTTAAAGCTTTTAAAGAACATTCAGTTAAATAACTAATTAAGTCGTTTGTAATTTAAATTGAAGGGGTGCAAGCAATTGAAAAATGGCATTCTTATTTATTAATACAAAAACTTACAAAGCTAAAGAATGCAGGTTGTGTAAATCTATAAATTAATAATAATAATAATAATAGTAATTTTAATTTTAATTGCAATTACCTGTCAAACATACCCTCTCAGCTATAGGGTGTGTGCCAACTTTTCCACAAATTTCGGCTTAGAGAGAGGAGGGGCCTCGGCTGGCTGTCGCTTCCAATGGCCCATTCAAAATTACGAGCCAACAGTTTCCGCAGTGTTTTTGTCATTTCCATGCGCTCATTGTCAGTTTTAAGTAAGCAACTTCCGCGTTGTTGTAGCTCCACTGTACAGGTTGTTGGTGTTGTTGTGGAAGCAGCCCAAAAGTTTTGTGACCAAAAGTCTGCCTACAAATGCAGACAAATATGGAAAAACTCATGAAATGCAATAAATTTTCAAATATATTTTGTGTGCGCGCGGCAGCAGAGTTTTTCATTTGTCTGTTTTTCGCTTTTGATTTTTATTTCCCATTTTCAAGCAGTTTTTTTTTGTTAGTTTGATGGTTTGGTTCTGTGCGCCGCATATAGATTTTCATTGTTTTAAACTGGTAACTTTTTCTTGGTGCAGTGCACAGAACAGAACTGATAAAGCCACGTTTTGCAAACAATTCAAATGCCGAAACAGCAGCAGAAATCAGAAAAAATAATAAAGAAAAAAGGGGAGAACTAACAAAAAGATAGGAACAGTGACTGGCGTGTGCTCCAGAAATTGACAAAGTCTAAGGTTGGAGAGTACCATATAAATCAAATGTATATTGCGTAAAGTCAGAAGACCGAATTTACGAGTAGCTTCGAAAGGCAAAGCCAAAAATAGCAGATATCTGCAGAGCAAAGAATAATATAAATTTGATTTAAAACTGAGTGAAATTGCGCATTTTTAAATAGAGAATTTCAAAGTGTTTTTAACTTCTTAATTAGCTTTAATAATTATGATTAAAATCAAGCTAAGATACATTTATAAGTTGCAGATAAATATTTTGTTTATGCTACTTCATACTCAGTCATAATAATAGCGAAATATTTTTAATATATAATATATATGACTACTCATTACTTTTAACTAAAAACTTATTGAAAAGATTTTTTATTCACTAACAGATAATAAAGTTAATTTACTTCAAAGTCAGTTTGTAAGTATTTTTTATGGCTTATGTATGCATGCTACTTATTTGAATTTATAACCAATTCATAGTCTATACTAATACCAATTTTATTTTAAAATTGGGGCTTCAATTCATTCATTAAATACTCCCCAAACCATTAACATCACTAGACAATGACTTTCCCGAGCTAAAAACCTATTTATTATAGTATACTATAGTGGACGAACTCGGTTGTCACCCCTTCTTTGTCATATGTTGTAAATTTTAAGAGATTTTCCCTAGAATTGCCCCATCACCTGCCGGAGACACAACATCATACCAAATCAAATCAAGGAAAATCACAGAATATAAAACCTTCCTAAACATCGACCATCTAGCACTGATAAAAGATAACCATTCCTCGACGTTCGACTTCTGTATGAAACGTCGATAAGAGGACGCAGTAGCAGTTGGCTTTGATGAGTGGTACGGCCAAACGTTTGGCTATAAAAACTGGCAACCGTTGACTGTGGGCCCCAATTAAAGCCCTGAGCCGGAACACTGCGGATCGGATCGGAGCTACATAGAACTGGGAAAAGCGGGAAAATGCTGAAGCAACTTGCACTGGTGCTGCTCCTTTGTGGCTTGGCCCTGGCCGAAGAGACCTACGACGGGTGAGTTTTACAAAAGATGGAAAAGGATTAGACAAACCCACATACTAAAATAAATAATTGTAGCATTTCTTATATAATTTTCTAAATGATATTTACATTACTTCTGCAGATACAAGATCTACGATGTGAAGACTAACAATCCCTTGGAGAAGCAGCTTCTGTATCGTTTGTCCAAAAACGAGGCCTATGACTTCTTTGATCTGCCCCGATCACTGGACGCCCCCAGCCGCGTTATGGTTAAGCCTGATGATCAGGTTGCTTTCGAGATGCTTTTGGACAAATACCACGTGAACTTTGTGGTAGTGGATGAGAATCTGGGTGATTCCCTGCGCAAGACAAGTGAGGATAACCAACGGATGATGAACATGCGCTCCGCCGGACGGAGCATCAGTTTCACCGCCTTCCATCGCCATGCCGAGATCAATGCCTATTTGGATGAACTGGCTCTCGCCTATCCCAGCCGCGTTAAGGTCGAGGTCGCTGGCAAGTCGTACGAGAAGCGGGACATCAAGACCATCACGATCAGCAACGGTGATGGCAGGACCGACAAGAACGTGATCTTCCTGGATGCCGGTATCCATGCCCGCGAGTGGATAGCCCATGCCGGAGCTCTGTATGTCATCCATCAGCTGGTTGAGAATTTCGCTGCCAACTCGGATCTGCTAAGGGACTACGACTGGGTTATCCTGCCCGTGGTAAATCCCGATGGCTATGAGTACACCCACACGAACACTCGCCTGTGGCGCAAGACCCGCAAGCCAATCAGCGCCTCCTGCTATGGCACCGATGCCAATCGTAACTTTGACTTCCACTGGGGTGAGGTGGGTGCCTCCAGCTACTCCTGCTCCGATACCTACAAGGGCGAGACCGCCTTCTCTGAGCCGGAGACGCAGATAGTCCGTGATCTGCTTTTGGGATTGAGTGGACGCGGCAAGTTCTACCTGACGTTGCACTCGTATGGCAACTACCTGCTGTACCCTTGGGGATGGACCTCGTAAGTAGTTGGAACAGATTTTTAATTAATTAATTAAGTAAAACCATTCTGGTTTTATTGCATTACGTAATTGTTAATTGAGTTTAATCCACCTGTAATGCTTTTTGCAACTACTTTAAGTTGTTTCAAAGTTATATTTTAGTTTCGTTTTCTTTTCTTTTCGCTACCGTGCTTAACCCATTTAATCTCAGTTAAATATCACATCATCTATTGCAAGTTCCTGCTATTTTTTCCCTGTACAATTTGTTTTAATTCTTATTTAAATTAGTTGACTCTATTTAACCGATATCAATATCTTCCATAGTGCTTTGCCCAGCACCTGGCGTGACATCGATGAGGTGGCCCAGGCTGGTGCCGCTGCTATTAAGAGTGCCACCGGTACCAAGTACACCGTGGGCAGCTCCACCAACGTCCTGTATGCGGCTGCCGGTGGCAGCGATGACTACGCCTTTGGTGTGGCCAAATTCCCCATATCCATCACCATGGAACTGCCGGCTGGTGGCACTGGTTTCAACCCCACCACCAATCAGATCCAGGGTTTCGTTTCGGAGACCTGGCTGGGCATCCAGGCCATGGCCAAGAAGGTCGTGCAGAAGTACTAGACGAGTGCAATAAACGCCATCGATGATGATATTTTGTAATCTATGGGTCTTCTTGCTAATTGGGAATTCTAGGCACGCGCGGGAACGGGAAGATAGGAGCCCCATTTTGGGGTGGGGCCATATCACTCGAGCCGTGGCATTGACACACTGGACTAATTGGTTGGAGCTCTCGGAACTCCACTTAACTTTGGACTTATCGCGGTTTGTTAATTGAGTTCATAGAGTGGATAGGAATTCAAGTGGTGGTCTAGATTATCGCCTGAAGTCGAAACTGGGCAAATTGACTGCCTTGGTAGGCAGTCTTAGACTTGGAGTTGTTTGAATTCAATTTCAATTCAAACAAACATTATATGCTGAATTTAATAAGCTTTGCTTAACTTTTTCTCTGACATAGAGTCTCAATTTATGTGGTTTGAGCTAAGGTTATATCAGGGAAACCTTTTTACAAAATAAGAGAATAATCCATACGATATTAATTTCACCTTAGTTCAGAATAACTACCCAATAAAGTGAGTTATCAGTAATAACGATAGTTAACAGAAATTTAATCTGAAAGATAAGACAACCAAATGCACAATTAACTTTTATCAAACTGGACAAACCAAATAATAGATTGTCTTTATAGCGGCAAGATAATTCACAAATAACGATTTATTGATAGAATCTGATTAGCAATTCAAGCAAGTGGATACTTGGCCACCACTTTCCTGGCCATGGCAGCAATACCCACCCAGGTCTCCTTGACCAAGTGATCAATATCCGAGGCTGGGGGATCGAAGCCGGTGCCGCCAGGTGGCAGTTCCATGGTAAAGGAAATGGGGAAGCCAGCATTAAAAGCATAGTCATCACTGGCTCCGGCGGCCACATAAAGGACCAGAGTGGAGGATCCTATCACATACTCAGTGCCAGTGGCCTCGAGTATAGCATCATAGCCAGCTTTGGCCACCTCATGCAAGTCGTCAACGGTTCCGGCAGATCTCTGGAATGTAGAAATCATTAAAGTTTACACTTTGTAATGAAAGTGGTGAGCACTTACTCGCTCCAGCCCCAAGGATATAGAATGTACGGTCCATAAGAGTGCAGGGTCAGATACATCTTTCCGCGATCCGCATAGCTATGAATGAGATCCCCAACCACGACAGCCTCCGGCTCAGAGAAGGCCTTCGAACCAGCATAGGTATTATCGCAGGGATTCTCGGAGGCACCCTCCTCGTTCCAATGGAAATCAAAGTTCCTGTTGGGATCGGTGCCAATGCAACTGTCGCTGCTTGGCTTTCGGGTCTTCCGCCACATGCGTGTGTCCGCCGACACCTGGGTGTACTCATAACCATCGGGATTCACCACTGGTAGGATAACCCAATCGTAGTCCTTCAGCAAGTCGGCATTCTCCTCAAGATTCTCCACAAGTTGACTGATCAAGTAGACCACAGCTGCCGGAGAGATCCATTCGCGGGCGTGAAAGCCACCATCCACGAGAATCACATTCTTGTTCCGTCTGCCGTCGCCATTGGTTATGGTGACTGTCTTCATCAGGCGTTTCTCATAGCTCTTGCCCACAGTTTTCACGAAAACCCGACGCGGATACTCCTTGGCCAAATCCTCAATAAACTGATTGATCTCGCCGTGGGAATAGTACGCTCCGTGCCCAGTCTTCCATTGTAGGGAAACCAATTCCGCAACATGCGATCCGTGTCAAACTGCCGGCTCAATGTTAGTCCCAAATTCTGTTCACAATCTCGTAGTTCACATTATGCTCATCCATAAGCTTTACGAAATTCACCTGCTCCTGGGGATGAACCATCACCCTAGCCGGATGACTGCCAGATGCAGAAAACACCTCGTAAATGAGTCATTTTGGCCAAATCGGAAATGGCAAATTGCAGAGCCGATGAGCGAGCTTTCGAGGTCACTTCGTAGATCTTGTACCTGGATTAAGAAGTTATTTAAAATAAATTTAATATATATATATAACTCATTTCCTACCCCTCATATTTGTTAACCTTTTGTAGTCCTGCGGACAGGCTCAGGCAACTTAGAGCCAGCAAAATCCACCAAACTGTCATCTTTCCACGTTGCCAGCTCTTCGGAAAATAAAAATTCCACCCCAGCGAGCAAACTTTACTGATTCGTTATCATCAAATCGAACTACGCGGATGGTTGTTAAATCAAGAGAAATCGATCATAGGCTATGATTGCCGACAATCAAATTGACGAACCCTATCAGACACGTTCCCAATTACGCTCTCTCATATTTTTTAATAAAAAAGTGGAAATCAATTCAATTCTGTTACAATATAAAAAAATTAGTTTTTAATAAACAACAGGAAAGGAAGCTAACTTCGAGAAGCCGAATGGATTCGAATGTGAAATCTCTCATAACTAGGCCAAAGATACATTAATTGCAATAAGGAAAACTTTTCTGTTTGTCTTTAAAAATATTTGTAAAATATTTTCTGGAATATTTTTTCAAATGTTTTATTATTTATTTATTTTGAATAATAAATAATTAGTTAGCTCAGTAGATTCTAGATCTAAGCCTGATCTATCTCATAGCAAATATTTACATGATATAATTAATATAATTGTCAAGGTTATGACTTACCGCAGTAGAGGAGACACTCATATCCATAGTCATTGCTTAATTCCTTCCAGTGTATATTCTTAGGGACTTCAATTAGGCTTTTCATGCTTATCCAGATATATAAATTAGTCAGCTATATTATGGTTCGAAGCCAATCACTATCACTAACACCATAGATGTTGACACTGGGGAGGCCGCGGACAGAATGAGGCCCGTGCCACGGCAGCGCACTGTATTTATAGTCTCCGAGTCAAGAGAACAGAGAAAGCAAGAGCGAGAGAGAGCGAGAGAGAGTGAGAGAGAGATACCCAGGGATAGGCACAGAGCGATAGAGCGATCACTAGAGAGATGTTCAGAGAGAGAGGGACTCAAAAACTCAAATTCGGCAAATGTTAAGTATACGTAGTGGTGCGACTTTTTATTTCCTAAATGTTACAATTCCTTTAAGGGGGCTCTCTCCGGGACTTCAGGCATCTATGGCTCAACCTAGTTTATCATCGGCATGCCTAGGGACAACACGGCATGGGGCACTTCGGTGGACACCTTGGTTTGGGGCACCTCGGTTTAGGGCAGCAAGCCAGTGGATCAGGTACTGGGCAACACGGTGGTGGCTTCGGTAAGGGGCAACACGGTGGTGGCTTAGGTTTGGGGCAACTCGGGTTTGGCTTGGGACAAACCGGCATTGGCTTGGGGCACTTTGGCTTTGCACTTTTCCTCTTCACAGCACAGGCCTTCTTAGGCTTTGAGCACTTCCTCTTTCGCTTGGCGGAAGACTTCTTCTTTTTCGTTTTCGAACACTTCATTCGATCACAGGGGCTGCTTTGCCCGCCGTATACCTTCCGGAAGGATCATAATTTAAGTTAATCCCTTAAACTAATAATTAAACTAACAATGAACTTACAGGAGAAAACAAATCTCGCTTACGTTCGGGCATACTGCCCCAGTAGCGTGCGGCTGCCTCCGTTACTCGCACTGTGTAATTCTCGAGGAAGTTGTAAAAGCCATTGTCATTTCGTCTCCAGAGAAACCCTCACGACCAAATGGATTCAACGTATTCATAATTTAAAACTAGACTGTAAGTGTAAAAATTTTACCTAAAAATACAATCAAATCGAATTTTTCTAAAAATTTTTCTGTAAAAATTGTTGTACTCCGACCGGGTTTACGATTTAGACTGATTCTATAGCTAAGCAGCAGTACATAGGTCAATTTTTATTTGAAGGGAGAGCTAAAGATTACTAGATTTTCATGATTAACAACTAACATTTTACTGAGCCAGAACCAAGAAAGGTGTAAATTTATTAATGTACAAAATAAAAGCTCTTAGTACATCTCAAGTAGCTTCTCGGCCATGGCACGGATACCGATCCAGGTCTCCTTGACGAACTCATCGATGCGAGTTACTGGTGGATTGAATCCAATGCTTCCAGCTCCAGTCAGTTCCATGGTGATGGACACATTGAATCCAGCATAGTAACCATAATCATCACTGGCACCAGCTGCAATGTAGAGGACATTGGTAGAAGATCCATATGTGTAGACGGTGCCAGTGGCGGTCTCAATGGCCTCGGCTCCAGTGCGGGCAACAGCATCCAGATCTTCCCAGTTATCGGGCAGATCGCTGAAAGAATCATATTTATTTTTAAATAAGTTATATTATAATTTATAATATTTAACTTACGAAGTCCAACCCCAAGGATACAGCAGATAGTTGCCATAAGAGTGAATGGTGAGGTACATAATGCCACGATCCGCCAGAGAATGCATCAAATCCCGCACTACGATCGTCTCGGGTTCGGAGAAGGCATAGGGACCGGCATAGGTATCCGAGCAGGGATTCGATGAGGCGCCTTCCTCGTTCCAGTGGAACGCAAAGTTACGGTTGGGATCTGCTCCGTAACAGGTCTGTCCGGCATAGTTGTAAGGCTGACGGTCTTACGCCACATCCGGGCAAGGGTTCCGGTCTGGGAATGCTCATAGCCATCGGATTGACCAGGGGCATAATACCCAATCGTAGTCCTGCAGCAGGTGAGCATTCTGCTCAAACTGTCCACAGCTGATCAATAACATACAGAACCGCCGCCGGGGAGATCCATTCTCTGGCATGGAAGCCACCATCCATGAAGATCACCTTCTTGCCGGCCTTACCGTCGCCATTCGTAATGGTAATGGTCTTCAGGACTCGTTTTTCGTAGGACCATCCCACTGTTTTCACATAGACACGATGGGGAAACCGTTGGGCCAAGTCATCGATGTAGTTTATGATCTCCTCGTGGTTGTAATAGCGCTCGGTGCTCAAGCGACCCTTGCCCGTAATGGGACTCAGGAGTCGCTGATCTTCCTTTGGGTAAACTCCTCGGCAATAGAAGCGCCCAGGTTGAAGTTAATGACCCTACTGGCTATCTGATGGTTCTCAACGAGTTCCTGGAACTGCTCCAGCTGTTTGGGGCTGACAACACTCGGGAAGGATGTCCCAAAACACGACTTTCGCTAAGGAAATCGAAGCCTCCAAGCTGAGTTGATGTAGGAACTTTGCCTGATCCATGGTCGAAGGGGTTACCTCATAAATGCGATAGCTAAAATAAATCAGAATTTCATACTTAATCAGTTTCTCTTGCAATATTTCCAGTAGTTAATATTCTTATAATATTTCCTGTAAACTTGTAAAGCTCTTCCACTCAATAGCTTACCCCTCATAGTCACGGTCGGCTGCCACCAAAGCGGCGCCTAAGAGGAGCACTAGCAAGCCCAGGGAAAACTTCATCTTCGATCAGACTAAGCAACCGCGTGGCTGGGGCTAGCCACTTAAATAGCCACCAAGTCACCCGTTAGCGTATCTAATCACCAAATAGATCAATAAATAATAAAGCACTCCAAAAACTCCCGCACCGGTGACCCGCCAAATCAGAGCTGGCGCAATTTCCCAGTTAATGTCTCTTTATTTACAGCCCTATTATTGGGAGATTACGCCGGGTAGCGTCTTATCACCTCCATGGCCATGGCCCGCACACCCACCCAACTCTCCGTGACCAGGCCCTCGATGTGCGAGACCCAGGGATCGAAGCCTAGGAATCCTGCTGCGGCAGCTCCATGGTCATTGCCACCGTGGCATTGGCCACTCCGAGAGCAAAGTCCGCCGTGTCACCGGATGTAGGATAAAGGACGTAGTAGGTGCTGCCCCAAGTGTAGATCCATTGGTGGAGTGAATAATGGCCATGGCGCCGGCCTCCGCCACGGACATCATGTCCTGTAGTGATCCGGTAAGTCGCTGAAATAGATGAATTTTAAGAAATAATTAGGAATTTTTAACCTTTGGCAGATAATTATAATGAGGAGTTAACAAAATATTTTCAAATGCTAGGAAATATGTAGATAACTTAATTGCAAGTTGTTTTTCTCTATTATTTATATAACATATATACTGTGAATGCTTCTGTAATTGATAACTATTTATTATTAGGCGCAACTTTCTTGACTTTATCTAAACGCAGTAAATTGAAAATTGTGCTTTGGAATTTTAATTTGTTATATAAAAAATATAAGTTTTTGACATTCTTGCAAGCCGCTAGCTATCTTGCAATTATAACTTGGATAGGTGGAGCTCGTGTTATGGAAGAAAAAGTTGCAAAAATCTTTCATAGTAACAACTAACAAACTTACTAACTAAAGTAATATTATGAATATAATCTTTTCAATTTATCTAAAATAACTAATTTCTTAGAAGCAATATAGCAAATAAAAAGTCTTATCTATAAACTTACTTGTATATCCCCAAGGCAGTAGAAAGTAGTTTCCGTAGGAGTGAAGTGATAGATACCATGTAAGCCTGTCACTATAATGAAGCAAGACATCTCTCAGAACCTGTGACTCTGGCTGATCGAAGGGCTCTCGCCCCGGTAAATGTCCTCGCAAGGATCTGGTGAGGATCCCTCGTCGTGTCCCCACTCATAGCCAAAGTTTCTGCTCAGATCAGTGCCCACGCAATCCGGATTGGTTGTGGGACGACGGGTCTTTCGCCAATATCGTGAATCCGTATGCGTGTACTCATAGCCATCCGCATTGACCACGGGCACGATGACCCAGTCAAAGTCCGCTAAGAGCTCCTGGTTTTCCACATAGTTGTCCAACAGCTGCTGGATAATGTAGAGGGCCATCGAGGGTGAAATCCATTCTCGGGCATGAACAGTGCCGTCGACCAGGATCACGGGCTTGTTCTGCCTTCCATCGCCATTTGTGATGGTCAGAACCTTCAGGGGTCGTCTCTCATAGCTCCAACCAAACTGCTTCACCTGAGCTCTCTTTGGAACCGTGCAGGCAGAGTGTCCAGATAATCATTGATTTCCGAGTGAGTGTAAAAGGCTTGCAGGACATCAAGATGGGGCAACTGAATCCTCTGCTTTCTCTTTAGATTGTCTGCTCTCTGGGCCTGCACTAAGGGTGCTAAGTCCTGGATCAGCAGTCGGTGTTCCACGAGGTATTCTTCAAGAATGCTAACCAAATCATCGGCTTCTCCGGGAGGAACTATAACCTTCACAGTTCCATTTCCAGTTGAACGCAGAAAATCCCAAAGCGGCTTCTCCTTGGACAACTTCCTTACAAGACTCTCCTGTTCATCTTGAGGCGACTGCAGCTCAAACACCTTGAAGTCCTTGTAGTCCTGCCAAGCAAAGAGGAGTATTGGTTGCACCAAAAGAAGTAATAAGCAGCTCGCAATTTTGAAGACATATTTCCCCGAATGTTCGATATAGACTGAACGATATGAACTGGCTCGATCTAATAGCATTACCAAAGTTTATCATTTTATTGGAGACGCTGCCGCCTGTTTACGATACCAAAAGCGACTTTATATATACATATGCTTCCGTTTATGACACAGACTAACTAAGTAGTTCTCACTTTGTTTGCCAGGGTTTCAGTAATGACTGCCTAATAAACTAGTTCCAAGTAAACAAAAGTACTTCACAAACTTCACTTCACTTCACAATGCTTTAGCATGAATATGAAATTCAAATATCAAAGACTTTCTCAATATTCACTCTTTAATGCTTAACAACGAGGTCACTAATTAGTTTAAGTTTAACAAACAATAAATTCAATCGTTTAAATATCTTAATAGAGGCTAACATGCCGAATAAACTCAATGAAGCCGGCGAATGTCTCCTTGCAGACATGGACGATGTCGTGGGCGGGCACATGGAACTCATCTCCGGGCAGCTCTAGTGTGTAGGACAGGGGAATACCCAGGTTACCGTAGGCATAGTCATCCAAGCTGCCGGATGCCTCATACAGGATCGAAGCTGAGGTGCCAATGGTATACCTGGTGCCACGGTATTTGCCGATCTGGTTGGCGGCCCTCAGAGCCACCGAGCGCAATGTTCCCACCGTGGAGGTACAGTGTTTCTGCAGAGGAAGAAAAGTACATACAATATTAATTCACTAAACTTAAATATTCAGAAACTTTTTTTAATATTTATTCTTCTATTAAAAAATACAATACACTTCTGTGCGTAATTTTTCAAAGTTCATTTCCCGACCTTTTTCTCACTGTATAAAAACGAGAGTGAGCAGCGAATTAAATGGATGCAGTTCCAGAAATATTCGGCCTTAATTGCTTTTAGCAAATAATTGAAAAGTAAATTGAATTTCTTTTCCGGGCTTCCCCGCTGGCTAGGCCGCGGATGGGGTTTTCGGACATGGTATATGGAAATCTGGGGGAGGGAAATCCCACATACTCCCAATACCCATACCCAATCCCATGGTCATACTCACTTCGCATAGCCGTAGGGATAAAAAATGAATTTGCCAAATGAGTGAACATCCAGGCTGAGTTTCACACGATGCCGATTGAATTCCAGATATCTCACCACGGCGGATGTTTCCGGTTCCGAGTTCGGCGACGTTCCCGAGTAAACCTCAGAGCAGAGCTGTCGTTGTGTTTTTTTTTTTTTTTTTTGTAATGAAAAAAGAAAACCATGATTACGACGCGACTCAATGGCGAAGGTCAATGTTAAGGGCTTACATTCTGACTGGCACCCTGATAGTTCCAATGGTTGCCAAAGTTCCGGTTGATATCCACACCAGAGCAGGCATGACCGGCGTAACGATGACGGTTCTTGCGCCAGAAACGATCCTAGAATACACAAAAATTGAGAACAAGATTTAGAAACTATTTAATAACAATATATTATATATGCCGTCAAGATTATACCTCTTTTCTATTCTAGTTAAATATATAATTAAATATGCTGTAGACTTGTTTATAAATATACAATAGAAGTTTTTTTGCTACAGTCCACCTCATAAGAAGGTATCATTTTCAAACCTTACTTTTATTTGATTGTCCTAAGATAAGTATTATTAAATATACATATGTATATAGAAATATATAAATTATTGATTAATATTTTATTCGTAGTTAAAAAATATAAAAAGAAATAAGTTAATATATTTCAGAAACATTTTTGGCATTTATTAGTTAATATTATCTAGGATGCCCTGTACTTAAGTATATTATGACTAAATAAATGACTTTCTTAAATGTTCTTAAGATATTCTTTGATGTATAGATGCTTATAAATATGTACGTATATACAAATTTGGTGTGCACTATATACTTTGTTGAATATTATATAAATAACAAAATAAGAATATTTAGGAAATTTAAAATACATTTTTATTTAATGTATCAAATGTAGGTAGAATTAGTTAGTTGTATTAATTTAAAACTCTCCCAAAACTTACCGACGTATGAGTATATTCATAGCCATCAGGATTGACGAGGGGCACTAGGAATACCTCCACATCCTGCAAAACCCGCTGGAAGGCACGCAGGTTACTCAGGAGCTCATAAGCTAGATACAGGACCGTCTGTGTGGTGATCCATTCCCGTCCATGGGCCGCTGCCTGGATGTAAGCCACTCGTCGATGGCGCTAGATATGTTATAGATCAGGAATTAATATAGGTTTGAATAAAATATAGCTATGGAAATAAAAAATTTAATATATCTTACCACCCGGCTGTTCAGTGAAATGGAGAGTGCTGCAATATGACGACCCTCGTTGGAGTGGCCCAGGGACTCGTAGCGACAGTACTGAGGGTACCTGGCCGCCAGTCCGCTCATGAAACTCAGCACCTCATGGTAGCGGGGATAGTGAGAGAAGAAGCCGCGGGCCTGGCGACGCGACCGGCGACGTGGTTGCTCCGCCTCCACGCAATCCTCCTGCTGGCATTCCTCATACTCCTCCTCCTCGGCGAAGGAGCTATTCGCCTGCAGGGCGGCCATCAGTTCCATGAGTGGCTGCATCTGATAGCTGACGCCCAGGCTGGAGAGGCGGGTCTCAAACTGTGCCTTCCGCCGGGGGCTCACCGTCAGCACGGAGGAGTTGCGGGTCAGTAGCCAGAAATCCAACTCAGCATCGTTGGTCTGCAGATCCACCATGTAACGGAAGGCATTCTCATCGCCATGCTGAACCGTGTATTTTGTGAAGCTAAAATAAGCATTTATTTTATTTAAAGTAAAGTAAAGTAATTTAAATAAAATACACATAATACAAAAATATCGAGTGTCCGACCCTTGACTAAAATTATACTTAACATTTCATGTTGATATAATTTATCTCATGTAAGATTTATTTTCAGATCATGGTGTTTTTAATCTAAACTCTTTAATCTGGAAAATTAATATTAATGGAGGTGCGGACCAAAGAGTCTAAAAAAACTTAATTAATAAAACAAACAATCTTTGAGCCATATTTTGGTAGTGAGTATGTCAAGGTTGGGCAATCTATTGTTTTTAAAAAATAAGTGTTAATTAATTCATTAAGAGATAATACACCATGTTCCAACTAAATATATTTTAGCGTCCATTTGACAAGCATTTAATTTATTTAAAACACACAAACATTTTAACACTTTTTGGTGGTCCTTCTAACAAGTTAATTTTAGTCAGTGGAACCGAGGGTGTGATATGCTTATTAGCCGTTCGCAATTAGCTGATGGATAAACTCCCCGATAGGTAATAATAATTTAGTCTATATAGAGTCGGGAAATCCCGATGATTGCTCCACATGTCTCAAACTAATTGGACAACAAATTAATTTATGGCTCGCCCTCGCCCGGCGTCAAAATGAGTTGTTGATTCATAAATTTATGCAAAGCGGTTTGCTGGCTGGCTGGCTCTTTGCCGTTTGTTGGCTCTTTGCCACCACGCTCGGATCGGTGGCCAATTTATCATCTCGTAAAATTCCACAACGGCACACAGCACACACACGAAATACAAGAAATAATGAAGCAACAAGCGATGCCAGCGAAGATCTGCCTTAAGTCCATGCATTTATCTAGGGTTTGTGGGTGGTGCAGAGGGGGTACACAGCTAGAAAATCGATGTCAATAATATTGACAAGTATTACCCAATAACCTGACATATCACAGTGGTCTCTCGTACCAATATTACTTTTTTGCTAGACTTCATTATTAGTTCCTAGAATGCAATAATGACAGATATACTCTTTTTAAAATTAGTATTAATTTTACAATACTGGAAATATAAAGATACACGGATGATAAGATGATAAGAACCAACATAAATGTAAAAATAAATATGTTTACTCAGAGTACACATCATGTGCCAAAATCCATTATGATATATAGAGCACTTAAGAAGCATATATAGTCATATCAATAATATTATCACAACATAAAAATATTCATTCATATCTAGCTGAATTTATTCAACAATCAAACAATAACTAAATATTTATTTATTTATATAAAGCTAGCGGTTGGTTGTAAACTAAAGGCGCTCTTAGGATAATGAGCATTGGCTGCTGAGGCCTAATTACTAAATAATAAACCAAGATTTATATTTTTCAAATTATGAATTAAAATCCAAATAATTTCCCCCAGTGCATTCGCTTTTGTGTCTGAAGACAAAGGCGCCAACTAAACGCTAATCACGTGTGGCAGCCAACGGCATCCAATGATAATTTAATTAAGCGCCCTCCCGCCATCAGCCGAATTGGAATAACCGGCACGGCGGGGCACATTTTTCATCTTTACATATAAAGATATGGTTTATAATTTTCCCAACACATTTTTAGGCAAATCAGGGGGCCATTGTCCATCAAATGCCACCGGCCTTGTGGAAATGCATAACTCTCTGGGCTTGCTTTGCATGCTTCAAATTATATACATTTCTTATAATTTTGAACTTGAAAAGCTTGGGTGATGATGAAACCATCGCCTCTGCACCAGTAGCAATGATCGGAAGGAAACTGGCAATTGATAGACGGACGGACGGACGGAATTCCATCCTTTGGCTCTGAAATTCTACCCTTTGCCACCGCAAAGCCCTCATCCATCACTCATACGCCACATGGGCCACAGTGGCAGACAACGATTGGAGATGTTGTTGCTCGAGGGCAGCGGCTTGTTTGGCAAACATTTCGCACATTTTGCGATTGCTCGGCAAATCACAAATTGCGAAAATTATCATCGGAAGTGTTGGGTTGTCTAGTGTTTTGTTGTGTTGTGTTGTGTTGTTTGTGGCGTTCAACTGTTGGCCATTGACCAAAGCGACAAAACGTTTAGCGATGCTTATTATGTATTATGACGACTTCTAATCACGGCCAATGGCCATGGGCACGGTTAAGGGCAATATTGGTGGCGTTGAAATGTGAATATACTTCTTAGCTTAGTTTCAATAGGAAATATTGTAGTAAACTCCACTTTTTGTAGTGTCAAATAAATGATTATAAAATATCACAATACATTGAAAATTAAACCTCATAAGATAAAAGAGCAAGTAAAAGATTGTCTTAGGTATAAAATCAGTTAAGAATATTAATAATGCGTTAAATGTTACAGTTTGAGGCACATTATTTAATATTGTTAGGCAGGAATTTTCTCAGGAAAGTAAAATATATATTTTCTATAAACAATACTATTGCTTTTTGTATTAGTTGTTTGATTTTCTTAACCTTTAACTGGTTTCATCATTGTGAAGCAGGTTGTTAATACAATCAGTTTCACTCTTAGTCACGGAAACTCTTTAGCAAACTTTTGTTTTTGATTTAAGTTTATTTTTTATTAGTAGAATTTAAATTAAAAGGTACGAATATTCTCAGAATCAATTAATCAATTTTAGGCTTAGTTATGACATTTAAACACATTCATTTATCCATAAAATGATCATATAAAATGATCGGTTTTATAAACCTAAAATACTCATATCTTAGGGTTTCATTATTGCCAAAAGTCATAAATATTTTTATTTCAAAACAAATTTAATCAGTAAAGAATTAACCATTTGTTTAAACATTTGTTAGGGGTAAAATCATTAAAATTGTCTAAAATGCATGAAGCCAAATATGCAGTATCCTAACAAAAGCCAACACAGAAAATCTTATAGATTCCAAAGATTTATAGATTATCAAAGCTATCGCTCCAATCAGGATGACTTTAACTTGGTGGATACGACATAATGCATGTAGCCATATTTATTGGACCCTTTGGCTTACTCAAAGAAGATTTATATGGACAGCAAGGACAAGGATCACAAGGAGTATGAGTTGAGCAGTTAACTTAAGCTGACATCGTGGCCCTGATCATCATGAAACTTGTTTTATAACTAGAGACACACAAAAAATTCAATTAATGCGATACACCTGATTGATGTGTACGACACAGACATTATCTTTTTTGCTGCTGCTACTAGTGGTTTTTCGGTAACGTTGTAAATTATAATTAATGTGAGTAGCCGCTGATGATGATTACCCTTCGTAGCCGGCCAGGTTGTTACCGAGGCCGGAGCCCGCCAGTCCGAGGAGGCAGAGCGCCAAGCTGCACACGATTCCCTGCCACATTTTCATTATCATGTACTATATATTCGCAATGCTGTGTACACTTTTATTCACTTCCACGATCTGCCCAATTATGTATTAATTTATGCAGTTGCAGTTGCATGGACAAGCACACGATTTTTAGTTTATATGTATCTCTGAATTGCACTTTTGTTGGACGCTAGTTAGTGTCTTATTGTTTGCGCGCTGCACTTGAGCCACCTGATTATGCAAGTGGCTATGATTGAATAGTTAATATTTGTTAATGGCAAACAGTAAGTAGACGATCAGCGGACGCGATCCGTGCGTTCCATCTCCGGTCCGGCGGAAGACTGACGGGCGGTTCGAAAAGCGGCCAAGAAAGAAGACGAGAGGCTGGCCAAAAAGCACACAGACCGAAAAAAATGGTCTCGGATCTCGCGGAGTTGATTGTTTAGAAAAGTGAGTGTCAAGGTCGGGCTTGTGACCAGTTTTTTTGGGTTCCGAAGATATACAATATGAGACCGCGTCACGAGACGAGTTGCGGGAAGCCTTTTAGCCAATTGATCGTGGCACGCGTCAGTTTTATATTATTAAATCGATTTTTATGGCTTAGAACTTCTTGATTATCTTTGCATAATTTATACACCGGCTTAATGCCCTTTAATTTGTACTTTTCCTTTTTTCTCTGTATTGCTATTGGTCTTGATTGGTTTTTTTCGAAAATCGAAAACTAGTTTTCTATAATTTGATCACTTTTTGGCCGAAACAATTTGTTCTCTGGCTTATTTGTGGATTCTGCATCCGCATGTCGCGATTCGTGAATCGATTCTGAAGCCGTAGCTTGTTTATTTTCTGGTTTTTATAGAGGAACTCGTCTTATTGCTAAGGTTTTTATGCTTTCGGCTTCCTAATGTCATGATGATGAGTGTTCTGTGTGCCGTGTGTGCGGTTCGATTTGAAAGTTTAAGATGTATCGTTCCTTTGGAGCACTGAACTTTCGATTTTGTTGGCCAAAAACGGACAAGGTCAAGCCATAGCCGGAAGTCGGGAGCACTTCATTACAGTTACCATCATCTAAATACGCATTTATTGAGTTCATTAATTCGTCAAGAGATCATCACCAGAAGCCAGGTCACTCAACGTCAAAAAATCATCAAACCATCATCAGCATCATCATCATCATCACCATCGAGCCCCTTCAGATCTCCGTTGATATTTATATTCGATCGCTTGACTTTGCTTTCGGTTCGCTTTTGTGTGTAATTATGACACTTGGCTATAGCTTTGGGCACTTCCGGATCGCATCGAATCGATCGGAGCTGCAGTTTACCAAAGAGTCTTGGAAAAAAGTTGGAGCAGATGAGCAGATGAACAAATAATCCGCCGCTATGCCACTCGCTGTCACTCGCATATTTCCGGCAGAACTAGTTTGTGTGAATAATTTACATTTAAAATTCATGCCACTTAATGACTTTGCCTGGGCTTAATGCCCAGCTCAATGGCCAAGTTCTAAATCATTTTAGTTTATTTATTAGCCAGGTCCAGACACCATCATCATCAAGCCAAAGGGGCATTCAACTTTTCCCGCACGCGGCCACAGTCGCAAATCAAATTTATTTGCTATCTGAACTCTGCGATCGCATTAGCTTAAAGGCTTATATATAGTCGCATAAGGAAAGATCAATTTCGTGTTGGTATTATTCAGCCGACCAAGCTCAAGGCATATATGGTATATATGGTTATTGTCTCGACTTCTGCGGGATGATTTGCATCTGAAAACCCATTGGTAACAATAGATGCGTCTGGCCGTAACCATGAACATGAAATCTTTTATCTCTTGTATGGGAACGGAACTGCGAAATAAACAGAGATATAAGTTATTAAAATATTAGTCAATAAACAAACTGTATCCGTTAAGTATTTAATTTTTACTTTATTATATTTTTTCGTGTGCATGTGATATCTTAATAGACTGTTTATTGGCCCAAAGAGTGTGGGATCTTGTTGCGCTCTCGCAGTAATCAAAGTAATCAGAATATTGCCTCACAAACTATGCCAAATTGAACAAAGTTAAATTGCCCTGCCACATGACAAAATATAGGGGATTGTTGGGGCAGGTCCAGGCCAACTTTCCCAGCCATACGAATTTGTTCCGGCATAATTGTTCGGAATTTTGTTAATTCGTAAACAGTTTTATGCTACATTACATTTCGTCATCGCAACTCGAACGAAAGGCAGGAGACAGCCGTCAGTAGGCAACTCCAACAAAAGAAAAAAAACAAATCCCTTGGATTCAACAAAGTTTGGCCCTTTATATTCGCCAACATGCTAATGACATAATGTGCATACTTCAAAAGGGTTCCCCAAAAACCCCTCTCTCTTCCCTAAGAATAAAAAATACGGCCAACCGACTGACTGACTTACTGACTGGGAAAGGCTTCACTTGCCAAGGGACTTTGCGTGTTTAAGCCTTGTAACACTAAACAAAAGTAAAAGAAAATGCTTTTGAATAATATCAGAAAAGAAACGAATAATAAATATTGTGTACCATTAATTACAAATAATTTTTAAGCTAAATGTTTGACATTATTTCAATTAAAAAATTGTATACTATATTGTTTAGATGGTTTGCAATTTTCCGGAATAATTCGCAAACTTAAACCTAAGTCAGGTTTAAATAAAAAATGTATATATAAGAACGTTTCGTTTAAATACTAAAATCAATTTCCAAAATATATTTAGGGTTATTTTCTCCCTTAAAGATGAAGCTAAATTATGGAAAACCTTTTCCCAAAAACTAATTTACCTCACCAGATAAGACCATTTTAGTTTCACAGTGAAGGAGTATATATACGAAAATCGAGTCGGAAAAGGAGTAACATTGCATTATGTAGACATAGCTAGACGTAAATATATGGCAGTCACTGTGTCAGGAAGTTGACTAAAAGACCGTTAAATGAAAATCAACACGAACATGGTTCTCGTATAAATCAACTGGTTGCGTTGCTCCCGGACTCCATGCCATACATATTTATGCCAATTTATATGGATTCGGTTAAGGATTCCGTACAGTTGTATGAATTTTTATGTGCCGCGCACTTTTGACTTTTGCGTTGACATGACATTTGCGGAGCAATAAAAAGATATATTACACTCGGCAACAAGTTGCCGCAAATATCAATGTGTTTTTGTTTATAAGCATCATAAATCGGCACATTTGTTTGATCAGGCTATGAGGCACTTACAAGACAAGAAATAATATACACAGGGAAGTATTTAAATATGCAAATAATTGTAATAAACTCTTAGTACTATGTAGTACTAGTACAAATGAATGATCTTGTTTGGGTAAGGTTAAATGGAAAATAAATAGATAATTTAAAGCATAATTTGGTTGATTAATTATTTATATTAAGACCCTAGTTAACACCATGTAGTCGAATGTAATCAGAGGGCAGATCCCCAAATGAACTTCGCTGTAAAACGCTTAACCGGAGTAGTAACAGGACTGTTCCTACTCTAGCCCAGCTACTGGCTGCACGCCAGCTCCCGGAGTCAGGGTCCTTGTTTATTTGCATTTGAAGGTGCCTGCGCTTTTGGACGCCCACGACGTGGCTGCTCCGGCTCCGTCTCCTGCTGTTGCTTCTGCTCCTGCTCCTGCTCCTGCTCCTTTTTACTGCTCCTGTTCCTGGTTTTGCTCTCCACAACGCCCACCAGTCAAGTTACCCAGCCCCGGACTGACATTTAGCATATTTGCGTTTTGTGGCAGCTGCAGCCCCGGCTGGGGGATTCCGAACCCGAATCCAAATCCAATTCCGCATTACATGCTACCGGGGCCCAACTTATTAAACGTTGTCGCTGTCCCATTTACCCACTGCGAAGATTACACTGAAACAAAAACATAGAGTTTTCATTTAAATTAATTGTAGTAAAAAATGAAATATTCGAAATATTTGTATCAAAGTTTATAGACATTTTCAAAGGAAACCAAATATAAGGGCTATTTTTACAGATATAATATAAGTTTATACCATTAAACAAAATTTTGGGACCCATTAAACTTCTCAACCAGTCATACTTTCGACATTTTAAAACTCTTTTCGAACAGTGCATAAACAGGAGTTGTTATAAGGGAAGTTGGAGTTTTAGTGGGAACCCGAGTTGTGCCATTTATGAGTACAAAACCCTGGCTGCCAATGGTTAAGGCCCGCACAATGGAAGACAATCCCAAGCAGCGCACACGGCTCGCTCTGCTCGTCGTGGAGCGACTGCACCTGAACATCAAGTGCCAGGTGAGATTCCCAGCAGGCCGGACCCCTTCCGCTTTTACTGTCAATCCGATACAAAGTCCCAGTTTCCATTTGAGTCTCTGTATAGCAACAAACCGTAAATTCTCCAGTGATCAAATATTATTTGATAATTTGTTTTGCCGTTTTTTCCTTTGGATTGGGCATCAACTGCTCTCCACAATGTTGGGCACAAAATCCACACGTATCATCGCAAAAAAGGCGACGAAGGGCCAGAGCCGGGAAACCCCGATCACGCCACTCCGTCGGGTGGTCTTCCCGCGACCGGACATCCTGCACGGCTATCTGGAATATAAGCAGATCAATCAGTATCTGGAGTATCTATCGAATCGCTATCCACACTTCGTGCGCATGTACACGTTGGGGCACACCCACGAGAAGCGTGAGATACGGGCACTTGAGATCAACTGGATGAACTCGGAAAACGTAGAGTTGTCCTCGCAAATGCGCGAGCAATCACCTCCGCCGTGCGTGGTCGGCAGCGTTGGTCACCCAGCCGTGCCGGTGGTGCACAAAGCTACCAATGGTCGGAACACTGTATTCATTGAGGCGGGAACCCATGCCCGCGAGTGGATCAGCATCAGTACGGCTCTTAACTGCATCTACCAGCTGACGGAGCGCTACACTCGCAACATCGATGTGCTGCGGAAGTTGCGCTTCATCATCGTGCCGCTGGTGAATCCCGATGGCTATGAGTACTCCCGCACCAAGGTAATTTCCTGTTAAATATACATATGTATACGTTCAATAGAAATTTGAGATATATGTGTAAACCATGCTTACCTATGGGCACCCTTCCATCCTCAGAATCCAAACTGGCGCAAGAACCGACGACCCCACAAGTCCACCAAGTTCTTAGGCACGGACTGCAATCGGAACTACGACATATTCTGGGCCAACGGTCCTGGCAAGATCAACCGGAACACGTTCAAGGGCGATCGACCCTTCTCTGAACAGGAGACGCGGGCGATGCGGAACATATTGGACAGGCTCAGCCCCAACTTGTTGTTCTTCCTCTCGCTGCACTCATACGGCCAGAGCATCATGTATCCCTGGGGTTATTCCCGCGACGCTCCGCAATATTGGCGCGAGCTTAGCTCATTGGCCAACTCTGGTCGGAGTGCAATCAAGTCGTACAATGGTAGGGAATACCGCACAGGTAGCATCAGTTGCTTGACCAAGCGCACCATCGCCGGCTCTGTGGTGGACTACGTTTACGGCGTACTTCGTGTACCAATGGCCCTGGTGATGGAGCTGCCGTCACGGGAACTTGGCTTCCAACCACCGGTCGAAATGATCAGCCAGATTGGGCATGAAAGCTGGTATGGCATCCGGGAGATGTGTAAGCGTTCCTACGACCTGCGCACCCAGATCAATCGCGACGACGAGCCGCAACTGCCAGCGCTGGCACGTTACGTCTCGAATGCCACTAACGAAGAATCTGTTGCCCAAGTTAATGCCTCAAAGGTCGACGAGAAGACACCGGTGGGGACCGGAGGTGGCGATGCTGCCGAAGCCAAATCCTTGCCCAAGAAAAAGAAACGGGTGAAGCGCTCATTGCGGGCTCAACACGAAACCATCCTCCGTTTGCAGAGTTCCAGGCAAGCGGCTGGACCGAAATCTGTGCCGGCCGGACTTTTCCCGCGTCAGCTTCCAAACTCGGCACCACCGAGGAGACCCGGACGCAGTGGGGGAAGCGGTGGTGGTGATGGCATGCTTTTAACTACGCATGGCAAGCTGCCCATTTCCTCAACAATGCCGCTGGGTGTGTTCCTCTAATTGTGAGCCTGTTCGTGAATAGTGCCTAGATGTTTCAGTTTTAAATTAAAGTAAAAAATTTACATTTTATATATATTTCTTTTAAATCAGGTTCTGAACAAAAATAATAAGGTTTAATAAGGTTCATCGTTTTATTTGTGCTTTCCTTTTGCTTTCTAAGAGAAAGAAAATAAATGTACAAGTTCACACACCGCATATGGCAAGTTATATCAATGAAAATTGTTCAGATTTGGTTTCATTGTAACGATAATGTTGAAAATTATATGTTAATTCTCGCAAATTCAGAATGCATCTGTTTCATAGCGGGAGTACTTAAAGACTAATACAACAAATCCATTATTGTTGAGAGTTACTTATCATTGAAGGTTGGCACACGGGGTGCAGCGTATTTCTGGCGCAGTTTGTTGTAGATTTTGCGATCCTGTCGAAAAATAGAGCAAGTTAGAAATAATTTGTATATGTGAAGAACCAATCTTTTTATACCTGTTCATTAACTGAGGGGCGGAGGTGAAGTAGAGCCATCTTGAAATGCTGGTCTCGCACACATAGGTCGTCCAAATTTGTGTTGCCGTTATTGAGAGATTGGCGAAGGGCGAACATAGACGCCTGCTTAACCAGTCCAGCCAAATCGGCTCCAGTGTAGCCGTCAGTTTGTTCAGCAATCTTATCGAGATTCACATCCTCAGCCAGCAGAGGACGCTTTCCGTTCTGCGAGAAAGAAATGGTTATTAGCTATTTGAATCAGCGAAAGATTCAGATTTACTCACCTTTGTGGTGGCCTTTAGAATTTCGGAACGCTCGCCTTCCTCAGGCAATCCCACGTAGAGAATAGTGTCCAGACGACCTGGACGCAGAATGGCTGGATCGATTATATCTGGTCTATTGGTTGCCGCCAATATGTAAACACCCTTGCGGTCTTCCACACCGTCCATTTCGGTCAACAGTTGGTTGACAATGCGAGTCCCTGAGTTGTTTCCGTCCCCGCCATCGGAACGCTTAGGGCAGAGCGAATCGAACTCGTCAAAAAATATGACGCAGGGGGACGAGTTCCTAGCACGTTGGAAACAGGCGCGCACAGCACGCTCACTCTCGCCAACATACTGCAAAATTTCAGAATGGATTAACTTTAACATGAACTTTATTCTAATTCCCTGTAACTCACCATGTTCATCAGCTCTGGACCCTTCACAGAAATGAAGTTAATGCCAGCCTCATTCGCAATGGCCTTGGCCAACAGAGTTTTGCCGCATCCCGGTGGACCGCAGAGCAAGACTCCAGAAGGAGCCGTCAGTCCGAGGCGTTCCAACATTTCTGGATACTTGACTGGAGCCAGCACAGCCAGCTTAAGCTCTTCGCGAATATCTTGTAATGCCCCAATGTCATCCCAAGTAGTGTCTGGCACCGTAACGAAGCCCTCGCGCTTGGCCGATGGCTGCATCGTCTTGATGGCCTCAACAAAATCAGCCAGGGTAAGACGGAAGTGTGGATCGGTGAAATCGTCAGGGGGGTTGTCCAGAAAGTTGGTTAGCTCAGCCAATGTAGGCTCATAATATTCGTTTTCGGAGGGGTCAACTTGCTGCTCCTTTGGCTCATCGGAAGCCATGTCCTCCTCGTCGTCGTCGTCGACGTCGTTGTCCTCGTCCTCATCCACATTCTCGTCCTTGTCCTCATCATTAGCATCCTCGTCCACCTCCATGTTGTCTATTGAATTCTTAATCTTGCCATTAGTCGGCGCTGCCTCCTTGGAGGTAAGAGTTTCGTCGTCAGCTTTAGCTTCTGTGTCGACCACCTCTTTATCTTCATTAGATGCTTCCTTTCCCTTCTTAGCTCCTTTCTTATCTGCCTTTAATTTCTCCTTATCTTCAATCGATACCTTTCCTTTTTCATTAGAGTTTTCATCAGAATTAATCTTTTCTTCGTCATTCTTCGATGCTGCCTTATCACCATCAGCTCCGGTTTCCATTTTCTTCTTATCCACGTCATCCTTTAAATTTAAATCCCCTGTCTTTTCCTCCTCAATAGGTTCATCGTCATCCAGCGTAACAGTGGTCATATTCATCTCACTGGCCTTATGCAGCTCCCGGAACTTCTTCAGGGATCTATGCTTCACGGCCACGTTAGCGGCACGGCAAACGAGGGCCAGCAGATCAGCCCCAACATAACCTGGAGTCAACTCAGCTATCTTGTCATAGTTTAGCTTTGGATCGACGTTCAAGGATTCGCACTGAAGGCGAAGGATCTCTCGACGCTCCTTGCGCGTTGGTATGCGTAGGGCGAATTCGTGATCGAAGCGACCGATACGACGTAGTCCGGGATCGAGGACATCAGGACGTGTGGTGGCTGCAATGACTATCACTGAGTGGCCAAGCTCGTTCATCCTCAGGCTATCCAAGCTGCTTATCAGCTGCGATACAATGCGGCGGTTCATGTCCTTGGCAGCGTGCATGCGATCGCCGGCAATGGCATCAATTTCATCAAGGAACAAAACACAGGGAGAAAGGGCCAGGGCTTGATCAAAGACGTCACGTATGCGCTCCTCAGACTCTCCAGAGATGCCACCAACTAGCTCCGTGGCCGGCACTTCGAGGAGCGGCATCTTCAATTGCTAAAGAGGGCAATAAACAGAGACATTCGTTGACTAATCAGGATAAGGTAAGCATATTCAAAACTCACTCCACTTATAGCTCGTGCCAGATAGGTCTTGCCGCAGCCCGGTGGTCCGTGCAGAAGGATACCCCTTGAGGGCATCAGTCCCAATTGAAAATAGAAATCTGGCGACTTAATGTGGATGAACATCTCGCAAAGCCCCTTAAGTGTATCTTCCATGCCGCCAATTTCGCGGAAGCTCTCAGTGATGTGCTGCACCTCCAGCTCCTTTTTGTTCTTACGAGGTCGTACGGGGCCTCGATGGTTCGAATGATGATTATATGGTTGCTGATAAGGCTGCCTAGCCGCAACAGGAGTAGAATCGTGAAAGCCCGGCTTGAATGGTTTATTAGGAGCCTTGTGGGCTGTTGCCTCATTATCAACACTGCCCAGGACAAAATTAGGTTTGGCTACTAAAGAAATATGCCTATTGTAACAAACATCTAATGCACAGTAAATATGTCTCACCTTTCTTTGCAGCCCCAGACATCTCTGGCACATCGTTCATAAGGCGCTTCAAGGTGTTGATCTGGTTAGATGATGCAGTCGATGCAGCCGAAGTCACAACCGGAGCCACAACCGGAGCCACAGCAGGAGCCACAGCCGGAGCTGGATTTAGATTCGGAGCAAGAGTTTCTCCATTTGAGAGGTTAGTATCGTTGTTGTCTGACTCATCCCCACTAGATATGTCAATGGGCTCGTTTAAAGTTTTAGGTGCCACTTGCTTCCTGGAATGTGAATACAAATCATTCATCATGTTGTTCATCACACTGTTATTGATGGGTTGGGCTTCGTCCTGACTGGAAGAATCTCCTGAGCTGTCCGCCTTGTCCAGGTTGTAGCTGTCAGATATGACAGCAAAAGCTAAAAAAAATTCACTTTTTAAAGAACTTCTGTCAATGTCAAGCCACGCCTCCTTCATGGCCTACCTTGATGCACCAATTGCTTGAAGGGACCGAATTTGCGACGCTTATAGTCTGGATATGTGTTCATCAACTCCTTGGTCATCTGCTTTATATCCAGATAGGTCTCGCCAATATGCTCCTCGAGATACTGCCGTTGGAAATCGGATGGTAAAAAAAATTAAAACAATTTTGCGACCTAACCTTGTTTTTGTCGTGCCCATATTCGGCGCCCTTGCAAAAGGGTTTTTTTTTTGCTTTTCCTCGCAATTGCCGGCTATCGGCTCCAGATCGCGGGGTGCTGCGGCATGGCGATGGAAAACAAAAAACGAAACAAAAGCCAACTCACCTTCTTCACGCGGATCGATATTAATTTATCGTGGAGAAGGGGTAACGCTCCCTTCTCCATATTACGAGTGAATTAAACAAAACACAAAAGGAAACACAATTTGCCGCTCGCCAAATGCAAACGACGCCTACACCTCGATAACTTCTGTTCGCACGTTTCCACTCACCTGCGTTCTACGATAAGATGCGAATTATTCGATAGTTCTATTTTGGGAAAAATAGAATTTTATTTTTTTATCAGGGAGAAAACGTTGTGCTCTTTAGAAATATCAAATGGAAAAGAATCCGGGTTGACACTGCTTTTTTGCTTGACAGCTCGTACCACAAAATTCGATGACATTTAAAGCAGGGCCGCTTTGATACAAACCAAATACGGTCAAACTATTATTACGATGCAATTAAACCAATTAAACCACTTAGCAACAAATGTTGCTAGCATGCCTTTACACTTGAGCAATACAAAATAGAATTTACCATTAGTTTCGACTCACCTGAGTTTTTTGTTAAAACCTCGATTTTTTTAAGGAATAGAGAAGAGGAATTATTTATTTATTTTTTTCGGAAACAACGTTGTGCTCTTCACGAAATTCAAATGAAAGCGATTTCGACTCGCAGGTCCCGTATTCTTCTCAGCTCAGGACACAACACATGATGAAATTAAAAGCATGGCTTGCTTGATTTAAGGAAAACGCGATAGGGAAATTTTTAATTTATTGGCAGACGAAGTTTGATGTAATTAATCTTATATTGTATATGGCAAAAACACTTCAAGAACTCTTAAAAAACAAATGTTTGTGGCATTCCCCAAGAATAATAATTAAAATTTGCAACAATAGCTATCATTCTTTTTGCATTTATATATCGATAGTCAGATAGTCAGCCATCGATATTTGCCCGATAGCCGCACTATCCATCAGCTGGTCGCAGTTTTTATCTCGCTCCGTCGTTCTCTCCCCGCCTCTCACTCTCTCGCTCGCTCGCGCGAACAACTGAGTAGTCGCTGGGTTTTTTTTACAAAGTACTCAAATTCAATGTGCTTTTACATCAACAAACGCTGGTCCGCGCAATAAGTGAGGTGTGTGAATTATGCGGCGCTGCAGCAGCCAGAAATGATGCATTCCGCCCGCACCCCGAACTGAGCACCGAGCGAGCGAGTTGTTGATAAATGAAATCACAATTCCCACAAATCTGAGCGAATAAAGAACTGAACTGAACAAAAAAGAAAGCGCGATGTGCGACGGTGAAATTTGCGAGCCAGTGACTCAGCCACGTTCCGAGGGCGGCGGCGGCGGATCTTCCGGGGCGCCGGAGCAGGAGCTGCGGGTGCCCCACATCGATAAGCAGCCAGGCGAAAAGCACCTGACCAACGGTGGAGCACCCGGGACGCCGACCGCAGTGCAGGTGGATCCCTCCAGGTGGCCCACTGGGCCGTGGAGGACGTGACCAGCTGGGTCATTCAAACCGATCACTTTTCACGGATCCTGCTTGACTGCCTGCGCATGGAGGCCGTAGACGGCGAAGTCCTGCTCTCCCTCACCGAGGATGACGTCCGGGACATGCGCTACCGCCTGGGATACAAGCTCACCTTTGGGGAGCTGAAGAAGTTCTGGATTGCTGTGCTTCGACTCCAGTTGCTGGTAAAGAACAGCGCCGCGGACTCTGTGTTGCTGGGCATCGAGAGCCACGGTGGCCATCCTGCTTATGTGCCGATGGCTACATCTTGCGGACCGCCTTCCTCCTCAACGTGTCCCTGCCCGCAGCTCGAGTGTCCCAGTACAATTTCGGACTGCGAAACTTACTTGCGCTTGGGCGGACGCTATGTGACTCCCGAGTACTTCAAGACCGCCATGAGCTTAGGTGAGTCCGCCTTCCACGGCCGCCCCCTTTCAATTATGAAGGTCAATTGTTCATTGATTGTTTCTCTGGGCTTATCGGTCGTGTGCCAATTGTGCGGAGCGTTTGCTATAACGCAGTTGGTTGGCAAAGTCCGCCTAACACTTCCCCTTTGATAACTCGGAGAAATAAGAGGTTTCCCCATGCAATTTAGTGTCATAAATGCTCCATTACTTTAGTTATTTGTCTGATTTACAGCAAGTCTTAATTTTAATAATGTTTTTTACTGTAAAATGTTTAATATTTTAATATATAAAACCCGTTTTACGTCATCATAACCGTGAAATTATTTGTTTTCCCATGCAGTTTAATGTCATGCTTGCAAAACGTGGCTAATTAAATGTATATTTATTATTACATGACAAAGTAGTAGTAGTTCTCGCACTTATTGTAAGTATTCTAAGAACTTTTAATGTGTTTACTAAGATACGAAGGGTTTTCGAAATTCCACTGTAAAACTAGGCACTGATCCCTTTCCACAATACATTTCCCATTCGATAAAAGGCTTTCCCCTTGTTCTTTAATGTCCCACATAGTACTTGAACTATTTATGATTGCCTACGTCATTTTATGAGCTCCTTGCGTTATATATAGCCATTCAGAAATTAGGCTTCTTATAAGCATTTCATTTGATTACTGAGCAATAGTTTTGCACTGCAAATAGCTATTGAAATAAGCCAATTTCTGTTTAAAATTTAGTTAATTATAGGTTTAGGTCTGAGGTATTTTGTTAGAGTTCATTGCATCACAAATTATATTAACGGCTTTCGGAGATTTTGTCTGAAGAATGTAAACTTATATTTAAATAAGTTATTCAAAGTAATAAATTAATCTCCAAGCTTTCCGTCAACATTTCGATACGGTAATCTCATAGTAATAGGCGTCTGTCAAAGTTCAATGTCACATTCAGTATAGCTAGCTAAATGCGTCACCTTAGTTATAAAATTAGTTGCTGAACTTTACACGGAATCGTAATTAGACTCCCATAAACATACTTTCCCAAAAATAAAAGGCTTCCCTTCGGAAGCCCATGGCGGCACACACTTACAGCAAAGACATTAAGATAATACGTCACTCTAGTTATAATTATAGTTTTTAGGCGACTGTGACGCGTTACTGTTATTTATTTTGAGCTTTTTGGAGGCTATGTGTGGAGACGCCGCTCGCATTTATTTATGTACTCATTGGGGATCTCGCCTCTTATTCTACCTTATATTGTCTTTAGACATGTGCGTTGGGTTTGTGTAACTTTGCGTGCATTAAATTTCAAATTCCGATTTGTTTATAGGCTACCCTTCAAGCGGCTGACTTACTTTACGGGGAAAAGTACGCAACAGTTAAGCGACAACGAAAACAAACACAGTTGACAATCGATTGCCTTGTTAAAGCCTTTAGTTATCAAGTTGCGATTCATATAATTTCATAGAATAAAAAAATATAAACATTAGAAAAACTAATCCATAAGGCCAGTATATTCCTCAGTAACCTTATTTCCCAGCCTAGTAACCCAATTTCCCATCAAACGAGATTATTTCGAATATTTAAATGAACATAACTTGGCACTTATGTTATCTAGGATAATGCCCTATCAGGCCATTATTTTCGATAATACGTTTATCATTACAGCCTGTGTTGTTTGTTTTGGTTTCTTTTATCATGGCCATTTCAAAGATAAGTCAAAATTTGGACAGATAAAGCCTCGAAGAGATAATTCCTTTCTTAGGCAGTCGAATTGTTATTTTTATTGCGTTTAAAATTTAATACAAAATAATTTATTTTCACTTTATAATGGGGTTTGATTTTAAAAAGGAAAGTTTGATTATTTTTATATTACGAATGTAAATGCTATTTTAAAATAGGCCAAATGACTAGGCCTTAAAATGATAAAACACCTTTTTCAATAATCTTAATAATCGTGAAATTATTTAAACAAATTATATTTACAATGCACAATTTTATAACTGATTTTTCCATACGTATTAATAGAGTTAGTAACAGTTCCCAGATCCACATAGTAACAGATATTTTCGCCCTATTGCAGCCTACTCGTTCGTGGTTACCTGGATAACGTCATTTGTTATGGTGATCGTGCACGAGCGCGTGCCGGATATGAAGCGATATCCCCCGCTGCCCGACATCTTCCTGGACAACGTGCCGCACATCCCTTGGGCCTTCAACATGTGCGAGATCACTGGATCGCTGCTATTCAGCATATGGCTTATAGTGCTGATCTTCCACAAGTACCGCATGGTGCTCCTGCGACGTTTCTTCGCCCTGGCTGGCACGGTTTTCCTGCTGCGATGCGTCACAATGCTGATCACCTCGCTGAGTGTGCCTGGAACGCATCTGCAGTGCAGTCAGAAGGACTTTGCCATCGATGATCCCAATGTGGACATGGTAGGCGCATTGATCATTCGGATGACGCGCGCTTATCGCATCTGGAGTGGCCTAGGCATGTCCATACAGGGAGTGCGCACCTGTGGCGATTACATGTTCAGCGGTCACACGGTGGCACTCACTCTGCTCAACTTCTTTATCACAGAGTGTAAGTAAATAAGTAAATTAAGTGGCTCAGTTTGTTTAAGGCTAACTATCTTCTTTTTATCCATGCAGACACCCCGAGAAATTTGTACTTTCTGCACACGCTCACCTGGCTGCTCAACATGTTCGGTATCTTTTTTATCCTGGCTGCTCACGAGCACTACTCCATCGATGTTTTTGTAGCCTTTTACATCACGTCACGATTGTTTCTCTATTACCATACTTTGGCCAACAATCGGGTAAGTACTCTAGTGATTCCCGGAAGATTCCGCCTAACCAAGTTCACATCCGTCTCCTTAGGCTCTCATGCAAAGCGACTCAAAGCGGACACGTATTTGGTTTCCCATGTTTAGTTACTTTGAGAGCAGCGTCGATGGGATGGTGCCCAACGAATATGATACACCCGGCTCACTTATCGATGGCATCATAGATCAGATGTTCTGGATCAAGGACCAACTGGTCACAACCATAAAACGCATCTGGGTGGACGCTCATTCTCCCTTGTCCCCCAAGTCGTCGATTCAGATCTTTGGCTCTGACTCTGATGAATATGTGCACAACACATCCGCCTTCTTTAGTCCGCGTCCGTCGGCCACTAGTAACTTTAATAATGCGGCACCAACTTCTACGGCAACGCCAGCGCCTGCGTCGCCAAAAAGTTTGCAGGCGCAAAAAAAGACCTTTAAGGACGTCAGCCTTGATCCATTCTCCAGGGCAACAATCGCTTCCCCTTCCGCCGCCGCTACCTCGCAGACGCTCGCCAAGGATACGCCGCTGAAGCAAAAGAAGGTGCTCTGATTTCCACAGTCATTCGCTCTTCCAAACATGTTTATCCGATGCCGTTCTTCGAAAAGCAACAATATGCTGAAATCAACCACAACACCGACTGATATTTTTATTTCGAAATTTCCCTTATTTCCCCCTCTCCTACTCCACTCCTTACTGTTACAGCACCCTCTCCTTATCCTGATTCTCCATTGTATTATTTAATGCATTCTACCATTCGTAGTGCCTTCCGGGTCATTTCCCTCTTCTAGAATGCCGACAGGATGTCCCCAGAGCCTTTCCCTGTTATTTTCGTCGGGAGACGCTTCTTATCGGCTGGTAAACGATGATTATGATGATGTTTTTGAAACCCTCCTCATTCCGTTCAATTCGGCTTTGAACTAAATGTATTTATTAATTGAAGAAGACTTCTAATGCATTATTATTATGTAATTGTAAGCATGTGAAACAACTGTATTTTTAGTTAATTAGTGATAAGTTTGGAAAGTTTTGTTGAACGCACAAGAATCAATAAATAAAATTGAATATTTCCACAGCCTGTGTGTAAAAGAGGCTCAATACACTTGAATTGCCATATGCAAGCTATCCCTTTTCCCATTGTGTTATTATAACAACTGTGGTTGAAAGTATGCATGTTTCAATTGCAACTGATGTTAAACATTTTGTAATTGTAAATTATTGTGGCTTCTAGTTTTAAGTCTTCCAACGTTTAGTTTTTACTGCTGAGTTTAGCATACAAATTGGTTTGTAGTTCTGAATTTAACAAATGCATATCCCACGGCTTAAAAGGTATAAAATTCTTAACGCGCATACATTTAAATTGATATATCTAAGAAATTTGCTTGCACAAATCTGTAAATAGAATGCATAGTGACAGGAAGAATGTAAAGCGTTATACATCTTAATATTTTTCGGATAAACGAGGTCCATCTCACCCTAAGATATCAAAAACCTTCAGCATACATTAAGAAATTTAAACTTGGAAATAATTAAACGTACTATGATTCCCATTGCAATGTTTTTCTGAAGAATGGACTAATCACAAGCAGAATTAATAGCCTTAAAAAAGAAAAGACCAGCAGGCGCCTTCTACAATTCATCATTTTATTTTTGTTTGTTTTTCTTGTTTTTAATATAAAAATGGCATTTCTTTACTAATTTTAAGTTTAAATTACTAATGTAAAGTATGTATGATTGCGGTAATTTGAAAAATATATATATATATTTATATATATATCATTTATATGTCATCTTCATATACTTGTATATATTCTTCAATGTGTGAAAAAAATATTTGTAATGAACATGAACCGTCTCTTCTGTATCAAGCGTATATAATATGTATTTATGAAAGCGTTCAATTTGACTTAAAGAATAACGTGTTATTTTCCCGTATTTCATAAAGCAAATTGTTTTGGATGTTTACATTACTTTGCGATAATTTACATCAAAGGAAGAAACAATTAACAAACGATATAATCGAGACAAGTCAAGCGATCATCGTTTCCCCGCCTTGGTACAACTTATATACGATGCAAAAATAAACTATGAAAAGTATGCATTTCATGAGTAGTGAGTTCTCTTTGTGTATATTCCTCTCACAGGCTATACTATTTCAAAAAACAATATTTTTATGTAGTTTGATGCCTTATTTGCTATATGTACCTAACATATTGTTACCAATTAGGCTTTTGTGTTATGTACGAAGCTAACGTTTGAGGTTTCATTGAATCTTTCTCGCTACGGATGCACCTTCATCGCATTATTATTATATGTATCTGTGTGCATATATTTAGTTCTTTTATATAAGATATTTGTCATTTTTATTTAGAATTTTCGTTATGTGAAAAACATAAATTTAACAAGATTATTGGTTGGTTTCCTTCTTCTGTTCTTTTGATGCTGCTTGCGGTTTAATTATTCATCCTTTTTGCTGCTGCTAACCGATACAATATATAATGTATGTATGTAATTCTAGGCGTAAACTATAACTGCTTCCTTTGCATGTATTTCAAAATATATATTAAACACAATGTCGTATGCTTTAGTTTTTTTTTCTTCTTTTTTGTAGTTTTTGCTTGTTTTTAGTTTCCTTATTTGTTGTTTTTGTTTCCTTTTTTAGTTTAAATGAGGGCTGTTGTTGCTGTTGCGGTAGATCTACCGTCACATAAGATCGTAGTGCAATTATTAATTTCTGGTTAGTGAGGCTCGAAAGCTTCTCACACAGCCTTACGATAGATCTGGAAAAGATAATAGAAATAATTTTTAAATATCTGGGTAAGGGACGTGGGCTTGCACGGAAACTCACAGCTAGGCGCTGCCTCGTAGCGACGCTGTATCTGATCATATGTGAACTTGACGAAGGCATCGTACTGCTCGGCCAGCTTGGTGGTCAGCACAGACTCGTAGCGCTCTCGCAGCTGATTCTCGCGCTCCTTAATCATGCTCTCGCAAATGAGCTGGACCTGCTTGAACGTGAACAGAGCCTTCTCGCCGTGGCGCATGAGGTTCGGTGGGCTGTCCGGCCGCCGCGGGCTCTCGGGTCCCATCTCGGATCCACTCGATTCCGAGTCCTGCATCCGCTCCAAGGCGGCCGCGGTGATCGGCAGCTGTTTGCGCTTGTGCAGTCTCTTAATCTCGTTGCACAAGTTCTCGGCCATTTTGTCTGCAAATATTGAAAGGATTATTACCACATTTAAGGAGCTTAGTTCTCTCACTGTAAGATGGCCTTACCTGGTGACATCTTGGCCAGAGATGCCTCACTGAATGGACTCGGCTCGGTGGTGTCCTTGGCGAATCGGTTGCTCGGCGTGTGCGGCAGCCCGGCTGAGGTGCTGGGGTCACGCGATGGCGACGCGGGAGTGGCGCTGTTCCCGGCCTGCCCGAAAGGATTACAGCGACGGCGCTTCGGCGGGCGCTGGTTCATCGACTCCCAGTCGAGGGCGCGTTTCAGTGTTGCACAGGCCATCGCTATGATTATGTTTCTCCGCGAAGCGGTCCTGGTAGATATATAGCGATAGCGGTCACTTGCTAATTGTTGTCACGAAATCTATGTCGGACTCGGGATGCGCTATGAGTTGAGGCGTCGTCTGTAACGGGGAAGCAAACATTGAATGATTGAAGTGAGGCGGAGAGAACACCTTGCTGGGAGATGAAAGACCTGAAACTGGTTTCAAGGAAAAACAGGATTCACTTGCCGCACACATACACGCACACGGACAGGCAGGCAAGAAAATACAATAAAAGAAAATGGTGCAGCGATTTATAGCCTACTGATAGTGCTGGCCATTTAACTGCTTTTTGAGCTATAATTAGCTGGTAAAATAAACGTTCTTTTAGGCCATAATCAACAGTTTTTAACATATTTTTATCTAATTTGATTCTAAGCTATCTTTTATTATTATAGAACTTCTTTTGTTTTATGAAGAGGATCAGGAAGTATACTTCAACAGCAAGTTACTAAGAAAAGTAAGTAACTATGAACACTAAGTAACTATGATCAGTAAGTATCTATGAACACTAAGTAAATATATTCAGTAAGTAGAATGATCAGTAATCAGCGATTAACTATGAGCACTACGTAACTATGAGCAGTAAGCAACTCTGAACAGTAAGTATCTATGTTCAGTAAGTATCTATTAGCAGTAAGTTACTAACTTTGAACACTAATAAACAATGACTTGCAACTTTTGTAACACAACACATTTCTAAAACTTGGCCGGCAGAAGTCACTTCATTCCGGGGATGTTAGAACCAGTTGGGAATTATATACATGTGCGAAATCTGTTTTAGATCAAATTCTAGAGCAAGCTAATTAAAAGAAACTATGAAGTTATTCTTCTAAATAATTTTACTAGTATATAAGTCGGAGCATGGCGAATCGGTGGACTATATATATACATATATATAGCTGCCATGGAAACGATCGGAACATTTAAAAAAAATTATAACTTTTCCAGTTTTTTACAGATTTTCATTAAATTATTCGACAATTTGTGTAAATTTTTATAAAAATCGGACTACTATATCATATAGCTGCCATACAAACGATCGTTAAAAATAGCGGAAAATGCAAAATGGTGAATGTAAAACTGTAAATATAAAATGTATTGGTTAAAGAAAGAAAGCCGGCATTACTTCATTTCTTTTTAACATAAATGTACTCTATATATTTTATAAATATGTCTAATCGTAGGTTATTTTTTAATACGAATTTACATTTCTTTCTAATGAACTGAAAGCCCTACTGTACATGTCTCAGAGGTCATAAATCATGCTAATGGATTTAGCTAATTTGTCTGACTATCTTTTTCACAGCCAGCTTTTTTCCAGCCAGAAATCGACCTGCACCGATGTCCTGCAAGCAGCTGTGCCGCTGTCGCCGCAGGAAAAGGGCGATTCCGATTCAAAATCCCTAAATGAGGAGAAGAAAACGAAGAACCGAAGAAACGATGTATGTGGCGCAGCGCAATTAAAGGACGACGGACAATAAAAACCACCACGACAAAGGCAAATGCATAGCAATGCAGACAAGGGCGCAGCGGTGTGGCGGTGAAGAAAAAGTGTAAACTGTAATCCAATGCCAGAACACGAACAACCACCATGGAAACTACGCAGGATAATGTGCGTGTTCTTCACTTCTCATTCTCCTGCCCCTAGTCTACTTGCCACTGCTTCTTCGTTGCAGCGGCAGCTGTACCAGCTGTTTTTCACACACACAAGCACAATCACACTCATATAAGAGCACACCCGAGAGTTCGATTGACCGAAATCAGTCCGCAACACGTGTGTGTGTATAAGTGCATCTGCGCTCTTTCGAAGCAATTTTCACCTTCTTTTTTGTATTAACAATATTTAATACGTTTTGGGGTTTTACGTGACAAATACCATGCCAGAGATTAGTTTAAAGAAACCAAAATGACAGCAGCAGCAAGCTAATGCGATCACACTGGTCGTCTCGCTCTTGCACACACACACGCACACAATTGTGAGTTGGAATGTTGATTTCGTGAAATTTTAAAAATGGTCGAAACGCATATCATTATCAGCTCAGCTCCCTGGAAAGCTTGGGCATTTTTCACACCATTGCACTTACGTTAATTGTTTGGGCGCTGCGATGACTGTTTCCGCTATATCTTGCTGTTCGCTTTCTGCACCACTTCACACGCGCTTTATTTACTTTTTTATTGTGCCACTACTCCGCTGGCACATACGCACGCACATTAGGGATCCAACTTGTATGGAATCTTTATAGTTAATCTTATATTATTAAGTAGTAGTATTGCTTGCTTGTTGTTTTGAGCAGTATTTCAAAGGCCACTGAAATGCACTGTCTGTAGGTGATTCTGCTGTTTTTATTTTACAAATTTTCGTCTCGCTTTGGGATTCTTGGGAAAAATGGACGACGATGCGTGATGGAGCTATAAAGAGTGTTACTATCGATATTATAAATGCTGTTGGCGATACATCGATACTATTTCTTAACAATTATAATTAGCGTCAAAATGGAACGGTGGGAAATCGAACACTAAGGGGATTCAAAACAGGTCGAACCATTTTTCTTAAAAAAATTATTTTATATAAAATAAAACTCACTGTTTAACTCTTATGGAATGTCAAATTTTTTTATTCTCCCCCATTACATTTGGTCATCCATGACGACTTCCCATATTTGCTGTCCTAGTTTGTTTGAATCAGATCCCGAGGTAAGTTTACTTTTTATGCTATTTTCTAAAAAACTGATGGCTTGCGGAAACTTTATAGTTTAATTCTTTAATACATATCCTGATTGCGGGCATATCATGTAGTACTGTATTTCTTTAATATTTGTAGAAATTAAGTAAATTGTAAAATCACGAATTATCCAAAGGCTTTTTTAATTGATCTGAATGTGAAATGCCCAAAAAAACGAAGACATACATTAGCAAAGAAATTTCTCACATGTACATATATATTTAATTTTATTTACGAATTTTCCGCAAAACGAACACTCCAGAACTTGTAAAAGGCGGAACCATACAGAATTTCTAAGAAAATCGTGATCTGCCAACGGCTTTGGATTATAAAAATATATAAAAGAACATACAAACATTATTTTATTATGGATTTGAAATTTTTATGTTTAATATGCTTATTTAATTAAAGTGCGATTCGATTTTCAGAAATTGACAGATTAGCATGAAACTTGCCAGAACGACGGCTTGCCCCCGTTGACAGCCCGAAAGTGAAAGAAATTGACAAGGTTTCACAAATAATTTACTAATAAACTGTCTTAATAAATAAAATTATCGCTTCACTACTCTAGCCTTAATTTTTAAGCTAATATCAAATTTTTAGGCTGTTTCTAGCTTTTTTCAATGGTTGGTAGGGTTAGCTTTTTTGTGGAGTGACTAAATTTAAGTTTTTAGTGACGGCACAGAAACATCGATGGTCGACGTTTTCATCGATGATTTGCGCACTTCTAATTGTTGTTACGCGAGCGATTTAGTTTTTATTTCTAGTTAAATTTATCAAAGAAATTGTCTAGAATGTTAACTCTACGCAACGCTCAGAGATTGAGCTTTCGGTAGGCTATAACTCTGGATACTTAAATCTCAAGAAAATAATTCACCTTACCCGTTTTCTCTGCCAGTTCCCTGCTGCCGGCTGCCTACAAAAACGTGGGATTGGCCAGCTACTCCTCACAGTCCAAAAACGACGATGGCTACTCCTCCTCAGACGACGAGAAGCCCACCAAGAAGAAGGACAAGCCCGCGGAGACGGCGGCCCAACGCTTGAACCGACTGCTGGGCACCATGCAGGCCACAGATCAGCTTTCCGCAGCAGACTTTCCACGTCCTGGCGATGCCACTCGCCGTCGCAGAGAGGCCCAGAAACAGGAGGCAGCTTCCAAGAATGTCCTAACGGCAGCAAAGAACATTGCCAGCATGTTGGGTACCAGTGAGAGCGACAAGAAGCAGACTGAGTCAGAGCTGCTGGCCAAGCTCCTGGGACACGGCAGCGAAACTGTTCCAGCAACGTCGGGTGAAGGTCAGGCGTCGGATGCTACGGCAGCTCCAGCTAGCGAAAAGGAACTGAACCTAAGGTGAGCATAATTAAAAAAAAATATATATATAAATACATAAATTACATTTTCGCTGTCCTCCCGGCAGCGAGTTGATTGTAGGCATGAAGATCGATCGTCGGCAGCAACCGCAGCAGCTGGAGCAGACTCGCGGGGAGTACGTTCGCCGTTCGCTGGCCTCTCGGGCAACGTCGCAGTCGAGGGATCGCTACCAACAGCAGCGTCCGCCAAGGCATATTAAGCGTGAGGCTGAATCCTTTACGGGCAGCGTCAATTTGTATGGCGGCGAGCCGCTCGGAATCTTCAAGGAGGACGCCAAACAGCTGCCCATCTCCAAGGACATCCTGACCACCTGGTCGCACCTGAGTCAGCGAGAACTGAGCCTGCAAGCTGCCCATCCGCCGGCCAACTACTTCGAGCAAATGGTTCTGTGGACGGACCAAGGCAAGGTCTGGCGTTTTCCCATCGACAACGAGCAGGACTGGTCGGACGAGGATGTGAACGTGGACTTCTCGGAGCACATTTTTCTTGAACAGCACCTGGAGGGGTGGTGTCCGAACAAGGGTCCCATTCGCCACTTCATGGAGCTTGTCTGTGTCGGTCTCTCCAAGAATCCCTATGTGACGGCCCAAGAGAAAAAAGATCATATTCTTTGGTTCCGCGACTACTTCGAGGCTAAGAAAGACATACTAAAGGACTTGATAGGCAAAGAGCCTAAGAGCAAAAGTATTTCTGCTTAGCATGTAACTTTGTTTTTGAATATTCGTTAAAAATATATTTTTTGCTTTATAAGACCGACGATATATAATTATATATATATGATATTGTGTAGAAATATGTGTGTGAAATCCGTTATGTATATATCCAAGTGTATAAACCTAATACTTCGAGGGCTGTGCAGAGGACTGTGCGCGGAATGTATGAGCAGCCGGCGGCAATTGGGGGCTTCAGAACAGCAGGATACGCTTCTCCACCGTCTTGCGGCAAATGGGACACCCTTCGATCTGGTCGCCGCACATCTGGCACGTGCCATGGCCGCACAGGAAGACCATATTCTTGATGCGATCGAAGCACACAGGACACATAGTCTGGAAATTTAAAATCATTTACATTTCATTACAGAAAACTGAGCCGAATCACTCACCTGCTCCTTAATGTCCTGCAGCTGCTGCTTTAGCTTCTGCACATCATCCATTTGGAAGTTGTTGACATTGGATGGGGCCACGATCACGCTGCCAGCAGCTGCAGCTGCTGCAAGATTCGACATATTCGAAGAGGCGGCTGCCAGCAGATTATTTTGACTGTTCAACTGATTACTGCTGCCGGCTACCGGCGTGACCACCGTATTGTTCATCGGCATACTGTGGCCGGTGGCATTGGCACAAGCTGCTGCTGCCGCCGCAGCTTCCATGAATCTTTCGTCGGGCATCGGCAAGGCCACACCTCCTCCAGCTGCCGCCGCCGTTACCTTCTCCGGTCGTCCAATTCCGCCGCAACAGAGACTGAACGACAGCATCTCGTCGATCTGGGTGCGACAGAGGACGCATTTCTTCATTAGGGCACTGCAATGCTCGCAGGCCACCATGTGGCCGCAAGGCCGGAAGAAGACGGCTGCCCGCCGATCCGAGCAGACCAAACACTCGTCGATCTTCTCACGGGAGGAGACAGTCTCGCGACAAATAAGGCACTTTTTCACTCTGGGAGCGCAGGTCTCACAGCAACTGACATGACCACATGGCTTGAAAACCGTATCCCTCTTGGCATCAGAGCAGACGAGACATTCATCCAGACTGGCCGACGATTTCGGGGGATCCACGTGCAGAGATTGGCTCATTTCATTGGAGATTCCATTGAGGCCAAAGGCGGAGGAGGAGCCGCCTGCAGCGACAAAGGTTGACGAAGCCGACACACTGGTCAGTGGCAAGCTGGCGGACGAGGATTGATTTAGGTTACCGCCACTGGCAGCTCGTGCCCTGGCATTCGAACTGGTTCCAGCCACATTACCCGGAAGCTCAGAGTCATCCGTTTTTCGTTCATTATAGCACTTGACTAAGGTCTTGCATAGATTGGGATCCGGACAGAGATCCAACGGTGTCTGCTGCTTGCGATTCTTGAGGGTTAAATCGGCTCCGTTGGCGGCCAAAAAGCAGGCAATTGACGCTGATGCCTTCTTGTTATTGGCATTCCTTAGCCCCATTAGAAGTTTACCGAATCCCTCCACGTCCTGGAGCTGTTTTAGCTGCGAGAGTGTGTGATGCCGAAGAGCTTCATGAAGCGGCGTATCCCCGTCCTTGTCGGGTATGTTCAGATCGGCACCATCCTGTACCAGCAGCTTGACAATCTGGACATGCTGACGCTCCACGGCCAGATGCAGAGCTGTCTGCAGATTCACATTTTGTCTGTCCATATTGGCTTTGCCCATGTGCACCAGCAGCTCGGCAATCTCTACGTGATTGTTGAGCGCTGCCAGGTGCAGAGCCGTGTAGCCATCGTCCTTCTTCTCCTCCACAATCCAGGGACGATTCGTCTTGGTCAGCAGAATCTTCATGGCGCTGGGATTACCCTTGAGGGCAGCATGGTGCAGGGCATTGAAACCATTGTTGTTGTTCAGCGTTATATCCGCCCCGAAGTCCAGCAGCAGGGAGAGCATCTCGTCGTGCTCCTTGGAAATGGCATCGTGTAGTGGTGTATCGCCCTCCGAGTCCTGCAGGCTGGGATGGCAGCCCAAGGTAAGCAGGGTCTTCACCACATTCAAATGGCCCTTATTCACGGCAATGTGCAGCGACGTTTGCCTCCGTTTATTTCTCGCATTCAAATCCGCGCCAGCCTTGGCCAGAATCTCTATTACAGCCGCCTCATCGCCGAAGGCGGCGTGGTGCACAGCCCTGTCGCCATCCTTGTCTTCAATCTCCACGTCAACGGCATGGCGCAGTAGCACTTGTATTACCTCAATGTGTCCGTTTTGGCTGGCAGCTTGCAGAGCTGTGTGCCCGGCAAACACGCCATTAACATTGACATCCGGAGCCGAATTGGGCGAGGCACTAGATGTGGAAGGTTGGCCAGCGCCGGCCAGATACTCTTCGCAGCGGGCCTGGAATAGTAGAGATGTTAAATATGTTGATTTTCCAAGGATTATTCAAACACAATTTGTACTAACCGCAAATCCATTGGCTGCCGCCTTGACGAACTCTTCAGTGGCATCCCCAGAGACATTCGGCTCGAACAGTTTCTTGAGTATGGCTGAAAGTCGTTCACCACTTGGGATGACCGGAGCACAGCTCCCATCAGCGGCCGTGGAAGAGGCCACCTTGCAAACGGCCAGGGGATTGTAAGTCCACGATGTGTTGCCCACTTCGACCTTGAGGTCGTTGTCGTGATACACCTGCTGCACTCTGCCAATCTTTCCCAGCGTCAACTGCATGGCATCTGCCCATTCGCCGTGTCCGCGCTGCAATATCTTGATGCTCTCGACGTCCGAACAGATCTTGACAATATCTCCCACCTGGAACTCGGGCGGTGCAGTTGTGGGCGAGGATACCTTGGTTAAGACGGCTGGGTTGAAGGTCCAACGGTTACCGGAATTGTAGGCCACCACAATGTCGTGATCCTCGTCGATGCCAACCACCATTCCCGCATTGCTCAGACACTCGAACATGCCGTCGGTCCAGCCGCCATGTCCGTGCTGCAGGGATTGCACAATTTCCAGGTCCAGATCCACTGTGACCTTGTCGCCGATTTGAAAGCCATGTGGCCCCTTTCCTGGTCCATTCTCGCCCAGAAGCGGCAGGTGATCGCGGTACACATTACTGCCTTTGGCATCGTTGACAACCTTCAGATCGGCCATTCCCTCAAAGCCCACACGATACAGATTCTTGGAGCCATTGTCCCAGATCACATAGGCAGCCGATCGTGGTGAGGCCGAAGACCAATCCTGGATCTCGTTCACCTTACCGCGCCGTCCAACGCCGCCGTCTTGGTCTTCCCACTGCCAGTCCACGCCGCGCACGACTCGGGCTCCCGGAAATATGCCTCTGGCCAGAACTTTCTTGGATTTGCGACGCGGCTCCAGCATCGTACGCTCGCCTCCGGGTGTGGTGATTCTATAGAACCGATGTCTGAGATGATGCTTATCTCCGTGGTAGCAGATTGAGCACAAGTCGTAGTTGATGCACTCAGCGCACTTCCAGCGGATGCCAAAGATGGGCTGCTGGCGGCAGGTGTCGCACATAGTGCCCTCATGCTTGACTCCCGTGGGGGCGCTGTCCAGGATCCTCAGATCGTAGGCGCCAGCGCACCTATAGTTGGCCGCAGTGCCGTTGTCCCATACCACAACCACTTCCTCTGCAGATTCAAAATTACGTACGGTGCCGACGTGTCCTTCGCCGCCATCCTGTGAAGGAGAACATAAAGGAATTAGTGAGTCACTTAATCTTTCGATTTTTGCAATTCCGTAAACCCGAGACCCACGCTGATTAGGATGCGAAAATAGAAGCTGTAGTGCATCATAATAGCAACTAACTAAGTGTTAAGGTAGGCAACGCAATCGCTTGTGATCGTCGGTGGTTATCTCTCCTAAGGGATGAACGAGTAAAAAAAGCGGGGCATGAAAATAGCTAAAAAGTATCGAAGATTTGAATACCTTAAGGAATGTATAAAATGATTTATAAAGCCAGAAAAAAGAACTGATAATACAGCCGATACAGGTTATCTTCCAGCAGAATTCTTCATATTTATAATGGTATTCTTTATTTATACAAATGAATTTCATGCAATCTTCTTAATCACAATAAATTGCACTTTGTAACATTAAGAATTTTGAAAAAGTGCTTATCTCTTTAAGACCGATCGTTGATTAAAAAAACGTCAAGATAATGCAATCATTTTATATCAAACTATTTGCCAATTGTGTTTATTCATTGACTGTTTTAGCTCAATCGTTTTCCTTTCTGTGGAAATCGGTGTCATCCTGGCAAGATCTTTGGAAAACTGGTTTAGACAGGTATGATAAGAAAGAGGTCAGCTTAGTCGCAATTTCAAGAGCTTGATTCTAAGGAGAGCACACTGAATGCTCTAAAGAGTTCATTCTGTATTTCAACTCGGTATATATTAAATAAAATAAGATTACTTTTAAATAATATCACCAGTAAGTATCAATGAAAATTAAGTAACTAAGACCAGTAAGTAACTATGACCAGTAAGTGTATATGATCAGTTACTAACTTTGAACACTAATAAAGAATGACTTGGAACTTTTGTAACACAACACATTTCTAAAACTTGCCCGGCAGAAGTCACTTCGTTCCGGGGATGTTAGAACCAGTTGGGAATCATATGCATGTGCGAAATTTGATTTGGAACAAATTCAAGAGCAAGCTATTTTAAGGAAACTATGTAGTTATTCTTCTATATTATTTTACTTGTATATAAGTCGGAGCATGGCGAATCGGTGGACTATATATATATATATATATATATATATATCTGACATAGGAACGATCGGACGATTTATAGAAATATGATTAGTAATTAACTCTGACCAGTGATTAACTATGATCAGTAAGCTTCTATGAACATTAAGTTACTCTGAACAGTAAGTATCTATCACCAGTAAGTAATTATGATCAATAAGTATCTATGATTACTAAGCATGTATGATCAGTTACTAACTTTGAACACTTATAAACAATGACTTGCAACTTTTGTAACACAACACATTTCTGAGACTTGTCCGGTAGAAGTCACTTCGTTCCGGGGATGTTAGAACCAGTTGGGAATCATATGCATGTGCGAAATTTGATTTGGAACAAATTCAAGAGCAAGCTATTTGAAGAAAACTATGGAGTTATTCTTCTATATAATTTTACTAGTATATAAGTCGGAGCATGGCGAATCGGTGGACATATAGTCCATATATACATATATATAGCTGACATAGGAACAATCAGACGATTTATAGAAATATTCTCAGTAATTAAGGCTGACCAGTAATTAACTATGATCAGTAAGCTTCTATGAACATTAAGTTACTCTAAACCGTAAGTATCTATGAGCAGTAAGTAACTATGATCAGTAAGTATCTAAGCATCTAAGCACGTATGATCAGTTACTAACTTTGAACACTAATAAACAATGACTTGCAACTTTTGTAACACAACACATTTCTAAGACTTGGCCGGTAGAAATCACTTCGTTCCGGGGATGTTAGAACCAGTTGAGAATTATTAGCTCAGATGTGCGAGATTTGTTTTGGAACAAATTTAAGCTATTTGAAGGAAACTATGCAGTTATTTTTCAATATAATTTTACTAGTATATAAGCCGAAGCATGGCAAATCGGTGGACTATATATAGACATATATAGCTGCCATAGGAACGATCGGAAAATTAACTATGAGCAGTAATTAAGTATAAGCAGTAAGTAACTCTAAACAGTAAGTATCTATGATTACTAAGCATGTATGATCAGTTACTAACTTTGAACACTAATAAACAATGACTTGCAACTTTTGTAACACAACACATTTCTGAGACTTGTCCGGTAGAAGTCACTTCGTTCCGGGGATGTTAGAACCAGTTGGGAATCATATGCATGTGCGAAATTTGATTTGGAACAAATTCAAGAGCAAGCTATTTTAAGGAAACTATGTACTTATTCTTCTATATAATTTTACTTGTATATAAGTCGAAGCATAGCGAATCGGTGAACTATATATACACATATATATAATATATAGATGCCATAGGAAAGACCGGAAAATTTCAAGAAAAATTATAACTTTTCCAGTTTTCAAAAAATTTTCTGCAAATTTGATATAGCCATTAAATATTAATCTAGAATTTGTGTAAAATAAAAAAAATCGGACTACTATATCATATAGCTGCCTTACAAACGATCGTTAAAAATAGAGGATATTCGCTGTAAAATTTATATTTCATGCAATTTAACACAAGTGTCTGGTTTTGCCATAAGAAATTAAAACCAAAAGCATTTTCCTTTCTATGGAAAATGGGTGCTCAATCCTTGTCGGATAAGTGGGAAAACTGGTTGGAACAGGAACGATTAGAAATTGCTTGGCCCCGACTGCATTTCCCTGAGCTAGATAGCAATTAGGCCACAGTCTCTAGACTCTAAATTGTTTATTTAATTAACTTTTCTTTTAATTTCTGTTTAAAAAACGATGCCCAAACATGACAGCTAAATTAAACAAAACAAAAACTGAGAAACACATCGTTTGGCAAAACTCGCGATAGACATGACTAATTTGATGAGTAAAGTTTTGGGACTACACTAAAAATAAAATAATTATGTGGATTTGTATATATGTTTTGACAGAGATAAACATTAAAATTTAATAAAATAGGATCCCTTTCCAAGGGACTCAGTTAATGTTACACTTAATCAAAGGTTGAATATAATTTTTGATTATTTTTTTTACGAGTATTTTGGTTTACTATACACTTCTTTATATTTCTTTGCTTCCATTAGGTTTCTGTATTTACAGTATATAGCAAGGACTGCATTGTTTTTTTTTATTATTTTAAAATGACATAAAATTAGAACTTTTAATTATTATTATCATTTTCTCAGATTTAAAATTTGTCAAAAAATATTTCAGTTCACGTTAAACACATATTTATGACTGATTCTATGTACTTCTTAATTTCATTGTAAAATACTTTTTATTTATTTATCAATCACTTCGCGAACTTCTTGTTAAATGAAATATAAATTGCACTTTTCTTTTCTTCTTGTAAGAAATATTTTAAAAATGTATTGAAAATATGCAAAACTGGTCATTTTATCGATTCACTTAATAACCATGGCCTATATATATTTTTGCACACTTTCTCCTCGACATACTACACTTCGCAACTCATACTAAGACATACAGCGATCCTTAGGTGGTGCAGAAGCAGGCCGCGACAGTTACGGGCCAAGAAGCTGGACAGAAGCCTAGTCATCGATTCGCGCACTCTTACAATTAAAGCAATTGATCCGGTCAATTGCCCAGGGGCGAGTGCTGCGCCGAGTTGACGATCTGCCGCCGCGATGCGGCGACTAAAAACCAAAGCACAAAACTTGACCTCACCTGTTTGTTCCACTTCCAGTCTGGTCCGCGGATCACCCGCGCTCCCACTCCCTCCATGGAGAAGCGCCTGGCGACGGCTGCCGCTGAATTCGCTGCTCCTGCTCCGCCGGCTGCCGCTGTCGCTGTCGTGGAGGAGGTGTTTCCACTTGCAACTCCTCCTGCCGCAACACCGCCGCCGCCGCTGACGCCCCCGCCCCCCGTTGCACTGCTCACTACCACACCCACAGCCGTCGATTGCTGGGTGCCCGTGTTCGTGTTTGTAGGTGCTCCGTTGGCCGCCGCCGCGTTCGTAGAGTCCTTGCCCGACGTGAGAGTGGCCGCGCAAGACATTTTCCCCACTCCGGCACGGCTTTATAATAATGGCAACAGATATATTCTTAGGTTTTATCGCGTTGAAAATCGGGAGTCAAGGAATTTTTTTGCTTAGCGAACGACAAGTGTGACCGTCGCGGGTCGATCGAAAAATACCACGAAATTGGCTGTCAAGCAGAATCAGGAAAATACCATAAAATTGACAAGCGGAAAGACATCGATGGCTATCGATATTCGCGAAAAACATCAATAGGATGTAAAACACCAATTCTTTTTACATTTTTACATATATAACTTTTACAACTCAACTAAAAAAACAAACTTAGTCAGAAAATTTTAATTTCAATTCGGAAAGGTTTATGGCCAAGTTTTTATTTGCAAACTGAATTAAAATTTTTAATGATATAATTATGGGGAAATGGAACTCATACATTTTAGCAAGCACTGGTAGTTCTGGCATGTAATATTTATCTTATATGATTATATATTTGTAAACATTTAAAAAACGTCTATGCATTTATGATTTTCCACCACAGGTAACTATGGTAAAGGTTAAAAATAAAATATATCTCATTTGAATGTATTTAAAACTTGGTAATATACACATATATTCATATTATTTAAGTTATTTTCATTTATTTTATTTCTACATGAGCCCAATTTACAAATACATTGAATAAGGAGAGACTTATAAAGAAATGTTAACCCTTAACAAATATTTTATTTAAAACTAGTGTTAAAAGATTTTATTCAAGTCATTATAAAACATTTAAGATAAAACCAAAAACAAAAACACGAATGCCTAAGTCGAGGTCTTAAGATATTGCTCTGGATTGGGCAGAAATGCTTCAAGGAAAGCAATTCCTTTTGGCATAAACTGAAGGTTTTCATTAAACAGATACAGTTCCGGCTGCAGGATGTCAGTAAAACAAATCTCCTCGACATTGGCTATTTGGACGACGAAATTGGTACGTTCAAATCGAACAAGAGGTTCGTCCTCGATGCATTTAACTACGGTCTTTCGCACAAAGATGCGATTTGATTGTCTAAAATACAAATAAATAATTATACTACAGATCCTTAGTTGTATAAAAAGTAATATAAACTCACCTCAAAAGCCTTGAATTCGTTGCCGTGAGTACTGTCAGCAGGTTGTGAAACGTCCGCTTGATCCCCACAACAATCTGATCGATGCGTTGCAGAAACTTTCGGAAAGACTCCTCGTCACTGCCCCCGAGCGCATCGGTGAGATTCGGTGGCATCTTGAGACTGAGCTGAAAGTTAAGGTAGTGCTCAAACGTTGTCCATCGCTCAAGGGGGGTGCCAGTCACCGCCTGTTCCTCAGCAATGGAGCACACACGTATGGCTGACTCGTCCTGCTCGTCCAGCATCTTGTAGTTAACCACAATCCGAAATGTGGTCAGCAGGCGGTGGTAGAATATCAATTGCCGGGATACCTTAAGCTGGTAGTCGAAGATCCAGTTGGGCTGCTGGTCGGCCAGCAAGCGGTCCAGGCGATCGAAGAAGGATTCTCTCGACTTGGCAGGGGCTTTGTCATGATTTCTTCTTAATTTTGGTCTATTGAGATGATACTTAGGGTTTAGTTTAGTGGTACATATAACTATTATATATTATTACCTCTTGAGCTTTTGCATTAGCTTTGTTTTGTCCCAATGGAATAGCCTCTCCTCTACTCTCGTCTCGTCCAAGGACTCGTTCATTTCGACTTCCTGACTCTTCATCTGCCAGTGCTTCTGCATCTCTTCAAAACTGGGCTTCAGCCGCTGCCGGTGCAGTCGCTGACGATCTTTGGTGAAGTCGAAGAGATTTATTTGGGGCAGCACAAAGGAATCGGTGCTTCGCCTTGTTTCACTCAAGGAACGATTGCAGTTGCCGCACTTTCTGCAGGAGGCACTGCTCCCAGCAATAACAAGGGGAGTTATTTGGGCCTGGCAGAGCTCAGGTTTGTGATATGGCTCCTCGACCTCTTCGTTTTCGACGGTTTCCTCGGCCAGCGTGGAAACCAGGCTTATTTGCTCGTTGTCTATCTGGTTTTGTGGCTGCATCTCTTCCTGCTCCGCTTCCTCCTCCTCCGCATCATCCACATCCACATCTATTGCGCCGGCAAAAATCGTGGTGTCGCCAGAGAGATTAATAAACTTGGTGTGGGCAACGGCATAGCTTTTGAAGGTCCGATCGGCGGAGGAGGCACTTTCTCTGTTACAAGACTTGCGCTGCTCCTCCTGTGCCTCTTTCAGGAAGTAGGTGCTCACATCCGAAATGGTGATTGGTTTCTCCTCCAGTTCTGATGGCTGCGGCAACTGCAGGACATCATCTAGGGAGCTCACTTGCCCCAGCTGAGTCAGTGCAGCGTGATAGTCCCTCACTGGCTGCACCGTCTCATCGAAGTGGTCGATCCTGAAGCTAGGAAGGAACTTATGTGCCTCTGCCTCCGCCTCCATTGCGATTTTTTTCCTTCACAGGCACCATCCTCCATATCGACCTCCATTTCCATGTCCATTTCCATTTGGCAATTGGCAAAGAGCTGGGTGTGTCGCTTTTTCGACTCTGGCAGATTGGGTGTGAAATGTTTAGGGAGGCGCTTGTGATTTGCCTGGCTTACCGGTGTCCCAAATGCAGAGGTGTCCATCTTTGCAGGGTGGTAAATGGAGCGTTGTCTTAGCTTTGGCTTGGGCAGTGGTGTCTTGCACATCTCCTCCTGATCCTCGAACTCGGTCAGCGACATACCGGGCGTAAAGTTACCCAAATCTCTGTATATTGATGTCAATCTGGGATGGTGCATTGGAGTGATTACCTTGATATCTGGCTTCGGCATCGTCTCCTGCGGACTTTGATAGTCCAACGATACAGGTTTATTTCTTGATTTAAGACTTAAATCCTCAAAAATCTGCTCAGCCACTAGAATGGTATTTCTAGAGCTGGGACGTGGTTCCTCCTCTTGGGAGGGTATATGGTTTGGTTTAAATGCAATTTCCAGATCTTCCTCAATTGGCTCAGCTTTTAAAAGAGTTTGTCTTGACTTTTGCTGTCGATATGGAACCGAGGACGAGTCGGTGGCATTGTAATTTAAAAGTGAAGGTTCCTCTTCAATGGGTTCTGATTTTATGATGGTTTTTCTAGGCTTAGATAACTGGTATGGATTTGCTGAGTCTTGAATATTCGATAGCACCTCCTCTTCAATGGGTTCCTCTGAATAGGGGTGAAGCTTTGGCACCGATTGTTTCCTTGAATGTGGAACTATATCATCCTCCTCTATGGGTTCCGGTTTTATGATAGTTTTTCTAGGTTTTGAGAGTTGATAAGAATCAGCGCGGACGTCGGTTTCTATATGCCTGCTGCTGGCTGGACTTTCCAAATCCATATCCTGCTCCATTTCTTCAGCCTTACCCAAGTGGATTTCCTTGCTAATCGATTCGGATGTTGGTTGTTTCTCTGCTGAATTGCAACCCAAATCCTCAAGGATCGGCTCTGCCGCAAGAATAGTATTTCTAGCCTTTAAACGTGATGGCTCTCGAATTGGAATGTGCGACTTAAAAACAGCAGGCTGATCTTCCTCCAAGGGTTCATTCATTAAAAGAGTTTGTCTTGTCCTTGGACGATGAGTTGCCTCCAAGGCTTTGTACTTTAAAAGTGATTGATCTCTTGGTTGTAGAATGCTGTTATCCTCTTCTATGGCTTCCGACAAGATGCTCGTTTTTCTGGATTTGTGCGAGGGATATTGACTTAATGGCTCTTTGGTATTTGGGTGCCTCTCCTCCTCTTCCATGTCAAGTGTTTGCCTTGATTTAGTAGCCATTTGCAGGTCATCTGTTGGATCTTTAATGCTAAAGTCAAGATCCTCTTCGATGGGTTCGTCTAGCACAACATTTTGTCTTGATTTTAATGGATTCTCCGGCGGCGTTGAGATTTTCAAACGTATCTCCTGGCCTGGGTTTACTAAATTTTCATTTTCCAGGTCCTCTGCTAGATGAAGTGTGTGCCTCGGTTTGGAATTATTCTTTTGCAAGGAAGCAGAGTCTAGTTCCGTGTACGGTACGGTGATCTCTTCTTCCATGCTCACCTGCATTAGGAGAGTCTCTCGACGATTAGTTTTTATGCGGGCATAAGCTGGAGCCGTGGCTTCCTCCCTGTCCTCTTTCGCTTGCCGCAAATCCGTGACTGTAGGAACCGTTTTCACGGCAGGAATTGCAGAGAATGACACTGACTTATCCGCCTCCATTTCCACGAGATGATGAATAGTACGTCGAGGCGGAGGAGCTGTGGTTTCCCCGGCAGGAAGCGTAGACAATAATAATAATGACTGATCAGCCTCAATTTCTACAGGTTGATGAATAGTGCGTCGAGGCGGAGGAGGAGCCATGGTTTTCACGACAGGAATTGTTATTAATGACTGATCCGCTTCCATTTCTACAGGTTGATGTATAGTGCGTCGAGGCGGGGGACGAGCTGTGGATTTCACAGCAGAAACTGCAGAGAAAGATACTGATTGATCAGCATCCATTCCATCAGGCAGAGTAGGAGCTTCTTTGTTTACGGCAGGAATCGTAGACAATGATATTAAGGACTGATCAACATCCATTTCTACAGGTTTAAGAATAGTGCGTCGAGTCGGAGGACGAGTTGTGGTTTTCACAGCAGGAATTGCAGCAAATGATCCTAATTGATCCGCATCCATTTCAGAGTCAGTGGTTTTTACGGCAGGAATCACAGAGAATGATACTGACTGATCCGCATCCATATCTTCAGGATGATGAATACTCTGCCGAGCTCTAAAGCTGGGCATGGGATGATGAAAGTCCTGCCTGCTTACTGGACGCTCCAAATCCAACTCAGAATAGTCGTAGGTGGTCTCTCGTCTCGTAGAGTTCTTGGAAGTATTTCTCGACTGCGTTTCATCCCCTAATCTGGCGTGAGCCAAGAAGTTTGTGTTATTTAGCATTATCTCATCCGCTTGTGATAGACGATATTTATTCTTGTCCTCCTTATCCTTCACTTTATCTTTTGCTTTATTCCTGATTTCCTTTGTAGGGGGAGCTATTGGAGGCGGAGACATGGCCATGCTTTCACTAAAATTCAGCATTGCTCGTGGCTTGATGCTGCTCTTAATGTCCCGCGTCGGACACTCCTCCTCCGTCTCCATTCCCTCCAGGCCCAGGCCATGCCAGTAACGTTTCATCTTGGCCTTGCGATCCGTCGTGGGTGTCTTGGGGCCATTTGGAAAGAGCTGAATCTTGCCCGCCTCCAGTTCATCGTTAAGTTGACGCAAGTTGATCTTTTTGCTGATGCGCTTACCCGATATCATGTCGAGAGGCACTAACACGGATTCGTCCTTAAAGTTGATGGTGCTGTTGCCGCTGCTGGCGCTCTCAAAGGATATATTGCACGGGGGTAAGGGGTCCTTTCCGGCGAAACTGTAAAATAAAAAGTATTATAATCAGCAGTGTTAAATGCTTAAAACATATTTAAATCTTTTAAATAAACAGAATTCTATTTTTTCGTTAACCAATTAACAGTTTTAGCCTTTATAGGAACATTATTTCCAATATAAAGTAAGCTGGTTAATTATTAATTTTTGCTAATGACGTAAACGGAAAAGCCATAGTAAGTTTCACGGAAAAGGTAAATAAAAATAAGTTTAAAGAAGGTATAATTTATGAATAAATCATTAGGCAATGGGAAAAATAAATGTTTCAAACAAATTTTAGGCAAAACGAAGAGAATATATGGACATGGCTAGATTGAATCTCCTAGTAATGCATCTGTACCAACTGTACATATAAAAAATGCGTTCTGATTTAAATTGTACATATTTAAATGTATATATTGAAATAAATGGTAAAGAATAAACTCACCATTTAAAGAACAATCAAAGGATATATCCACGTTTTCATGTTGAGTCTTGTTCTTGACCTTCTTTACCGCCTCCTCCTCCTCCAGCTCCATGAAAAGTGATTTCTGTGCCGGGCATATGTTCTCCTTTTCGTTGGCCATCATATTGTGATGGTCATTAAACATTTCCAGCCCAATGTCCTCGGTTTCCAGCTGCATATTACTCTGTTGTATGGGATGCTGGGAAGCAGGAGCAGTGGGAACAGAATCAATGGGAGTAGGAGCAAGTGGTGTGATGTCCATAAAGGAATCACTTATACAATTAGCTGTGGTATGTATGCTGCTCTCTCGTTGGCTGATGGGTGGCAGATCTCCGCCATTCGTATTGTGGAGGACTGACTTTTGCAGCCTGGCCACCAAAGACCCAGACATCACATCGAGGGTCTTGTCCATAATCCGGTGATCGTAGAGGGTGTCCTGCAGCCCCTGCCGCTCCTCCTGCGAAAGAACCAGCGAGTCCCGGACTGCGCCTAGGGGCTTGTGCTTTTTCCTTGACAATTCGCAGGGCAAAAGGGTCACATCCACGCTGGTCTGCAGATTCAACGTAATGTCTATGTGGGTGCGTTCGCAGACGCTGGTCGCCGGCAAAGAGATGTTTTCCTTGTCCTCACCATTTAACGCTTGTGAACCTGCTCCTGTTCCCGATCCCGATCCAGAGTTGTCCTCAGCGCTGAGGTGATCGGATACTTCATACGAGTGATTCCAGTTCTTGGGCTCCTCTGTGTTTACAAATTCCCTGGAGCAATGCATTGGAACATTATAAATGGGACTTCGCAGGGATTCCTATAGGCCAACACTCACCTCACGGACTTTTTTCCACTGAAGCTGATGCGGCGCTTGATCCGAATCGCAGTCGTGGTAGTGTCCTCCTCATTGTTCGGCGCCTTCCGCAGCTGCAAAATGGAACATTTTCAATGTAAGTAACAACGCTTGATTGTTTTAAGTTCTTGAAAGCACTCACGGAACTCCTGCGATTTGTTTTATTCATGTTTTTGTGCTCTTAGTGTTGGTTGCTTTTAAAATACGACGCCGCGGCTTCTGTGTGAATGGCTGGAGAGCGTCGTTTCGCGATCGGCGTTTTGTTGTGAGTGGCACTAGTTTCGTTCTGTGTGATTGTTTAGCAAAGTCTGGTAACGCCACGCGTTCTTGAGCGAATTTCAACTTATGAATAAAAACCGGGCGGTCACACTGTTTTTTTTCAAATTGATTGCCAATTTTCGGAAGCAATGAAGATCGCCTACTTATTTAAGAAAATTAAAGAGATTAACAGCGGAAAGCCAAGAGTTGAAAGTGGAGGAGCAGCGATTGCTTAAATTATATGAAAGATGCTATTAATTTTAATTAAATGTACAGATGAACAATAATTGTAAATGTGTCCATAGGTAACTTCCTATTAATTAGTTTAAGAATGTAGCTGTATTCTGAGAGAGGCAAAATGCTTACAGGCTGCCCGTGGCTTTACTTTGGAGAGTAAATGCTCCCAGACAATGTTTAAGCGTAACCAACTTCATATACCTTCAATTTTATTTACTATTAATTCCAATTTTAAATCACATGCATTAAAAGTTCTTAAAGAACAAAAAAAAAAAAATAGGCACCAAGGGGAAATGCTCAAGCCTTGAATGTATCCTTCTCCTTGCGCAGCTTTCCCATGGTCACAATGGGATCAGTGGCGCCGCCTGCATGCTTCTGAACTGTGGACTCATGAACGCGCATGAACGGATTCCAGGACTTCTCCTCGCCAATGGTTGAGGGAACGGTGGGATCCTGAGAGGCACGACGGTGCTTGGCCCACTCAATACGCTCCTGGATGACCGCGTTGTCTGGCTCCACGTGCCGGGCGAAGCTCATGTTCTGCAGCGTATACTCGTGTCCGCAAAAGACCTTTGTGCTGTCCGGCAGAGCCGAGAGCTTGGTGCACAACGCCTCGTACATCTCCTCGGGCGTTCCTTCAAAGAAGCGACCACAGCCGCCCTGAAACAGGGTATCGCCGGTGAAGACGGCTCCTTCGCCGCTGCTGCCATCGGCTGCCGTGACGTGGTAGCAAATATGTCCGGTGGTGTGACACGGCGTTGATAGGCACGTCACATTCAGGCTGCCAATGGTGAAAGTGTCGTCCTGTTTCACCTTGTGGTTTAAGGCGCCGATGCGGTCATCACCGCCGTACACATCCAGCGCCTGGGCCCATAGCTTCACGAGCTTCTCGTTGCCGCCGGCATGGTCCCAGTGGTGATGGGTGGTCAGCACCTTGTTTAGGGTAACCTGTGCCTCCTGCACGGTCTTGATCACCAGCTCCGGGTCAACGGGATCTACTACAGCAGCCTCTCGCGTCTTCTGGTCCACGATAAGGTACATGTAGTTGTCCTGCAGTGCCGGCAGGATCTTAATGTCCATGCCCGCAAGCTTTACATCTTCCAAAGTGCTGTGCATGCCTCTCAAGCCGACTTTCCTTAGTTTTTGAACTAAAACGAGAATGATTTACCGGTCAGTTGACATATAGAAAGGTCACTCGAACAGGGCAAAACAAGACAAGATACGATAAAAACAAAATGGCGAGCCGCCATCGAAAGATTAGATTAAACACATATACATGGATAGATTACGCTTGACGAGACTTGGACAGACGGGCACAGCCAGAAATCGCCTTTGCGTGGACCCGGCACCAGAGAGCGAAGGCGTCGGAGGAGCCGCCACCAGCCGCAGGCCCAATCGCAGACTGCTGGACGAACCTCGAAAGTAAGCGGCCGTCAACTGGGTTTCCACCGAGGTGGACACACTGCGCCACGCGGAGGACAGCATTGCGGCAAATGTGATTTTATGGATTGGCTAGAGCGGGGGGTGCTTTTCGAGATGAAGTAATTAATAGTCTCCAAAAAGTAATTACAGTTGGTTTTTTTTTATCCGGTTCGGTATTGAATGTGGCCGTATCTCCCGCTGTTCGATTTACCTACCGTTCAAAATTCTCTAATTCGTCTAAAAAAGGAAATATCTCTTCCGCGGTAGCTGGTCACATTAAAACGTAAGCAATCCACGTAAAATCAAGCGTCGGTAAAGTCAGAACGCGCGCCAAATCAAAACTTAACGGAAATGTAAATAAACTGTAGAATTGTCATCTATGTCGTTTCCAACGCCTTATATGCTTAAATTTCGGCACAGTTTCCGCTCTTCATACACCTCATTTGGGTTCTTAGACGATTTAGTGCTGTATTTAAATGTTAATTTAGTAAAGAACACACAACAATGCATTTGACGTTCCTTTGAACAGTAAATATCTATGACCAGTAATTAACAATGATCAGTAAGCTTCTATGAACATTAAGTTGCTATGATCAGTAAGTAACTCTGAATAGTAAGTATCTATGATCAGTAATTAACTTTGAGCACTAAGTAACTATAAGCAGTACGATCAGTAAATATCTATGACCAGTAAGAAAGTATGAACAGTAAGTATCTATGACCAGTAGGTTACTAACTTTGAACACTAATAAACAATGACTTGCAACTTTTGTAACACAACACATTTCTAAAACTTGGCCAGCAGGAGTCACTTCGTTCCGGGGATGTTAGAACCAGTTGGGAATCATATGTATGTGCGAAATTTGTTTTGGAACAAATTCAAGAGCAAGCTATTTGAAGAAAACTATGAAGTTATTCTTCTATATAATTTTACTAGTATATAAGCCGGAGCATGGCGAATCGGTGGACTTTATATATACATACATATATATAGCTGCATTAGGAACGAACGATCGGAAAATTTTAAGAAAATTAAATAATTATAACTTTTCAGTTTTCAACAGATTTTCATTAAATTTTAAATATGGGGCCATTTTATATTATTCTACAATTTGTGTTAAATTTTATGAAAACGGCCTACTATATCATATAGCTGACATATAGGAAAATACAAAACGGTGAATGTAAAACTGTAAACATATGTAATAATATATAATATATATATTTTATTTATTTCTAGTAAGTTAACTCAATAATTTATTTCTCATTTTATGGAATTTTTAAATTTATTTTCTTTTATTTTTAATTTTTAACTGAAATATGTAAATTAATTAAGGCATTGCGGTGCATGAGGAACTGGTAAGAGTTCGAACTGCAATTGCAAAGATTTATTATAACAAAGTTGTTACCCAAGTTAAACCCTTAATTACTTCTCCGTGTATCATTAATGGTGTGCAATCAATAATCAATAATAATTAAGAATCGATTCAAGTTGTTAAAGGAAAATATCATATAGTAGTAGAAGGGTTGAAATATCAAGGGTATAAAACCAAATAACACTCATACTGTCATAGAGATTATTGTTTCGATGCGTGTTCCGACTCAGTGGTAAGCTTTAAAATGTATCTAAGGCCATTCCATATCCCCCTCAGTTGTCAGTTAGAATCGAGAAAAAACTTAAAACAAAACCTTAAGGAACCCGAAAAACCAATGTCCGAGACAACAGATCCCAATGGCTCCACCTCCAAGTCGAATCTGATTAAAATGAATCATGTGGGCGTGACGGCGAAGATGCAGTCCCCGCTGAAGAAGATACTGCCCCGGATGAACTCATCCAGTGACTCGGATGTGTATCAACATGCAGGCACACAATATAGCATTTTCAAGACCGACAATGGCGAAGATATGTCCGAAATTACAGTGGCCTGTAGCTCCAGTTCCCCACGAACGCTGTACGAGATGCACGCGGAGCCGGAGAAGAGTCTGCTTCAGCTGTCGAAGGGTAAGCCCCAAAGGATCGAGTTCCAGCGCTACAACAAGAAGCGTCCCCATTTGACTGTGCCAAAACGATCTGCTCCAAATTTGAAGGAGCGCTCCAAGCCCCACAAAGCGTCGCCGAAGGTGCCGAAGGTGGGACTGCTGGGCCGCCTCATCCAGTCGCTGGACCAGATGTGCAAGTGTCACAGCCAGCAGAAGGCCATTATCGATGACTTGCCCGAGCCGCAGTGGAACCGCAAGGAGGCCACCCGGCACACCTGCATCGGCATCTATCCCTTCGAGCACGGCTGCGCCGAGTATCTCAGCACCACGGACACACATCCCAAGATAATTCCATTATCCTGGCGGATCGGGCCACCACATATGCCACCCATTTCTGGGCGGAGCTGTTCGGTCTGCTGCACATCGCCGTGGCCTTTGTGGTGGCCTTCATCTTGCAGAGCTATCGCTTTGTGCTATACTCCCTGATAAACACTCTGATTGTGGGACTCCTGCACATGACCTCGGATTACCTGGTGAAGCCATTGCTGACCATGATTTTAATGGTTACCTGCAGCCTCCCTTGATATTTTTGTATAATGTTTTGTGCTCTATCCGGGATATCCTGGAGCCGGTGGCTGAGACTATCAATAACTTTATGAAACCGTTGGCCACAGTGGGTAATAGTATTCGATTGGCGGATGTCAACTACCGTCAGATAAAGCGAATAGCCAAAGATGTTTGATTATAGTTTTCGTTCTTAAAGTGTTAATTTTTCTAGTTTATTAATTATTGTTTATTTTATAGTTTATTATGTTGATTTCTGACTGTTCTGTTATTAAAAATATGAAATCAATTATCAAACTAGTTTTAATCTCAAAGGAAGTTAACTACGGAAAGGATTCACTGAGACTTACCCATAAATAGGACGCACAGTTGGCCTCGCCATGGCTGGACCTTATCGTTGGTAAATTCCAATTGGGCTTCTTCCAGTTCCAGGGAAACGGGACTACTCCAGGTGATCCAGATGGATTAAGATGGCCACGTCATATCATTGGAGGCAAGGAGCAATCACTATCACTAGAGATCAGAACGAGACGGAAGCTGCGACAGACTGAGGCAGCGGCAAGAAGCGCGCCTCTATTTATAGGCGGAAGAGCAGAGTGAGTGAGGTATACTGGGAGAGAGAGAGATAGAGGTATCAAGAGAAAGAGATGGTGGGAGAGTGAGTGAGCGATGGACATAGGCATAGGGACAGAGCGGGAGCTAGAGGCAGCGATCTATTTAGGGAGAGAGAGAGAGGGAGCTCATATTTGAGATTGAAAGTAAGAGTCAGAGGGAAAGAGAAAGTGTTAGAGAAAACAAACTTCTGGAAGTCTAAGCCAAATTAATCTATTTTGATTTACATTAAAAAATTAATTAAATCGTAAAATAAATTTAACTATATCTCAAGTTATGTTAAAAAATAACTAAATTTAATTAAGTTTCATAATATTTTTGTTTATTTCTATGACAACTATATACTTAATAAAGATAAATCGACTCGGCTGTTCAACAACATAAATAATTTATAGACTCACATAAGTTTAATCGTTGAACTGAAACTATAATAGCCCCTGCTAGGATATAAGAATAGATATATACAAATAAATATATGTAAATATAATTAATAAATAATAAGAAACTTTAAGGCTTTAAACTTAAATGAAAAATTATGTTATTAACTTAATCATAGCAAAAAAAACTTAATCTAATATTTCCAGTAGAAATTTGTTTATTTTCAAAATCCTCCATCCCTGATGTTTCAATTTCAATTATTCCTGCAGGGGCGGAGCCATTACAACCCCTAAAAATTCAACAAGTTCTCTCAGCTACGACCGTCTCCATCTCCACGCACAATATTACGCACATTCCAAAATCCAGATCGGATTACATTGTTTTTCTTGTTTCACGAATTGTAGTCATGGAGACACACACCACACCCCCTCCCGGCTTTGAAGGACCTTCAACTTAAGGGTTGGTGCGGCGCTCAATTACGTTGAATGCAACATTTATGATTTATTTGCTCATTTTGCGGCCAGGGGAAAAGCATATGTCCAAAATAAAAAATTTCAAAAAATAAACGTACACTAATTGTGTCCCAAGAGTATTCAATTTGTACAATTTTGGGTTAATGAAGGCGCTAGAAAAAAACACCCATTTTTTTGTTTATTTAAAGAATGCAAAAGATTTTTAAACAAACTTAATGTTGGTTTAATTTTACACAACTATAGTAACTTGAGAGATAACGATTTGGTTGGAAACGTAATAAATATAAATATATATTTCAGCATATATTGATATTTATTGCAGCTTATTATTTCTAGACTCAATAAGTTTAAATTTAAAGATTTCTAATAAATTACAGGAAATGCAAACTGCAAATTAGGAGTAACACTTTGCTTTTATCTAAACTGTTTTAAAGACTTTAAACATCAGAATAACCTTCGATTTCAGGTACCTTCAGTAAAACAACTTATGAATGGATTTTCCCTGATTTATCTTATCAACATCCTTTCACCTTATATCCATACCAACCCAGACAGATTTTCCTGGAACTCAAGTATTATATTTAGAAAAAAATAAAAATAAAATGTAAAACTGATCTACAAGAATGATTGCCATCAAAAGGGCTTCAGTTTGCATTTCCAGTTAAGTTTTCATTTTCAATGGAAGTGTCGCATTCAAAAGGTAAACACTCCCATCAATTATTATACATTCATATTCATGCAGTCACCTTGTAAATTTACAAATAGTTGGAGTGGAAAAAGGAGTTGTATTTATGTTATTTATTGGCTGCGTGGAGAGGGAAGCATCAGCGAAGCTTTCATTAATGAGAATAATGAGCTAGTGTGGTTGCCAATGAAGGATCATCTTACACGGCAATGGAATGGGTGGAGGAAATTGGACTACTCATAGCCACCCAATTATCTGTGGAAATTGTTTTCCACAAAGTATCACGGCATATGTTTGAAATTAATGAAGGAAACTGGCAAGGCATTGATTGATTTGGCGGCAGCAAAAGATTATTATAAATTGGATTGTCAGCTGGATGTATCTTTAAATATTTTTGTCAACTTTGCTTATAAGCTAAGGACAAGAAATAAAAAAATAAATGGGATATATTACTATAAATTTAAGTAAATAAATGTCTTACAGTTTAAATTAAAGAGTTTTCAATTAATCATAGTAAACTATAATTTTAAGCTGGGTTTTATTTATGTTTGTAATGGAAGACATAGACTAAACTGTGTTTGATTTTGTAAGATTATTCAGCTATGTTTAAATTCCATCTAATTTATTAGTACTTTAATATTTAAAGTGTTTACAAACTAATATTAATTGGATTGCTCTGACATATACCTATAAATATCCATTTGCTGGCTACGCGTAACACCCAAGCAACACTCAATTTTTCATCGAAAAGGTGCGAAAATCATTTGGCATCGCCAGACAAAGACTCTCCCACACATAATACCCTCGGTTGGCCCATTATTGTGTGATCGACAGGCGGATAAGGGAATCCTCCGCATGAATGGGAGCAGCACCACCACCAGACAGGCATCGGGACAAGGTGACACCTTACCAGACAAAATCGTTTTTGTTGGGAATTTTGGGATTACAGATGGTAAGCTGTTTTCTGGGCTGCTCTATTTTCTATTCTCACTGGAATTTGGGGGATTAACCGGGCTCTTACTCCTCTGGAATGATGACGTTTGCTAAATATCCTCTCGAGTGTCCTGTCTCTTTTTGCGAGAAGTTAAGCAATTTGTCGTATGTCGACAGTGGGAACAATGCCCAAGTACAATGGAAAACCATTGAAAAGCAATTCAAAATCTCGGGGCTGGCCAGCCACAAATGGTTATGCAAGAAGTTACAAGAAAATGTACAATTTGAGAAGAACTTGACGGAGTTTTCGTATGGAAAATTGAGTAATAGCTCGAGATTATCGCAAAGTGCCTTGGCATTTCCGAGTATATCCGAGCTGGATGAATTATAATGCTGGATGATGCAAAAATGTTGTTTGGAACTGACCCTGAAATAAGAGAGGAGCTACTTAGTTGGCAGGAAGTGATCATGCAATAAGCGGATTACGACAAGTTGAGAAAGGAAAGAGATATATGGAAACTTGGAAAAAATTAATCAAAAATCAATTAATTATTAATAAAATCTAAATAAAATATTAAAGTATTTAATAAACTCTGCAAAGGTTTAAGGTGTTACTTTCATTGGCTAAAATTCAGGCTCAATAATTTCCTAAAAGATCTCATAAAAACAAACCAATTCCTATAATAATCCTTATCTCAGTTTCTTAAATTTATTGTGTTGTTTTTTCTAACTTTTAACTTATTTGTTGCGATGCGATGCGAGTTGCATTCATGCGCTTGCATTATTTAGGAAACAGACACCAGACGACCGAAAGAAAAAATCTGCTGGCTCAGCCAAACACTATAGTGTGGGAACCAAAATACGCGTTTGCCACCGAGCTCTCTAATAAAAAATAATACAAAAAGCTTAGTTTTGACAGCTCGTAAGTCCTGCCACGTGATTTTAATAATGGAATTACTCCGGCTGAGATTACAATCCTTTCACTGCGGTCAATTAGAGGGCACACCTCCAACACCGTGGGGTGTTGCCAGGCAACAACAAGGGAGGATGGTATAGAAACTTGGAAATTAGTAAGAGTCCTTTAAAGTTAAAGAAACTAATTATACTCTTACTTTAATAGTTGACAAACTCTGGATAAATAAATAAACTTTTCAAACGTAACAAAGGCCAAATTACACAATGGGCTTATTCAGCATGGCCGATAAGATAATGTTCCAAGGAGTAATTCACAATTTTATCCAAGACCTACCTTTAGTTTTGAAGTCTAGAAAATAATAATGTTGATAAACCTTCCGATAAATAGTCCTAATCTGTAATAACCTTCAACACCTGTGACTCAGGACAAGCACGGGATAAGGGCATGTGAATTGAGGGGATATAACATGGTGATAGTGCTCCGGGTGCTAGCTGTGACAAATCTAGGTTTTTGGGACTGCGTTCAGAGGGATTTTCGAGTGTGACGAAATCGTCAACCCTCCCAATTTAATGCTTAATGAATTCCCAGCGACAACAACAGACAGAATGCGAGTGCTCCTGTTTCTGTCCTTGTTCCTGTTCCTGGGGCAACGCAATTGTTTGGCCTTTTTGTGGATTGTCACCTTTGTCATGTCACTTTTATTTCACTTTTATTCCCTCACTCCAGTTCGCGATGAATGCAGTCGAGGAGCGTTTTGTAATTGAAATTTGATCCCATTAGATGAGCAGCAGCAGCAAAGGAGAAATTTTTCAGATCCCAGCCTCAGCAAGCATCAAATTGCAGAGAGTCTGACTTTAAAAACTATTGCATTTCATTTAAAGTTCTTTAATAATTTTGTATTATTAGAGCATAAATTTTGGGGAAACCAGTAATTTTCAAATATTTTTGAATGAAAACATATTTTTATCTTTCAAGAATATTTGTTTTGTTTTAAAACAATAAGTTTTTCATTTTAGATAATTACACTGTAATTATAATAAAACGTTATTGTAAAATAAATGAGCATCATATAAATATAACAAATACATTTACAGTTTTAATTGAATTCCTTAAAATAAGCTAGAAATCGATAAAGAATTAAAAAAAAATACAAATAAACAATTAACATATTTTAAACACTGTATCTAAAATATATATCAAACAGTATTAATGCAAGAAATTTTTTGCTGTAACTATTATTTAAGGTCTCAAGTTAAAGAATACTCTTCGCTGAAGCAATGTCACAGAAAATGTAAATTCCGAGAAGTTAAAAAACACAAACGGGGGGCATTCATTAGACACCCTCGGGGCGCTAATGAGGTCATGATGTTTCCAAATCCAAGACCCTCCGCTTCTGCCCCTATCGAAGACAACCAAGAACAATGCGAAGAAGTTTGCACAATTCGCAGAAACGGAACAAAATGGCTGACACCGGACACGCCCATCGTCCAAAGGACCAAAACGGAAGCGGAACCACCCCTGAAAAATTGGCCAGATTGCAGCCAGTTAACGGTGGCCGTTTCAACGGGAACGGAATGGAACGGAACACACAGCCTTGGAGTGCAATTTTCGGTCGCTTGCAGTTGAGTTTGAAAAGCGGACGCGTTCAGTCGCAAGGAGAGAATCGTTGTTTAACAAATATATATACAATATATAAAAAAATTCTCAATAATCTAATATTAAAAAAATTACAAATAAACAATAAACCGTTGGAAAGTTAAAAGTTTAGTCTAAAAATACACTCGCTAGATTTGTGAGTTTAAAAAAAAAAACCAATTTAGAGAACTTCAATACAAATTTAAACAATGGAAAACTAAAAATTAATGAGTATTATCAAAAACACTCATTTAATTTAAATTTAACAAAAAACAAAAACCTTTAAGGCTCAAATTTCAATCAAAAACCAAACTTTGTTAATAAAAATTCATAACTTGAGCTAGTTATTTTACCTAATAATTATCTCCCAAAAATTATTATAAATAACCAAACAAATCAATCGTCAAAAGCTTAGTGAAAAAAAATAAAACTTATTAAAATGCAGTTCTAAAATTTCATTAATTAATAACCCAACAACTAAGTGATAAGTGAGCAAACAAATTAATTTAATAAACCGGTGAACTGTGTTCAGTTACCGCTGGATAATGTTCGAGAAAAATATGGATACCAATAATCTGTCGGCCTCGATTAGCGGTGACTTGGACTCGACCAGTTCCGGCGGCACATCCTCGGATCACTCAGCAGTCCAACAGGACAATCTTAGCTCACCCATGGCCTACGGATCACTTTTCCTGCCCAATGCTGGTAAGTGTTGGTGCCACCGGATACCTAGACATATCTATCTATGGCCACATCCAGAGATTGGATCCAACTAGGTCTAGTCTTATCGTCGGAGCTTTAGAGCCAAGACCTGATCCATATCGGATTACTGGACGGACAGAGGCGTCAGTGCGGCGCTGCATAAACAATTAAAGCCTGGGACTACAATTCTGCTGAGAAGCACACATTTTTGAGGACTGCATGTGTGCAGGGTGTACGGTTTGGGTTGTCCAGTTTCGACCTAATTTTGTCAAGGTGGTAGCAAGAAAATGGGAAGGAATATAGGATATAGGAAAACATAATTCCCTAAAACAAATTGTTGGATTTTGCACTATTTTTAAAGGTGCATCATGGTAAATCATAGTTACTCTATCAAATAAACCAGAGACTCAATTTTGAAAGAACAAGTTATTTTGTAAGTATTCTTTATACTTATAATAAAATATTCTACAGGGCACTCGAAGTTCGATTATCGCCAACCACTGCACCATCAAATGCATTATGTTTTTTTAATATTTACATATTTATACTTGCATCCACACGCTGACTTCTCGGTGCATTTGTGTGTAAGCATATCGCATTTATTTATTTGCTTGATGTCTCTTTCGGGTCTCAATATGATCCACAGTCCCCGTTCCGCCGTTTCCCTGCCCGTCTGAGGTGTCGAAAGACAGCAACTGCTTCGGTCATGTCGGGCATTCGATTAGTCACATTTCTGATTTCGGGGGAAGAGTGCTGGAGGGGCCTCCGGGTATTTCCATTGACCACCGAAATGGCACGTGAGAAAGAACTTCTTGCAGTTTTTATACTCTGAGGTTTTCCCATGGTGATGATTTCCTTTCCTTCCTCAGGCTATCGTGGCAACCTCTCTTGCAAAACCGTTCTGCAATTGGATAAATTTGCACCCTATGAGACGGCGGAAAAGGATCACCTTCTGGAGCGAAGATTCCAGGACATCACCAACGACTACGACAAGTCACCGCCGCCCACAGCCTCAACCACGCCCACTCACTATCCCAGCCTAAATAGCATTATCTTTGAGAATGGCTGCTCCGGCAATCTGGGGGATCTCAATGGGAACACAAAGACAGATTCCCTGTGCGGCGGCGGTGGCGGCGTTGGTGGCTTGTCAAGGAGCGGAAGTGGCCTAGGCGGCAATCCAGGGAGCGGAGGTCATCTCATATCGAATCTAACGGCTGCCCATAACATGTCCGCCGTTGGCAGCTTTCCCATCGATGCCAAAATGCTGCAGTTCTCCACGGATCAGGTAAGGTTATGACATCCAAAAAGAGGTGTCCTGTAAATCGAAAAATCTTAGTCTTAGACTATCTTTTCTAATTAAATCTATTTTATTGCAGATCCAGTGCATGTGCGAGGCCCTGCAGCAGAAGGGCGACATCGAGAAACTGACCACGTTCCTGTGCAGCCTTCCCCCTCCGAATTCTTCAAGACCAATGAGAGTGTGCTGCGTGCACGGGCCATGGTTGCCTACAATCTGGGGCAATTCCATGAACTGTACAACCTTCTGGAGACGCATTGCTTCTCAATGAAGTACCATGTGGATCTACAGAACCTCTGGTTTAAGGCCCACTACAAGGAGGCCGAAAAAGTACGCGGGCGACCCCTTGGAGCTGTGGACAAGTATCGACTTCGAAAAAAGTATCCACTGCCCAAAACGATCTGGGACGGCGAGGAGACGGTATATTGCTTCAAGGAGAAGTCGCGGAATGCTCTCAAGGACTGCTATCTGACAAATCGCTACCCCACGCCCGATGAAAAGAAGACGCTGGCCAAGAAGACTGGTCTGACGCTTACCCAGGTGTCTAATTGGTTCAAGAATCGCCGCCAAAGGGATCGAACGCCCCAGCAGAGACCGTAAGTTGATCCTGGTTAAAATTTAGGGCCTAGAAAACTTAAATTTAAGATTTCGATTTAAGATTAAACTTCAGTCATGAATGAAGATTCAGTGAATTGAAGTTAAAGCCTTCTCTCCAGTCTTCAGATTCTGTCCATCTAGCTTTAATCCTTTTCTTATCAAGTCTTTGAATATTTATTTCTGTATATATTACTTTAGTTTTTAATATTCGTATTTATCGTTTTGAGTGTAGTCAGATTTTCGTTTCGATTCTTCCCCTTAACTCCAACACTCAAACTCAAACGTTTTGGTAAAAGACGAACTGTAGCTGGTCTTGCCCATTTCCATTTCCTCATAACTCGTAAAACAATTCATTCAACACTTGAGAGCGAGCGTGTTGTTCGCCCTAGAACTCTTCGAAATCCGAACGAATATAATCAATTGTTTTGGAATTGGCATTAAAGATCGTTTGTTAGTGACCGTAAAGCACTTGTGCGTCCAGTCCCGCCCACTTGAGCGTGTTTTATGTCCAATTTCGCCGGCTCCTTGCACGGTCCTCTGCATATTTATAGAGCCGAGGGACTTCGGACGTGCCCCGGCTCCTCCTAACGCAGCGCATGCGTGTAGCATGTGCCGCCGCCTGTCCCCTAGCCGCCATACCATACGCCACTCCCTCCCGCTGTTTGATCGCATCGCCTGCCCAGGAGAAGCGTCAAATTGCACCACACACACACGCACACTATACACCATGCACTATGCACTACGTTCTGGAACTCACAAGTGGAGTAAATGTGTTTTATTTTATGTTAAAATTTATACAGTCACACATCCATAACTAGGAACCCTCAAGTGGAAATTTAAATAATGGATTCCACAAGAAATAAAAATAATCTTTTTATGTCTGGGTCTTAAATTGAAAAATTTTATAAAAGAATCCTTTGATGAAACAACCATGATATATACTTGTTGTATTTTCTTTCTTTGCAGTGATATAATGTCAGTCCTGCCTGTGGGCCAGTTGGATGGAAATGGCTTTCCGCGCATGTTCAATGCCCCCAGCTATTATCCCGAAACCATTTTCAATGGTCAATAAACTTCGGTTCCATGCGAGGCTTTTTTGTGTGTGTGTAAATAGGGAGAAATTCGTTTTAATATTAGGAGAAAAGCTAATTAAAAATTAGTCATCAAATGGCATGATTTTATTAGGTTTAATAAAATAATTTTTGCTTTATATGTATGTACAATAATGTAATGGCTGTAGATGAATAAATGAAAATTACTGTATAGCAGTTGGTTTTATTTAAGGTATGCGGAATGGTTATTTCTTATTACCTTTATTTATAAGCGAATTTAAATTTAAAGGATAAATGGAAAACATAAAAAAAAGAATATAAGATTATTGAAGGAAATATGGAAATATTTTCAAAATTGGAGCTTTTGTTGCCGCTTCCCTTAAAACCTTCTCGAACGAAACGCCAATTTTCTAATTTCGATACTGTTTTCAAAAGAAATTAAAAAAATAAACAAGATTTTAACGGTCATTTCGAAAGAAAACATTTGTCCGTACGCTCAAAGATGAAATGCACTAAAAACCATCAAAACCGACTTTAAGCCCAGGGAAATCCCAAATTACACAACGAAAACATCACCCGAAATCGAAAAAACCATAAAAGTAATATAATTTATAAATGCGAAAAAATTCAAATTATAAAAATTGATATTTTTAGTACTGGTGTGACCAGGTGCACAAGAAGTTGAAAATGACCACATGACCATAGCGGCTCATTTTAACGAGGCGTTTAGGGGATATGGGCACAGAAGCCGACGGGCACATTGATCTGGAAAATGTCTAATAAAATAAGCGAATATTTTGCTAACGATCCGCCCAGCTTCTTCGATGAGCTGACAAACAAACCCAAATCCAGAGAGATGCCAGCAGAAGGTAGTCCCGCTGCCGGCAGCACCAGCTCCGGTGGTAACATGATGTCCAACACGTTCACCGGATTTTTCCAGGCACCTGAATATGTGGAGACACCTGAGGCAGAGGACTCTGTAAAAGTGAGCGAAGAAGTGCGAAGTCTGTGGGAGTTGCCGCGGGAGAGCGAGCCAGGCAAGCTTATAATGCCCGGGATTCATTTGCAGAATGATCTGGTAAGCAGACGTGGAATGAGTATACATGAGGACATTTGCAAGCATAATATCTGTTCCAGCCGGATCCCATTACCATTGCAGTAACCCAGCACCTCGGAGAAGCTGAGTTAGCCCACCGAAAGATCCTTCGCATAGACGATGTCACACAGGATGAGCGCGGCTTAAGGACCCTAATCCATGCCGGTTGCTATCGCACAGCTGTGAATCTAACTGGCCGTCTCCTAACCATCTATGGCCAAGGTTATGGAAGATCTGGTCAGCCGGCCAAGCACTCGCCGCACTCGCTCCAACTGTGGTTCTCTCGCCTGGCCCTCTTGGCCAAACTGGGGGAGTTCGAACTACTGAATGCCGAAGCGGAACCATTTGGTCAGCTAACCAGTCCGGATGTCTTCTACGACTTCTATCCGGAGATGTACAATGGCAAGAGCGGCTCCATTGCATGCTTTTCGTTCCGCCTTTTGCTGGCAGAGCTGCCGATATATCTAGGAAGCCTCACGTAGCCCTCGACAGATTGTCGCAACTCCATGTTACCAGCCGGGAGATCATGGAACACTACATAAACCTGCGTAACAAACCAGCTGAAGAGTTTTGGCAGAGGCGATGCGAAAGGATATTGCACTCCATCATCAACTGTGGATTAATGGTTTGAATCAAGCTTGAATACACATTTGATATATATGTATATTAATATATCAACATATTTCCAGATGAAGAATTTTAGTATGATAGACGACATCATGGAGGGAACCCTTTTAAAGCGTTCCAATCTGACCAAAGAGGAACAGAGGACTTTGTACTCTGCATGGGGACGCATATATCTGCAAATCGGTGATATTTTTGGAGCTGAACAGAAGTTTGCGGTCTCAAGAAGACTACGGGAAATGTGAGCTATTTAACGAATCAGTGATGAAACCTTCTTATATATTTTTCCTTTATTTCCAGCAACACTTCTCCAGATCTACGAGATTTGGTGGACAAGGGTCTCATAGCAGTGGCTAAGAACGATTTTCCGAGGCATATGTGATATTCCAAAAGGCCTTGCACTTGGATTCCGGCAATACGATGATTCTGAACAACATGGGAGTGTGCCTTCTATATGCCGGAAAGTTGAAGGATGCTATAAATCTGTATGAGCGCGCCATTAACCTTAATCCCCAAAAGTCTTTAAACGAAAGCTTGCTGGTCAATCTTTCGACCTTGTATGAACTGGAATCTAACAACTCCAAAGCGAAAAAGTTCAACCTGCTACGCCTGATTAACCGATATAAGCCCGATCTCAACATTAGCATAGAAATTTGTCTAAAGCTTCAGACAATAAATTAAAGAATAAATAACCGTTACAACATTCCAATACACTGATGTTAGAATATTGCTTTGAAAATATTTTAAACAAGAAAATAAGCTAACTTCGGCACGCCGAAGCTTAATACCCTTCCAGATTACAATTAGATAAATTATAATTATTACAATATAAATTATAAATATTTGTTTTAAAAAAACAACGAGTAATGCCTACTTTCGTTACATTCACCAATACATATGTATGTACTGTATTGCATTTTCGTATCGATCGTTCTTAGAGAAGCTATATAATATAGTAGTTAGATTTTCTTTAAATTAAATGAGAATCTTTAAAATAATTTAAAATGTCTTTATCTTATATTATATAAAAATATATATGTTGATAAATTAAAAAAATAATAATTGTTTTCTAAAACTTTTCCGATAGTTCCTATGACAGGTATTTGATATAGTCTGATAAAGTTATACTTTTTTTTTAATAATTTCTTGATCGTTCCTATGTTAGTTAATATCTACTAGCAAAAATATATAATGGATATATTTCACGGTATATGAAAATATTTTAAAAACTGAAGAAGTTATAATTTTTTTCTAAAAATTTACCTATTGCAGCTACATATACGATATAGTCGTCTGATCCGAACCGTTTTAACTTATATACGAGTGAGTGTATAAAAAACTAACCGCAAAAGTTCATTCAGATAGCTTTCCAACTGAGGGACTAGTTTGCAAATAATCGGATAGATGGACATGCGGAAATGGATGTTGATGCTGATCAAGTATATATGATTTAGAGGGTCGGAAATGTTGCAAATTTTGGACTAAAATTAGAATATTTTGCAAGGGCTTAAGAAATATTTTTCCCAGTGTTTTTTTCCAAAATATTATCAATGTTTTCCACCAACGCTCTGGAAGAAACGATAGTTTTATCGATATTTCATCAGGCTGTGTTAAAATTCCCCTAGATCGCGGAAAATAGGTTCTGTTTACTAAAGTCACAAATATTAAATGAATTTATTCACTTCCGACACTTCGAATTATTTGTTGTTTATAAAAGTTTGCATCTGAAAATGAATTTCACGTTGGCTAATTTTATCACCTTCTTTAATTAGAACCATCGATAGCACGGGCCAGGGCCAAAACATCGCTTTCATCGATAGTGTCATCGATTTTTTGACAGCTCTATTGTCGTCGCTGAAAAAGAATTTCAGAAGAATTTTTGTAAATTTCCATAGAAATCGCGGGAATATTTACGTCCAGATATCGCCTAAATGTTTGAAAACACGTAGCGAGTGTTTATCTGAATAGGATAGTTGAAACTGGGTGAGTTTTGTGGCGTTAAAAGGCGTTTCAAAAACACGGCCACACGATGCCAGGCAGCAGGCGTATATAAAATGGAAAATATTGATGTGCCTGGTGGGTGCAAAAAAGAAAGTGTAGAGAAATTTTCATTGCACTCAGAATGTTGTTTATTTCTCCCCTCTACTCCTGGTCCCGCTCTCCCATGCAAATTGTTTAAACTAAAGGAACCTCTCGTTGTGAAGCCCATTGATTATGCTCTTTTCTTTAATTTTAGCGTATTCCCCATTGCGTTCTGTGTGTGCATTAACAAAAAAGCGCGCCATTATTTTAGTGCTATGACGTAGCCGTCGGGGGCCACGAATCCAAGTGTAATTTTTTTTCGCAATTGTTTATATGGCGTGCATAATGTCTTGCTTCGCCGTTGAGTGCAGCGTGCGTGCGTGTGTGTGCGAGTGCAGCAAATAATTTTGTATATTTTTTATTCCCGCTTGTGGCGGTGTGCGCATACGCTTAGGTACACGCTCGTCAAAACATATACACATAACCCAGGCGAAGCGAAGGCGACGGCAGAAAATCTCTATTCTTTTGCAATTTGTTTTGATTTCTCATTCGTGCGACGGAGCGAGCGAGAGCGAACTTTGTTTCCATGCTCTCTCGACGGCTCTGCTCTCTCGCTCTCTGTCGTCTCTCTCTGGCAGCTTTTAAGTGCGGGGGCGCCAACTTTTCGGTTTGCTGGTGACAGTATGTTTTCCCGCTAATTTCGGGTATATTTCAATTATTACACCGTAATAATCCGTTGGCCCCCATGATCCCCACGCATAATTCCGTCCGCAGTGAGCGCGCCCCCGATCTCGCTTCGCTGAGTGTATCTGTTCGACTAACGGCAGTTATAGCTCTCCGGTGGTTGTTTCCTTTTCTTCGATTGTGCTCACTTCATTATCTGCTGTGCCGAACATGCTGAGCTAGCCGTTTTTCTGCTTTTAGCTTTTATTCTATGTTAACTCTTATTTCGCACTAAAATTATGAAATAACATTATACAGATATACATATATTGAAAATTAATAAATTTTTTTATTCTTTAAATTTAATATCGAAGATTTATTATTGCATTGCCATTTTGATTAATCAGATAAAAAGTAAATGTACAATTTAAAGAACCGGCAACTATGGAACCATATTTGTATTTTTCATACATACATATGTATGTTTATCAAACTGATGGTGTTTCCCGCATTGTTTTGCCAGCACTGCCCGATGATGGCCCTCTCTTCTCTTTGTCTCAATTTTCTCGCCTTGCCTCTCCCAGTCCAACCTCTCAGCACCCCCTCTCTCTTCTCTTATTGTAAACATTTGTTTTTTGTTTACGTCTCTCTTTTGCAGATAGATTTGTCCAGCATGGCAGCCAACAACAATAGCAATATGCACAACCTGGTCGCGGGAACGGGAGCGGGGGCCATGCCGTCTTCGGTCATTGCATCGACGGGAACGCCCGGTATGGGCTCCTCACCGGTCCCCTTGGCCAGCACATCTGCCTCTTCCTCATCCGCCAGCGCCGCAGCGCAGAGTGCCTGGGATCAGCTGACAGCGAGTGCCTCAAATAACATAGCGCCCTCGCCAACAGCAGGAGCGCCTACGGTCACCGGACCGATAATCGGGGATTCGTTGCAGGGCAGTGGAGCGGGCAGCTCGCCGGTGCCTAGTTGCTCCTCCCCATCGACGCCGACGAAAACACACGCTCCATCTCCTTTGGAGAGCATGGCACACACGCCCCAAGGGCCTCCGACTCTGGGGCCCGGCGGTTACGGCGAGGAGCTCACCGCTGAGCTGGTAAACCAGGGCTGGCGTAAGTTCTGGTCGAAACGGGAAAACAGGCCATACTACTGGAACAAGGTGACTGGCGAATCGCTATGGGAGATGCCCGGGAACAGGCCATTCGATCCGCTCACCGATCCGCTGGGCATCTGTCATGCCGGCGGGGCCACACCCATGACCCCAAACATGCATCAGCAACACCAGCACCAGCAGCAGCAACAACAGCAACACCATCACCATCATCACCATCACCTGAAGCGCCGGCCGTCGGACGATATGCACATCCATCCTAATCAACAGCACCATGTGGGCGGCGGGCCGCCGATGAAGAAATTCGTACTGGCCGGACCCTGGGACCTGGAGGTGTGCACGAATGCCGTGATTGTCGAACGTCCACCAACCCTGCTGCCGCAGCCACACCCGGAGGTGGAGGCCCTAAGGGCGGCCTTTAGCATGAAGTTACTAAAGACCTACGAGGATCTGTGCATGCGGCGAGAGAATATAAAGGCGCCGCGTGACTCATTCAATCGTTGGCTGATGGAACGTAAGGTTATTGATACCGGCTGCGATCCGCTACTGCCCAGCAGCTGTCTACCCGAGATCTCCAGCTCCATGTACCGCGAGATCATGTCCGATATACCGATCAAGATTGTGAAGCCCAAGTTTACGGGGGATGCAAGAAAGCAGCTCTCTCGTTACGCTGAAGCAGCTAAGCAGATTATCGAATCCCGCTCGGCACCGGCTGAATCCAAGAAGGTGGTCAAATGGAATGTGGAGGACACTTTTCAGTGGCTAAGACGTACCGTGGGAGCCAGCTACGAGGATTTCCAGGACCGATTGGCTCATTTGAAGCGGCAATGTGAGCCTCATTTGGTGGAAACGGTGAAGAGTTCCGTTGAGACATTGTGCGTCAAGATCTATCATCTATCGGCGGATCACGCTAGGAAGATCAGGGAGCGACATTTGCAGCTGCTTAAGGAGCATGGAATACCGGAACCAACGCCTCCGCCGCCACCGCCGCACTTGAAAAAGGTGTGGTGCTATCCCATACAGTTTGCCGTCCCATCGCCACGGATGCCGGCTATCGAGTATTTACAGGATCGCGACCACATGATCATCAAGTATACGCCCGCCACGATCAACCAGCCGGATGCGCAGTACATCAACCTGACCTATCTGCAGAAGCTGGAGCAATTGTACCGCCACAACTGTTTCGACGACAAAAGTTCGATTTGTTCATCGGTCGGGTATGGTGCCTCCTCAAGCGGTATCAGACCTTTCTTGGCAATGCCTAAACTCCTCCCAGGAGGCGGAAATGACACAGGCAGCCCTTCCAGTTCCCGTTTTTGAGTGCCTGCATCGGCATTTCGGTGTCAGTTTCGAGTGCTTTGCTTCACCATTTAATTCCTATTTTCGCCAGTACTGTTCGGCGTTTGCCGACACGGATGCCTACTTTGGTTCCAGGGGGTGAGTGGTTCGACATCTTCGAACTCCATTAAATAGAGCCATAACTGACTTTCAATTAATTTCAGGCCCTTCCTGGACTTCAAGCCCGTTTCTGGGTCCTTCCAGGTGAATCCGCCGCATTGCGAGGAGTTGATTGAGGCCTCCTTGCTACACATCGATAAACTGCTCACCGATACCATGGAACCCTTAAGGTAAAAGTGATTATTCTGTATGTAATTTTGCTTTTAATGTGTGTGTAATCCTTCCCAGCTTTATTGTATTTCTGCCGGAGTGGAAGAGCATATCCAAGCTGGACGATAGCATGTACAAGCGTCGTTCCATGGTGGTCCTGGGTATGGCTCATGAATACAGACATGGTTACCAGCACATGATGCAAAAGTGAGAATAAAGTTATAACCACACACTTGGAACATCATAACCAATTCTCCATCTTTTTGTAGATCCGAAGTGCTGATCAAGTGCATGCAGGGCACCCAGGTTGTGTGGCTTCAAAACAGTGCCGGTTATGCGCGGTGGGGTCCTAACGAGATACGCGTGGAGGCTCTGCGTGAGGCGTTCCGGCCCCAGCGCGATAGAGAGCGTGAACGTGCCGCGGTGGCAGCAGCCGCCGCAGGAGTAAATCCCAGCCAGCAGCAATTGCAGCCAACGGCTACCACGCCGCCATCCGCCGCATCATCGGTGGCCACAATAACAACCACCTCCAGTACGAACAGCAACAGCTCTTCCGCAGCTATTACAACGAGCAGTCCCATACCAGGCTCTACTTCATCCACGCTGTCGCCTCTGTCTCCGCACACGCCCACCAGTAATCCGCCGCCCCAGTTCCCGTTGACCATTAGCAATACGAGCAGCAGCAGCAATTTGGTGGCCGCCTCGCCCACAATGAGCGTGCAAAGCGACTGCTCCTCACCTTCGTCCTCGACCATGTCCCTATCGCCGGCTCCAGCTTCAGGTGGTTATCCGGATGGAGGGACATCGGCCACATCGGCGGCGGTGAGCATTACGGCCACTGCGAGCACATCATCGGCTGCCGGTTCAGCCGGATCAGCTTTTGGCCAGGCCAATAGCATTAGTAGTTCCGCCTCAACGCAGGCGGTCATCAATTCAGCCGTCTAGAGGGGATATCGTTACCCTAGGGATCCTTCTGCAATCCATTCATCGTGGTTCTATTTTTCGAACGCAATCTGTGCACCACTACCACACATTGTGTTATCTTCTGTTAGCCTAAATTAGATATATATACGAGGATGAAGCCAGCCGATATGGGGGTCAATGTCTAACAACAGCGGCAAATGAATGTTTCCATATATCTTAAAATGAAGAAGGAAACAAAGTTTAAGAATGCTGAGACAACGCAATATCTTTTTTAAAATTGGTTTACTTTATATATTTTTTTAACTTGCATTTTTTATATCTTGTTATGCTTTACTTTTTGTTACAAAAATTAGCCTTTATTAATTATACACTTCTGAAGCTTAGGATATTCAAATTTTTGTTAAATAATTGAAAGGAAAATAGTGCAATTACATTCATTCCGAAATCTTTACAATATCTTGTTATATATTTTCTTTTACTCAAAGATCTTGTTTTCAAGTCTACACTTTGCTGCTGGTATATGTATTGCCCCCAATCGCAATGTTAAAATAATTGTAAATATGTTATATTTAAGTTGAAATAGATGATAAATCCCGGCCAGGCCGCTGTAACGACGTGTATACCCCACAAAAAACACGAAGGGCCAATCAAACACCCAGCCAAAAACTCATCAATATGATGCATACTTAGTATGGGCAAAGACTTATAATAATAAGGTGCATAAACTAATACATTTGAATTGCAATATGGAAGCAAAAGAAAGTATGTTATTTATCTTGTTATAATAAGGTCTTTTGCATGGGTTTGGGTATGGTTCCCCTATGTTTTCTATTCTTGTTTTCCACTTGCTAAACAGAAAATATGCAAAACATGCAAACCTATAATAAAAACCACACATTTTTCAAACGAACTCTGAATAATGAAGCCCTTAACAATCTTTTGTGAGACTATTAACTTACTAGGATATATATAATATATATATGTAATATTTACTTTAAACAAATTACGGCAATTATTTGATTACTATCGTAAATTATCGTATGTACAAAATCGATAAACAACTAACGTAAGTAGTGAAGCAAATTCAAATAAAAACGATGAAAGCGAAATACGGAAAGCGCAGAGAACCAAATTTGTATTTACAAAAAAAAAAAAACAAACAACAAATCATAACTACGCACCGCACAATAATATAAAAGTAAAAATAATTTTCGCCTCAGTGTGTGCTTGGAGTTCTTCAAGGAGTTTTTAAAACTATTTTTTAATATTTAAACTCCTTTGAGAACTCTGCTCTGAGAGAAAGTTCTTAAACAAAAACAAAAGGGAATTTAGCCAATTTATAGAAAGTAGCACTCGGAAAAAAACAACATTTTTAGAAACCAATTAAACGTCTAAGTCCAAATTTATTAACTAAAAACGATATGCTATCCCACCACCAACCCCGTATGTATGTATCAATACAAGAACTAAACACACAAAAAATAAGCATTTTTGCGCTTAATTAAACAGTTTCTTTCAATTTAAATCTTGTTATTATGTAAACTTTTTTATTACATTATATTCTATATATATATATATATATAGACATCGTATCGCATAAGTGTGTGTATATGTGAGTGTGTGTGTATGTACTTTTGGATATGGATTAGCAGCTGTTGACTATAAAGAAAACTTAAATGCTATAAACGCAAAGCAAAAAACACAAAGTCTCGAAGGCATTTAAGGGAAAAACTCAATTTACAACCGCTATACTATATACTACATATATAGTAAATCTCTATAGCCAGCATCGTCCTCGTCCTTTGGATTGTATTCACATAATCTCCAGGCTGGAGTCACTATTCTTGGTCACCACTTCGGTCTCCGAAGATCCAGAACCGGAGCCAGCATCTTCCTCGCCCTTCTCGTTGTCGTCCGACTGGCTGTGCCGATGATGGTGATGATGAGGTGAGCCTGCCAACTGCCAGGCGGGAATGGATGGCACTGTGATCGGGGCCACCGGGCCGGCAAACTGTTTTCGGTTTAACAGGAGTCCTTTGATGGCATCCAAATCACTTCGGAAATTGCTAAATTCACGGTTCAGTTGCTGGGCATGATCACGTTGCTGGCTAGTAATCAATTCCTTAACCGCCGAGATCTCCCTGTTGAGGTCATTGGTACGCGTCTCCACCTTCTTGTCTATGTCATCCAGAGCTTCGTCCACGGGCTTCTTTTTGGGCTTGCCAAAAAGGTAGGGAGCAATGTATTTCTGTATTTGAATAAATAGTAAAATTAATTAATAATTTACAAATCCATCAATGCACTCTCAAGCAAGTTTTGAGGAGAGCAAATGATCTTTGGACTTATGTTAATTGACCAACAAAAACAAAAATGTAATAATAAATATCAAATGAAAAGGAAAGGTACAAATATCACAGCATTATATAGAAAGCCCTTAGTTAATTACTATCTTCAGATTTATTAAATAAATGGATATTTTTCTTTATTTACAGCTTCATAAGCTGATGAGTAAAATTCCCCATCACTCACCTTCCAAAACAGATAGACTGCATACACTACTCCGCTGAACAGAGCCGCTGAATGGATTATCTCCCGGATCCGGCCTAAGACGGTCGGCTGAGGTTGCAGCGCCTGTAACTGTGACCCAATGCTGATGACCGTGTTGGGACTGGCATTGGGGTTATTCGGATCTTGGGTAAAGACACCGGCACGCTCACAGGCTAGCTGGATTTCATGGGCCGTGAGACCTTTGGACCGGAGGAACTGCTGCTTCTGGATAAGTGTCGTGTGGCGGACCTTGGTGTTCTGTAGAAAGCTGACTGCAGTCGTTATCTGCGTGTGTTAAGTCGGATTAGAGATTAGACAGAAAACAACGAGGGGGTTACGGCATTACCAGTGATTCGCGGGGTAGCTGTTCGTGGGCTCCGGCCTCGAAATCCTGCTGCAGCGAGGTCGCAGTGGCCATGATGGTGGTGTCCCCGGTGTCCGTATTATTACTGGACATCTGTATATTAACTCTTAATTCAATCTTGTCAAGCTATCCCACACACGAAAACGGAACGAGCCCGATTTCAATCGCAATTCCGATCACCGTCACAGAGTTGAGCACAAACAAAAGTGTGACCGTTTATAGTGGGCTATTGAAATACCGAAGTCATTAGGGCCCCCTTTAGTGACGTCAGACATTGCATTTTTAATGGATCTCGTAAAATGCCCGCCAATATTGAGTTAGTCGGTATTTCGCAACATTTACTTCAAAACATCCGATATTGACATATTATTTGGTATATAATTGGTCATTTCCAGAGTACACGTAATTCATTTTAAGGTATATATATATATTTTAATACACCCTCACTACTGAGTACCTTGCGTCACCTTCTCATTATTCGTTTAAAAGTACTAACGCGTTTTAAAAGCCCGCAACGCCACAGCCACCCACCTGCAGCTGCTTTTCCTCACTTTTAGTTGATTTTTCCGGGGGACAAAAGAACCTTTTCCAATAGAATAATGGACACACTTAAGGGAATGCTAAAGGCATACGAGGCTTGGGTGGCCAAAAACCCCGACGTGGTGGGCGACTTGAAACTACGGCCAAATGGGTGTCCTACTTTATAGCAGGTATGTTTTCAACCATAAATCTGGATGAGTTTGCCTGAGCAAGTGTCCTCTGTTTCCAGGACGCATATCCTCCTCGAATGTGCTGAGCGAGCTGGTCTATACGCTGTCCAACATGCTGGTGTTCTACAACGATCGGATCATCCAAAGGGCACGCAATGCCGGCGAAAATTCGGTGGTGCGGCTGCAATCAAAACTTTGCTACCGTCTAAAGGTCACTCTGACTACGCTCGAGTACAGCGAGGTCTTCATCGAGATATCGGCGCGCCGGCTGTTCGGCCAGACCGGGAAGTGGCTGGTGATAGCACTAATACAGGCCTTCAAGGCTGCAGGTCGTTGGTTTATCTTAAAGCATTCCACTTCGGATATTATCACCTCGCCACCATCGCCTCACTGAATCGCCGGGCTCTATCCAAGCAGCGCAAGGCGGCGGAAGAGGCGCCGTCCAGTGATCCAGTCCTGCAATCGCAGCACTCCATCACCTTCCAGCTAAAGCGTTCCGGTCGCGTCATTCGCAAAGTGGAAGGCGCACCGCCGCTGCAGTATCGCGACTTCAAGCTCCACGTGGACAATAATGAGGCTGTAAGACACAGATACCACGGGAACTGCTGCGCGCCGAGTACCTGTATATATCGAAGCCCCTTATCCACCTTGCCGCCATGGGTCTGTTCGGACAGCGTAGCTGGAAGCAGTATATGGTGGCGTTGTCCGTGGACCTATACAGTATCCATCTGTACCGCCAGCACCGCCACCTCATGTCCAAGCAACAAAAGCTGGAGCTGAGCCGGCGCTGCATCAATGTTCTGTACTTCCTAGTCCGTTCGCCTTTCTACGATAGTTTCACCAAGTCGAGGTTGGAACGGATCCTGGACTTTGTGGCACGAACCGTGCCCATTACGAAAATGGTGGCCGGACCCCTTAAGGACTACATTCCGACGTGGCAAAACACTTACTTTACCTGTGGTCCACCTAAGGACCGCCCATGGATAGAGCGAGAGTATTCCCCTTAGTCTTAAGTTTTAAAGTTACGGGTGTACAGTTATGGGGTTGGCCTTTGGATCACAAGAAAGGCATTGCACGAATATAATCCCTGGACGATTAATTATAAATGAATATATTTTTTATGAAATATATTATAGAAACCCTTGAAATTATGCATGGTATTTATAAGAAATCCTTTGAAATTGGATTTAACTCAAAAAAGTGTCTTTATAAATTAAAACTAATTTAACTTGGTTGATACACTCAATTTAGAAGCATTTTCCAAAAATGACAATGTGTGAAAATTTTAAATCAGTTTTACGAAATTGGAAACTGGTCATTTCTTACAAAAAAGTTTATAAATTATCCCCAAAGTACATTACACTGACTACAGTTGAAGCCACAATGAACGAAGAACACACTGATCGGTTTGAATGGGTTTGTTGTATGGCTTTTAAAATGATATTTGGAACAATATTTTTACACATACAATTAAACGAAATTTTCAACTTACTTCGCTAATCTATACATAACAATTATTCGTAATCGTAATCTTAATTGGCTAAAAACACATGATCTTAATCCGCTGAATCAGAACTTTAGACTGAAGCCGGGTCCCATGGCCAGTTGGCGTTGCGTTAGGCCAGCATTAAGTACGAATCCGGTGCTGGCCGACGATCCACCACCACCGGCACCATGGCTCTTCTTGTTCCCGGTAATAATGCCGGATGAGAGCTTATTACCCGTACCCACGGCGACGGGTTCGTCCCTGCCCAATTGCTTGAATTGCGAACCACCGGACGGCGGTTTTGGCGACGATGCCTGTGCCTTGCGTGCACCCAACTCGCTCTTTGCCGGCCAGGTGGGGAACATGGAGGGATGGATGGGCAGAGGCAGCTCCTGGAAGTACTCATGCTTATGGGCCGCATCGGCCGTCAGTCTTTGTTTCGGATCGTAGGTCAGCAGGCCCTGCAGCAGCGACAGCCCCAACTCGGAAGTCTTCTCCTGGAAGTGCTTGCGCAGTTGCGAAACGGGATACTCGGTGAACTGTGAGTTCTGCGACATCATATTCTTTACGGCGGGCAGCTCTGTATATCCGGGCCAGATCTTCTCATTGGGTGTGCCAAGTTCCTGGAAATGGATAAGGAAAAATCGAATTAATATAGTTTTCCCAAGAAGAAGAAAGAACAGAACTTAAAAGAATGTGTGTTTCTTATCGCTAAATGGAAATACATTTTTATATTAATATTCTCACCTTGAATATCCTGTTCAGTTCATCGATCTCCGACTTTCCCGGGAACAGCGGCAACATCTGCAGAAATTCGGCGAAAATGCAACCCACCGACCAAACGTCAATGGGCGTAGAGTAGACGGGCGAACAAAGAAGGAGTTCAGGAGCGCGATACCACAGTGTGACCACCAGCGATGTGTACTTCTTGATCGGCGAGCCATATTCTCGTGCTAGGCCAAAGTCACCAACCTTGAGGATGCCCTTGTGGGAGAGCAGGAGATTGGAGGTCTTCAGGTCCCGATGCAATATCCAGTTGTCGTGGAGATGCGCCACCGCCAGCAGGAGCTGCTGGGTCAGGCACTTCACCTCGCCTGGGAAGAAACTCTGCTTTCGGTTTTTCATTGTCTCCATTAGCGACTTGAGGTCATGTTCCACATAGTCCATCACAATGAAGATCTTGTCCATGTTGGAGCCGACCACGATCTCGCGCACGGTAACAATATTCTGATGCTGACCCTTGAGCAGGGTGTTGATCTCTCTGAGCGATGTGATTGGAAAACCCTCCTTTTCCTTTTCCATTTTTAGGCGCTTGAGAGCCACAATCTCGTTGGTTCGCTTGTCCTTGGCGCGATAGACAACACCGTAGGTCCCTTCCTCGATTCGATTCAGACACTGAAATTCCTCAACAGAGCGACAGCCTTGCACGCCGGGGTAATAGTTGGGGAGTGGAACACCTTTGTCATCGCAGGGCGGCTGTTCCTCAATAAGCACCTTCTGTGGTCTGTCCTTGAGTTTTTCCTCTGGTTTCTCCTCCAATTGCTGCTGAGCCATTCCACGCTCCTCGCTTCGTGTGCTACTGCTGGGCGAAGCATTGCCGTCTCGTTGATCCTCCACGTCTTCGTCCTCAAGACTGCTCCGACTTTGGGATCGAGATCTCGAGCGACTGCTGCGACTGGACTGGGAGCTGCTGCGTTTGGAGCTGGCTGATCTCGAACGCTGGCGCAACTTGGGTGACTTGTAGAGCTCTCCAACGCTGAGCGGGCTGTCGGGCAGAGGCAGGTCATCGTCGTCGTCGTTCTCGTTCAGCGGCTTGGATTTTCGCTTGCTCTTTTTCTTGCTGGCATAGCTGTCATCACTGCCCGATTCGCTGGCACTCTCTGCACTCTCCTCATCCCCGTTAGAGTCGCTCTCCTCGCTTTCATCCTCCTCATCGTCATCTTCGTCAGGTATGACCTCAACCTCCTCCTCCTCTCGCCGTTCTTGTGCTTCAGTTTTCGCTCATAGCTCTCCTCCGTCTTGGACTTCCGTTTGACAATGTTTAAGCCAGCTGTTACGCTGGCAGCCACTGTTGTCGGACTTAGTGCATCACTGTGGTCGTTCCGTTCGCGCAACAGTTCCCGACGAGCTTCCAATTCCTCCCGGGCGGTCTGCTTCCGCTGTCGGCTCTCGCGCTCGGCTGCCAGAAGCTTTTCCCTGCGGGCCAAAAGCTCTGGATCCTCGTGCGTCTTTCTCCGGCTCGTCTCCACATCCTCTCGCCACTTGCTACGATGCGATTTGTGCTGGTGCTGGTGTTGCTCCTGTTCGGACTATCCAGCAGCTCTATTACGGATTCGCGTCGACTCTGCTTATGTCTGCTTCGTTCGCTCCGTTCTCGTTGCTCCTTCCGACCGCCTTCCACTCTCCGCTCACCCCTCTCGCCACGATGCTCGTAGTTCTCTTCCGTTTCGTAGTCTTTACGAAGTTATGCCGCTTCTTTAGAAGCCTGGACCGCAGGTCCTGCTCCAGGCTTTCCGCATCCTTGCTCTCAGCGTATTTACCGCCTCGTCGCTGCGGCGGCGGCTCCTCCATGGGATAATCGGCGTGCCGACTGCTTGAGTGATAGCCAGACGGATAGGAATGATATTCGCCTCCTCCACGGGCAGCCCCTCTGGCTCCTCCACTTAAATGCTGGTGATGATGCTGATGGTGGTGGACAGCGTAGTGACCGGTGGGAGCAGGCGGCAGCGGTTGCTGCTGCTGCGGCGGTGCCTGCTGGTAATGATAGCTGTGTCCCAAGTGGTGTTTTGCATAAGCAGCGGCCCTTTCACGGTGGTGGTGCTGATGGTAGTGTTCCTCTCGGCTCCGATAATCGTACCGATGGTCACCTGGACCTTCTCCTGCCCCCACCATATCGTCGTCGCGTTCCTTGTGCCGTCTCCGATCCCGGGAATGTTTCTTTTTCTCACGCCTGGACCCAGATCCAGAGTCCCTGCTTGCCTGCGGAGGCTGTATATACAATGCATCAGAGTCTGCCTCATGTTCCTCATCTTCGCCAGCGCTAAAATTAAGAAAGAAAGTCACAAATTATGGTGTCATGCTTGAAGAGTGGTTAAGTCCCATCTGCCGATGATTCTGGACCGTTGCCTGACGATAGTGACCCGTGACCCTCGACCCAGTTGACCAGGCGCTGCTCTGACCATGTTGATTGTAGCTTGCTTGTTGCTTCAGTCGTCGGTGCTGTTGCGGATTACATTTTACACTTGCCCTTGAGCGCCTCAAAGACTCGAGCCCCGTTTGCGCTAGCTCTGGAATTCTTTCGAGATTAGAGACAGAATCTATGGTGCAGTATATAAGCGGATTATGGTTTAGTACAGTTCAATTGAAGCAATCGGAGAACGAAGCTGCTCTGGAATATGTGGAGCTTTTATCAGAGCCCAGAGCAGCAACGATTACGGTTAGTTGGGTCGATTATTAACAAATTTAATTTTTATTTAACTAAAGACAAGGCCATTCTAAGAAATAAGTCGCCAGCATTGGGCAATACAACTTTCACTGTATTGGAAGTCAAGAAAATAGATTTTTGTAACATTTTAATATGATTTAAATTGGAAAAAAGCAGAGGGTTTTGTTATTATAAATCATAATCTAAGACTGAGATTAATTTATCCATTCTTGAATAAAACCAAGAATCAATTATTGTGATCAATTCCAAGATGGGACTTGGGAAGATGTGTGCTACGACAAAAGAAAACAGGAATCTGCTTTCCTCCTGCTTACTTACCCAAGGAGAAAAGGGATGCTGTTTGTTCCATATCACTTTGAGAGGCAACATTGTTATGCATAAAAGATCTATAGGGAAAATATCTTAGAATGGCCATGTTTTGTGTGTTCAAACAATGTATATAAAAAATCGACCCACCTTGTTGTTGAGTGCAATCAAATTCTGTGTACTTACCTGATTATCCTGCGGCTAATTGCGAAACTATTCCGTGGAGCTTTGCTTGGAGCTCTCTGTGAGACACCCAAGGGCTGTAAAATGCAAACACTTACACGACTCGACTGACTGATTGCGCAACCTGCTGGGAATGGGAGTTATCTTTTCTTTTTTGAGAGACAGATAGAGAGACACGAAAGACATTGAGACAGGACTTGGAAAGAGGCATTAGCATAGATAGTATACAGTATTGTGTGTGGTTTGAATCAATTGAATTACAGATTTACAATTTACCGCCAGCAGCACATGAGTGTGAGGATATCGATCTCTCGACTCTCGATTATATCTCGGGTGTGTTCGGTTCTCGGAACACACTTAATTAGCCAGCGGGTCAGAGGCGGGATTTGCGTGCGTGGGTTGGCTCTTGAGAAGAAGATTCGGTCCCATCTGCCGCCTTGCGTGGACACTGCTTGGAGGGCGCAGATATAAAACTCGAATATTGCATATTTTGCTTGCACTTTTTATATTCTTTTGACTTCGATTTCACGTTTATGTTTTTGATTTCTTTTTTTTCGTTTTTGTTTTTATAATAGCTTTGTTGGTTTTTGTTTTTATATTTTTATTATGATTATTATTAGGTATTGTTGTTGGCCATCGCGCGCCTCGGTCATGGGACAAGTACACACTTTTTGGCCTATTTGCAACGAAAAAATTCAAGTCAATTAAATGGTACAAGAAATTCAATAATTTAAAATCGTCAAAAATTTGTATATTTTGTATTTTTGGTTCGATATATATTTTTTTTATTATTGACAAGCGCGAAAGGGATGTTGGGGAGATATTTGGATTTTCGGGATGAATGGGATCGTATTGTATCGAGATTATAAGAATTAGCATGTACAATTCGTTAACAGATAAGATGGTGGGAAAAAAACATTGTCCAAATCCTGCATACACACATAACTCGTTCCATCAAAATAATAGTACAACCATAACTGTTTAGAAAATATCTTTTACAGAATATGACAAAGGTTTGAAATAGTTTCTTACTTTAAATGCTTCTCAGACATTTGTCGACAAAATGATAGAAAAAGTTATAACCGGACAAAGTTAAATAGTACTATCCTTGAATTTAAGTTTATTAAAAATAGATCTTAGGAAGTATGAACTGTGTTTTTCAACTTTCTTTTTGTTAAAAAACCTTCAGCAACAGGTAAGTAGTTCGAGCTAAAAACTGAAAGCTTGTATACTATTATAAAAATTATATAATTCGATATTTATGTTAAGTTAATTAATAACAAAGAAGGACTCTTTGTTTAATCCCTCAAACCATTATTTAGACAGCAGCTATATGTATTTGACGAGAGATACCAACGAACGGAATAGCCAAAAAATCAAGCTAGATTTATGGAGGGAATCCGCCGCGCTGCCAGCTCTCGTCTGTATAGGTAAGCCTCTTTGTGTGTATGCAGCAACAATTTTCCATGAATCGCATATTGAGAACCAGAGTCTCGAGTATTCCCCAGGACCCCCCGACCAATACACACCTGTGATAATGCCCGTCATTGGGGCTCCGGAGCTGTCCGTCCTCGCTGCCAGACGAATTGACCATCATGGAGCGAATGTTATGCCAATTAAAGTGCCAATATCACGGGTGCCCTTGCGCTGATTCACGTAATTTTCAGCGAATATAAGCGGCGCTCGCCTCGCTGCCGTTGGGTTCAATCGTTTGACAGGTGGTCAATCGGCATCTATTAGGATTTTGCTTGGTATTTCGGTGGTATCACGTATTTCTGCTTCAGGAAAAATCCTAGTCTGCGATTTGTGGTGAAAATGTGAGAAAAAAACTGCGTTTGACAGCGCACGCAAAAGGAAAATGGCGTCGCATTGGCTTGGGGCTGCCAACTTTTCCGGACAAATTTAACAGCTGGTGCATCAGCTGCTGCGATGTTGCACATTCCTAATGGCTCACGCACGAAAATGAATTGATTTTGTTTAGCTTATAGACATATAAATCTTTGATTGCCCACTTAAAAGAATATATTCAGTTTAATATTACGGTAAAGTCAGCGCCTTCTTTGATAAATACAAGTGTTTAGTTTTGTAATAATCATACCGATATAATTCTTTCGTGAGCCTACACAGCGGTCACGTAACGTGCACATCTCTAGCTAGTCAAAATTTATTTACGGATTGCAATTTTAAGCATGCTAAAACGGCTGTCCATTAGATTACCCTTATGGGGGCGATGTGGCAGTCGAATGGCCTCCACGCTACCCACAAACCAAACCCAGAATGGCGAGGAAGAGGTTAGTGCCACAGTTAAGAGGATTCGCACGGAATTGGCCGCCGACAAGCAGAAATTAAAGTGGAGGACTCCGATCGGTGACCGGCCTGAGGATTGGAATAGCAAGCTGAAACTGTTCTCCAACTCTGAGCAGACCTCCGATTTCATAGTGATGATGCAGCAACCAATTGACCTGAGTCCCAGGAGCATGCGCCAATGGTGGGACAATAGGAAGGAACGGATCGAGCGACACATGCAACAGTTCATTCCGGAGAGGCACAAGATTCTGGGTGCCGAGTTGGCAGCGGCACATTTCATCCTGTATCGAGGCGGTGCCGCCAAGTTCTTCAACGATCAACGCTGGCACAGGGCCACCGAGGATGGTGAATTCAATCTGCCCAACAAGTTTGATCCCGGCTATAAAGTAGAGGCCTTGCGGTGTGACAACATGGTCTTGTATTACGAGGGATTGGAGAACCTGCGGTGTCTCGATTCTCTGAAGTTCCTCTCCCTTCACAACGTGAAAACCTTTGACGACTGGTGTCTGGACAGGATCTCCGGCGGTGGGTTTTCGCATCTAGAAGTGCTGGACCTTTCGGGCACCGATATCACCACAAATGGACTGGCCTGCCTTTATCGTCTGCCCAGCTTGAAATTGTTAATCCTAGATGATCCCAAGGCGACTTTGGAACTGGAATTGGCCACGGCCATGTTGGAGGAGGCCATGCCCGCCCTGAAAGTGGTGGGAGCTGATGTTATACACAGCCAAAGCTAAAATTTATTAGTTGCACTTGTATGATATAAAACTGTTTTATTATAATTTAAAATTGTGGTTTCTCTGAGAGAAATAACTTTATAAAAAATGTTTTTATTTACATAATATGTTACTGAAATTTTAAACAAAAATTTCCAAATGGAGAAGAGTATCAACTTTGCGTGGGTTTTCCCTTCATATAGTTGGTTTTAATGGCATCGCGCTCCTCGACCGGCGGCAAATATGGAGCTATTCCCTTAGCTCTGCGTTCGCTTTTCACTTTGTTCTATAAAAAAATAAGATTTTGGTTCATAACCCATATACTTTTATTGAAGAACTCACCCAAAACTCCTTGCAATTGTTGTAATTGGCGAAATAAACCTCGCACTTTTCGTGATCAAAGTTGTTTTTGTTAAGGCATTTGAATGATAGTTCTTGTTCCTGTCAAGAACAAACTATTAACAATTTATTGAATTTGTTTTAATTAAGCATACCTTAAGGCAGGGATTATCCCGTTCGGCATTCTGATTGCGAGGCATTTGTATTTAAGAAATATTTTAAACAAACTTATGTAAAAATTCGTTTGTTTTCGTTTTGTGAGAAGTGGAACTGCCAACTCGTTAAACAGCTATTGCCAGGGCTGCCAAATCTATCAGCAGGAACTATACGGCTCCAATCAGCTGTTTATGACAAACAAGTGTTAAAATGAGTTCTTTGCTCTTTGAAATTAAATTAAAACGCGAAAATAAAGTGTATTATGAAAATGTAAGTTGTATATTTAGTGCATATATTATTTATTAATGTGTTTATCTTCCGTAGGACATGCTGCTGGGCTGCGTGCAGTTTCAGTGCGCGCAGGAGACGAAACATGAAGGAATCATGCTATATTTGGAGGGAATCGTTAATCTCCAGCTCAGCAGCAAGACAGTCGGATTGTTCGACGCCTTCTACAACTCCGTGAAGCCCATCAATCTCCTGCAGAACAGTTTGGAGCTATCTGCGCCGGGAAAGCTGAGCGCCGGTCGCTCGGAATTCCACTTCGAGCTTCCATTGGTTTGCAAAAAGGAACCAAAGATGCTGTACGAAACCTATCACGGCGTCTTCATCAATGTCAACTATCAGCTGAACTGCACTTTAAAACGGAATTTTCTGGGCAAGTCCATGACAAGAATCCAACAGTTTTGCGTACAATATAAGCCGGTGGCCCTCGGCGAGGACTCTTTAAAGGCAGTGCCTTTCAGTCTGAGTCCAGATTCGTTGCAAAAGAATGCCACCGCCAAAGAGAGATTATCTATGCCGCGGTTCCTTATCACAGGCCGCCTGGATCGAAGTGAATTCTGTGTGACAACCCCACTAACCGGTAGCATCACGGTGCAGCATACGGAGGCGGCAATTAAATCCATTGAAATGCAATTGGTTCGCGTGGAGACGTGCGGTTGCGATGAGGGCTACTCAAAGGATGCTACCGAAATCCAAACAATACAAATAGCTGATGGCAATGTACTGCCCAAGCTGGAGTTGCCCATCTATATGGTTCTGCCCAGATTGTTTACATGTCCCACGCTGCTCACCAAGAACTTTAAGATCGGTAAGTCTAATTTTTAATAGGAATAATATATATTGTTGTTTAATAATAGCTCCTCATAATAAAAGCTCTCCATAATACTTATATTCAATATATATTTAAATTTTTTTGTTTATTATTCGTTTATTTACATCTCTATTAACTTATATATTTCAGAGTTTGAACTGAATCTAGTGGTTGTCTTTAAGGAGGACTATACGGTGAGTGAGAACTTCAAAATAGTCTTGAAACGTTCAGTGGGTCCGTTTTCTACTAAAATTAATACAGCAGGCCGTTAAAGTAAATTCCAATCATAGTTGGCAGCTACATTTTTTACATATTGCAATTAATAATGAGTAATCTCAGAATCCTCGAAAATAGGCAACTTAACGTACTATTTAAATTAACAAAAAAAAAACCTTAAACTTAACTGAAGTTTGTAAAACTCCACAATAAACTTAAAAAAAAAGAAATATGTTTGTGTTTAAATTCATAAAAATAATAATTCTTTAAAGGGGCTTTTAAATTTTCCCATTATACATATTAAAGTTCAACGCTTTATTTGTATCATATCAAATCATATTCATCACATTTACATTATTTTCATTTTAATTTCTATTTTAATTTGATTTATTTTTGTATACACATTTGTATATGGCTTGTAGCTTTTTATTAATTTAGTAGTAGAAAGCAGCACATCTCATAATGGATATATATAAGTAATGTTTATCGTGGACTCTGAAAATATTATTATGGGGCTCAGGAGCTATCGCATTCCATATAAATATTACTTCTATATATATTATCTATACATATCTTATATTTTGAAAGCTACCATGTATCCATTCCCAATTTAAAACTCCCGCCAACGCCATTATTCTCGTTTCCTATTTCGATACACACTAGTTATATTCTATTTCGTGTTTAATTCTAATCGTGTAATATTTAGGGTCGAGAAGCTTTATGTTGCGTAAAGCATTTGATAAGTGTCGTAAAATGAAATTGCCCTTGTAATTTAATGCGTCCGTTGCAAAAGTTGTTCGAAATTTCTGTGGCTCTGTGGTTGTGGACTGTAAGTGGACAACGGTACATTTTTGGGTAAATGCGAAACCGGCACACACACAGGATTGGGTACCACACAAGTGTGTGGGCCGAAAATTACAAAAACCCATATGATTTCACAAAAGAGAAAGGGAATTTGAATCTGTTCAAGTTTCATTTTCGTTAAAGAACTGCAATATGATTATTTTTTAATATGTTTTTAGGCTGTAAATATATTAACAAATTCTAATATTTATTGTTTAAAGTGTAAACAGTGCGTGTTCCCTTTAATAGTAATTTTTGTATTTCGCCAAGAGCAAATACAAATGATTAATTTCCTCACATTTTAATGTTTGCCCCTCGGCAAATTTTGGCAGGTTGTAATTAAAATTGTTTTAATGAAATTAAATACATATCAAATATGCATTTTGTTGCCAGATAAGGATTTGATTGATTTGGTATTGAGTTACTTGACAGTTTTTTTAATTAATTGCTCAAAACAGGGAGTTCTGAAGAGACAGATGTATCGATTACATTCCGCCCGCGTCATTATTTCCTTTGTTTACCTGTGATTTGCTTTCAATCGGAGTCCGTGTGTGTGATTGATGCGATAAAAAATGAGGAAGAGAGTGAAGAAAATTGATTTCCTTTGCTAACTCGGTATTTGTGCGCTTCATTTTGGCCACTTCATACACCTGTTTTGCCGTATCCTGTTCCTTCACCGTTATTATCTTTCAATTTGCCACACAGCTGGCTAAACAAAAATCGAATAAAAAAAAGAGGAAAACTTCCATTCCACTATCTTTTTTTCTTCCTTTTGCTTGCTTTTTAATTCGATCTTCATTTTGAATAGAACACTTGAAGAAAATCAAAGGGAATTATTATTTCTTAATGCATTTTATTTTAGTTTTATGCTTTCTCTGCTCTGAAAACTATTCCATATTTGTTATAAGGTTATTCTTTGATATTTCTGATGGTATATATTTAATGTAATATATATAAAAGATTTCTAGGTGTATTCACACACACACAGTGCTATTTAGCATTTACCTTTAGCCAGCGGAATTTACTGTGTTATTCTTAGCATACTTTTCAGCTGCCGTGCGCTACTGTTGCGCTCCTTCCTTCTTTGCGTCTTCTCGTTCTACCCTCTTCTTATTTATTTTCCTGTTTTTATTTTTCCTGTTTCCTTTTTTTCTTTGTCCTGGAATCCGTGTGACCGGTAAGTGCATATCAATTTCCTGCTCCCTCCTTGCATTGCATGGACATTTTTTTTAAATCTTTAATAAGCTGATACTGCTTTTCTTGGTGATGCTGTGCTGTCGCACACATATACACGCATATATTGCATTGCTTTTTATGTGTTTGTTCGCATACAAATGTATACAGAAAAGGACAGTGGTAACTCATATCATGAAATTGTTTAAAAATTCTAATGAACATAAATTGATTTGTTTCTTCAAAGAAGTTTTAAACATTTTTGTTAGCAAATTATGAAGTTTTAAAATCCAACTGTTAACTATTTTATTATTACTATTTACTGTTTTAAAGATACATTTTTTGTCTTTCAATTCTGAACTTTTAATATAAATTGAGGTAAATATTTAAAGAGGTTTAATTCTTTAATATTAGGAAGTTTTCTTTTAATGGAACTGTAATTTTAAACCTTAAAAGACTTTAAATGCTTTTTTAATTGCTTTCATTTAGCTTTAATTCTTTAATCCTTACTTGTCGGTATATTTCAATGATAATTTTATCGAGTCCACATGTCCAACGGTGCGTATACGTTACCTTTTGTTGTACATTCACTTTTTGTTTAATTCATGAATAAAAGTTGCAGGCCTAATTGGTTGGATTTAATATCGCTTAAAGCAGAAAGCTATTAATTTTTGTTCAACTAGAGATCATAAGGATATTGTTTCGGGTTTTGCAAATCTCGGGATAACCACTGTACAGGCCTATATAAATTACTTAGCATGAAATTCCCTTGCTTGCTTTTCTTTTTTGGCCCGTCTTTATTGGTGACGGGGGTTTGGGGCGACAATTTGGCCAGCTTCTTTACATCCGATATACAAATATATATATCCCACTCGACGACGACCAGGAGGCAAGTTTCAAGTTCACTAAATTATGTACATATACGTACTTGTGTGTCTGAACAAACACATATATTTACTCGACTCGACTTGACGTCCCGAACTTTTTACCATAAAGAACGTCGCACAGACACCCACCGCCATATTCACTTGAATGTATTTATTTAAGTCAAATAAAAAGCGAGAAGGTTGGAGGGAAAGAGGAAAGGAAAGTGCCTGGGAAAATGGGAAAATGTGGGCCTGTTGAATCTTATAGTATATACATACATATATACAAATGTATGTTAGCAGGCATAAAAACATAGCTACACTTTGAGAGGATTCTTTTTAAGCGGCGGCAGGGAAAATCAATGAAGCAAAAATAGTTTATGAATGTGGATATAATATAATGCCTGACATTACAATAATATTCTTCCAATCGATTTGGTTTCTTTTGGACCATAAGAAAATGTCCATTGTATATTTTCTTAGCCAATTTTCTCAGGCGGCTTATTCCCTGAGAAAGTTTTTATTTCAATTGAATGCAGTTGGAGTTTATTAAAAATATACTGTGACTTATTTTATGGCTTTCTTAAGCAATATTTTCTATTATCCTGTAGCAGCACTAGGCCTTGTCCAAATACAATATTTATTAACTATTAAACTGAATAATAATTTTGTGTATAGCAAGTAAATGTATATACCTTGATTTATTCAAGTAGGTTGCCTAAAGTGTTTGAATTTTCAATTCTAACATAGTTGGTTTCATTTCATTTACATTTACAATAAGTTTCTTAGAATTGCCTAAAAGGGAATTCTCATCCTCTTCTGTTGTTTCTTATGAAACTTTTACTAACAAATAGTGTTTGTTCTTGCTAAACAGCTTTCGATTTTAGAACCTCCCCCAACAATTCCTTGAATTTTTACAGTGCACGAAAAACTGTTGCTTTCTCTCCACCCATACCTCGGCCACCGCATTTTCCATTTCCTCTTGGCTTCTTTTGAAACTTATGTGTGGAGGAGGCTTTCAGAAGCAGCGAGAAACCAGGAAAAGGGGCCATGAGAACATGCGGCGGTGCCTAAGTCCACCTCATCTGGGTGGGGGCAAAGCATCCGAAACCGTACGAATCCAACTGAAACCAACTGAAACCACCAACCCACCGAACCACAAGGCAGATGCCTTCAATTTGGCAGTTTGCTGTGTCGCCAAATGTAGCACTAAGGAAACTTTTCCCCCAAAGCCTATATATTTTTTGTCTCTTCTTTCCCCAAAAGACATTTTACACTTGATGCACAGAGGAAAAGTCATAGTAGTAGTAATTCTTATTATAATTGTTAAACAATGTTTAGGGAATTGGCATACAGGGATATTTAAATTATAAATTAGAAGATAGTTAGCAATTTTTATATAAGTTTCTCTTGTTGGCTTTACTCAGCTTATATTTAAATGTACCAAAGTTGAATTTTTCAAGGATTTAAATTCTGTTGTAAATAAATAAACGGATGCCTGAATTTCGATAATAATTTTTCTTTCTGTGTCCCAAAAATGAGTGTAAAATTAATTGAGGGCGTCGCCTTGGGGGCCTTGATATTTTCGTATTCGCATTGGTATTGCCATTGGCTACAACTTTCTGCCATAAGTAAATCCACTGTCGACGACTGGCGCAAACTTTTAACGCCAACTGTTGCCAGAAAAACATTTCTGACTTGTGTACGCATTTTCGATTGCGATTACACTGCCTATTGTCCCGATGCCTGGCAAAATTTCAATGCCAGCATCTGGAATTTTAAAGATGGACAAAGATGGGGTTTTATTTTGGGGTTTGTTTTTCTCTTTTTTTTTTTTTGGTGTGCAGTTGGGAAGAGGAAAGTGTCGTCGTCACGTCATGTAATTGATTTAAAATTAGCACATCGCTTTGAAAATTTAAACTGTTTACATGTGCCTGGGGACAGCTGCTTCCAAAATGTTACAGCTTTTGCGAGCTCTGCAATCCGCCACACTTGACAAAATTTAATGTTTGTGTAAATCATTATCTTTATACTTTTTTAACAAAATGTGTTAAATTGTATTTATTTATTTAATATATTTCTTAACGTAGTTTTACCTTGTTTTTATGCGGCGAATAATTGTAACCAATGATACTCAGTACCATATACATATTTTAATATTTTTTGAGTATAATCGCACGCGTTCTATTTATTTATTGTATTCAGTTTATTTATGATTTATGTATCCACTTTCTCTATATAAATATTTTCGATATATTGATACTTTTTACTCTCTTTAAAAAGAACCCTCTAATTTTTTGCGTGTACCAAAATCCGCCATCTCTGCCCTTTGCC